ATATACAGTCTATGCTGGAGGTGGACGTGCTCCTGTGTGGATAAAACAGGCTTATCTTAAGTTATCAAAAACAACATGTTTGCATAAAGAGATGATTACACATTAAAATTTTTACAAATTAAAAATTCCATTTGTAGAAAAAGACTGACAGAAAGTTACTCGTGTACTATGAAAGTTGTATTCTATAAATTAAACATCTGAAGCACTTAATACTGAGATGTCACTCTGTTAAAAACTTTATCTACATATAAAGAAAATAATCACAGACATACCTTCAGCAGTGTGTCGGAGCCACAGTCAGTCTCTTTCTCTGCGGTATTCAGCTAGTTAACAATTGCCCATACCATCAACCAGTGCTTTGAGAAGCTGACTAGTTGACTGGATGGTGAAACCTCTTGGTTAAGAGAAAGGTCTTCACTCATAAGAAAGAATAACTCATACCTTATTCTTTAATTGTGCTGATGTGAGCAGCTGAAGAGTTAAGTGCATTTTATTTATTTATTTATTTATTTATTTAGCAAGATAAAACTCTACCTATATTTACCACCACTGTGTCCAGTCAAAGTCCCTCTGCCCTCTTTGCATTGTGCACGCTCTAAAAAATCCACTCGACCTTCCTCTTGCCTTACTCAATCCACATTCAGATAAGGGGATCAAACCTGGCAGATCAAACTAATGTCTTCACCCCTTAGCATCCCTGAACGGCCACTGAATAAAAATCGCAACTGCTGTGAAACGCCTGTGACATAACTTGATCCACGCAGTGACGGCGCACACCACCGCCTGCACCCTGTAATACATCAGTGCCAGAAAACAGTGGACGTGGAGACACACTGATTGAATCAGGGGCCATGGTTCCTCTGGGGAAAGATCATCTATACCGAGCCAACAGCAAGCACACAAGAATTGCTCAAACAGCGTCTGTTGTAACTGTGTTTCAGGACTTAGTGGTCATTTGTTCAACTTCTTCCTGACTGAGCCCGCAAAAGAGAAGGAAGGATGTTTTAAAGTCAGTCAAGAATATAAGGAACCAAACCCCAGTCAACTTTTGGTGAATTTTAGCAGCCAATCTTCTCTAAATCATCCTGGAACTAGAAACCTACAGGGTACATGTTTTGTCTTGTTTTATGAGCTGAAATTTTTGCTCGTAAAAGTCAGTAAATGTATAATTTAGAACAAAGCCATTGCATCTCAAATGTTACGTCTCATTGAAAAGAGCTTGAAAGCCTACAATTTATTTTCAGAGCATAAAAAAACAAAGCTTTTATGGCCATCACTCTGTGCTTCCATCTTTATGTCTTCACGACTTGCCAATAGTTATACATCCCACTACACTGAGACATATTATAGCTCTACCAGGACAAATGGCCAATATCTTTGACAAATGACAGTGAAAAATTGCATTTAAGCAAGATAATAGAAATCAGATTTTCAGATTTGACGCCTTATGCTATGAAGTTTGGCATTTTTAATATAGGGTTATATTTATTTCCAATATAAGTGTGTAACTGAGCTACTTTGCGTCAGAATTCAGGGCATTAGGAGTAAAAACTGCTGAAAGTCTTGGCTGTGCCCTTAAAATGCAGTCATAAAACTACTCATCCCATGAGCGTGAATGAGTATAGGGGGGCTTATAGAGAACAATGCAATATATACACAAGTATTCTTCATCATTTTGTAAAGTTTAGTTTGACATTTGTTTGATTTTTCAGTAAGGGTAAGAATGGAAAATTGTCTTTCAGGTTGATTATTTTGCTGCATTAAGGACTAAAAGCATACTGATGATAATGACTATAAAATCCATCCTTATAGGTAACATTTCTACTTAGATACGCCTAAAACTCTTCCAAAGCAAATGTTTGGATGGAGCAGCATAATGTCATAATGTCAGCGATGCTCTCACTGTATAGATCCCTTCATGCATCTGTGTGATTGGGGATTGATGAACGCACAAGGATGAATGCTTGGGGAGATTATTTGTGTAGACAATTATCCTGACAGCCACTTAGAGAAATGAAAGATGCCATTAGATGGTGCATACCACTCCTTAGAATATTTACAGCCTATTGGACATGTGCTACGATTACAGCTGCGCTCCATTCAACTGACAGGAAAGTCTTTAGCATGACTTTGGCACCAACATCATGAAAACATAATGATTTCTCCAACTGCTACAAGATTGCAAATTCATGTTTTAGGTTATTTCAAACAATTTTAGATTTTTAAATGATGATCCACATAAATTAGCTGTGGAAATTCTGTTTTATTCACCAGGTAGGAAGGACATGCAAGGTGTTAATAACGCAACTTTCTGAAATTATGATCAGTAATTAAACTGTTCTCTAATATGCTAATTTGTTAAATTAATCTGTCTGTGGCTCAGCGGGAACAATAAAGAAAACTGATTTAAAAGAAGTCTTTTCACTGGCGATAATACGATTGATAGTGACTGAACATTCGTCATGTTTCTGTACCTGTGTGAACAAGGACAAGTGACTAATTTTCCCTACAAGTGTTCGACTTCACCCCTCCCCAAAAAGAAATAGGGGCTCCATTCCTTTTCTTGCACCGCCATGACCCTGATCCTCACAGGAGTTGCTCTGCTCCAAAGTAGTCTGCGTTGCCATAGTAACCTCCTCCTGGCTACTTTGTAAGGTCACCTGCTCATGTGAGCTCTTCCCTCAGAGAACAGGCATAACTAATGTCCTGCAGGTTCAGGCTTGATGTAAATAGTCTCAGTTGACAGCCTACTGTACAAATACTCAATTACGTTTGCTTAAAGGAAATGATTTGTTGCAACAGAGAGCACTCAACTTGTGTGACATCAGCGTTGCCAGGGTAACAGAGGCTGATTGCACAGCCTGGAATTAGGTATTGATCAGAGGAGGGGGGCCTGGCGCCAGAGAGAGGGACTGGAAGCGATCCGCTACTACGATTTACAGAGGATGGGGGTTGGGGTGAACCTGCACACTTCGCCCCGGCTCAGAGAGCTGAAAAGCCCTCAGGAACCAATTTACAAAGGGCTACAGTGCAATATCTGCAGCAGTCAATAATGGAAATCTGATGCCCCCACTGCCATCAATGTGACCGCTCCTCTGCCTCTCGTTAGAGCACCTTGAAAGTTCTAGGCCAATCCATAGACACCATGGATTTCCAATGGTACAGGGATATTCTGACTTTGGTGTTCTTTGTGTAATTACACCTCTAAGTAAGGCCGCAGCTTCAAACAGGATTTGTCTTCTGTAATCTTATTTATATGAATCCTTTTTTGATTGAGAAATCGTTGTATCACACTCCGCCCTCGCTTTCATTATTTCAATGTGATTGCTCTTTCCAGCCTCTTATTAGTAAGGCAGCAGAGCCTCTCTGGTGCTTGTGCTCAATAAAGTGATTTAATCGCAGGAAACTTCTGCTCTGTATACACTGTCCATTCCTGCACCAGGTAAATTATAGTGCTGCTTCATTAATCGCAATTTCATCATTGTCACCATTTGAACTTGTTTAATTTTATTTAGCAAAATCCTGAATTTATTGCCAGACATACAGTAAGGTAGTATATGGAAACAACATTATTTTCATACTTGTTTTACAGTTAACCATTGAAAAGAGGACTGGGTGTAATACTCATGTCTACACACAGTCAGATGAAGCTAACGTCTGCCAATAAGGGGTGAAAAGATAATTCTTCTTGAATCACACCTTATATTTAGGAAGGGCGTGTTGCAAACACAGACATTGCGTTGACAGAGCGGCAATACTTAAAGGGATTAAAGACCCACTCTGAAGAAAATCATGTTTTTCATGTTTTTTGTACGTTCATATGGCATTTTTCTGATGCTACAGGGCATGTCATGAGAAAAATAAGTGTGAAATTGCATTTCTAAGTATTTCTTCATTCAAATTGCTGTAAATCTGTGGCAGACCCAAACAGCAGGTTCAGAAACAGTGAGATTTTATACGTAGCAAATCTTAGCTCCGCCCCCGGAGCCCCGCGATGCAGGTCACACTCTGCATACAGAGGAGAAATAGAGAGGATGATCGCAGAACAAGAGTGTGTGTTAGCGGATTGCAATGCTCGTAAGAAAGCTAATTAAGATATTAACTTTCATTGTTTCCCCAAAGACATTAGAGTCTGAGAGCTGAATAGCTTCTATGTGACCTGCCACTTACCTTTTGTTTTTTTGTTTTTTTTGTTTTTTTGTTTTGTTTTTATTTCCATGTACTGATGTGCTGATGCTTTACGGCTGTTTGTCGAAGCACTTTGTAAACCTCTGTTTTTAAAAGTGCTATAAAAATATTTTTTTTATTATTACTTCTGCTGCACAGGCAATGTTAGGCTGCAAGCTAATGTGTAGACGAGTGTGCAGAGCAGCGCTGTCTCCGTCCACAACTCAGAGGCAAATTGCTAATCAGCTACTGAAGCTTTGCAAAAGAAAAGGCCTTAAAAATAACTCAGATAACACGACTTTTGGTAAAATAATCACAATTTAAAGACCACTGAGAACACTTTGAGTAATAAAAAAAAAATGATCAGAGTGGGATTTAAAGTTCTCTGTTGTGGAAATATAAACTTAAATTTAACTACTTGACTAGTCCAGAAGTAAGAAAGAAGTCAGAAAACAGTCAAAATTAAGCATGATTTATTGCACATTACAGTATTAGACCCATTCTCACAGGCTGGTGGAGGTCAGCGTGGACTGGTGTCATATAATGGCTTCTCATGCTATGTATTAGCAGGATTTTGCAGTCTTTAGAAGTTACACTTGCTGGTACTAGAATAAAGTACACCGCTCTGGTCGAGTCTAGAGGAAGTAAATGCACAGTTGACTTTTTCTACGTCGGCATGAGAAAAGAAAGACCTGGTTTTACTTAACTGTGCGTGTCTCATTCGGTGGGAGGGAGGAAACCACTAGATATAAATCCCGCATGAGATACTGTTTCTTTGCAGCCGTGGTAAAAATGTAAGTATTGAATAATGCGGACAGGTGGTGACACAGTGGTTAGAGCTGGGTTTGAGTATTAACCGCACTATATATGTTCTTCTCTTGTTCATGGAGGTTTCTCTGCGGTTTCCTTCCACAAAGAGAGACATGCATGTCAAGTATCAGAAGGCAAAACACAGACCTCACAGAGGCGACTTTATTAATTTCCAACAAATGATGTGTGAAACTGTGAGATATCAATCACACACAACATACATCTCTCACACACTCTATTGTGTAACAGGTTGCGGTTTAACAAAATGTTTCTTTTAGCTGAAGTGAATCTAAGACCAGCTGTTGAGCTCTGACTGTTGAAGCCTCTTTCTGCAGATGCTTCACGCAAACACTGTCTGAATATTTCCTGAATAGACATGAAGTCACTGAAAGGCAATGCACCACTGCTTTAATGGAGCCAATCACATTCCTGACAAGGAACGCTCCCTCTCCTGGCAGAGCTCTGCAGTGCAATCCAGTGTGTCAAAGAAAACGCCTGGTGACATCTGAGGATGTTTAACCCTGCAGGGCTCATTGTTGCCAAATTTGCTCCATCTTTGCAGCGCTCTAAAAGATAGAGCTGTCTCTTTTACATTTCACAGACCCCGCAGATGTCAGCCTCTTGTCTCATCACAGGAATCGATTATAGAGTCCGTTTGCCATAATGTGATATATGCATATTAAAGTAAAGCCTCAAAGGCAACAGAGGGCTGGCTCTTTAATAGAATCCAGCTATCATCAAGAGTGAATTCCTAGACCTGGATGTAATGGAAAACTGCCTGTGTGATGTTCGCAAACCTCTCGTGTGGAGTCTAAAAGGCTGCTGGCTGCTGTTTCCAGGCTGCGGTCACAGGGGTGTTATGGGTAGTCAACCTCAACACTCCTACCCTCTCTCTCTGTCAGGGGGTTGAAAGCAGGTTGATGTCACCAAATACACACATTGCTGCAAAGTTATGGCTCCATCATCAGGAAAGCAATGACAGCTTCATAAAGTTTGATTTAATCAGACAGGAGAAATTGAACCATTTTATGACATAATCTACAACTCTGTGATGATATATCTTGAATGTGATGTGCAGCGGTGCTGATTAGAATTCATCCCTTTGCGTGCGATCCTCCAGAATCTAATTTAGAAAGCAGCTTGAAACAGAAAAATCTTTATAACGCAGCCACCTGCCTGTGTATGCGTGTTTGTGTGTGCTCATGTGCATGTGAGTCTGTCTGCCTGCCTGCCTGTCGGGGTATCTATTAATTTTCTTCTGTTTTCTGTAGTTCTATTACACAATGGCTGGCGCTGCAAGTTTAATATGTTGTACATCTTTTTGTCTCATTCCTTGCAGTGGGTTCAATGTCATCTCTTTGTTGTCTCGAAATGCAATCAATGAAGGTCTTCCTACCCCATCCACTGAAAGTCAAACCCAACCTATCTGGAGCTACTCTGAGGCATTCTGTCAAATCTAAGAATCAAGCCCATATTTCTTGGAGTCATGTTGTGCTAGTCCTCACTCCAGTTTGTGTGCGCCCTCGCACCTAATATACAAAATATCTATTGAAATATGCATGAGGCCCATGATGCCTGCACTAAAAATACACTCAAATAGGGAATACATTGACAGCTCTGTTATTGAGCTCTCCTTGAGATTCCTCTGTCACAGCAGCCACGGATCGCTCTCAAGACTCATGTATTATCAAAAGCACGCAACACCACTCCCTCTCTCTTCCCCCAACACACACACACACACACACACACACCACACACACACACACACACGATCATGCTCTTCTTTTTATACTCACTACTACTCTCTATCTGTTTCTTTTTCTCCATCACTCAGTCACATATGCGTTTTTTTTCCTCAGTTAACTTTTGAGACACCTTTAATTTCAAAACAGTAGAAGTTTTATAAGCTTTAAAAAATTAGCCTCATTATTGCCACACGTGTCTCCTATAAAACACCTCATTAAATGGGTTACATACATTTACAAGTTTGTACATAGGCACTCAGAGTCAGACTAGCTGGCTAACCTAACAAACTAATGTCAAATTTTACTTTAGCTAGCTGATGCAAAACGAGTTCAGAAAAGCCAAAATTTTGCAGAGTTAGCTGGCAAATGCAGCTCAAAGACATACATTCATTCTCAAGCTGGTTAGCTAAAAATGGTACATGGTACATAAACTGAGTTACTCAACAGAGTAAAATTACTGTTTTTATATCTACGATTAGTCTTGAACTCACTGCAGAAATTGTTTTCAAATTTTCAGTACGACTAACTTTTTAGTTCTGCTGGCATTGGCCCTACTTGGCAATTTGACGATATTTACCCACACACTCTCTGATCTAGTTGGTCCAACTATCATTTTTGTGAATATTTAATGCAGAAAATGTATAAGACTTTTTCCTCACTTCTGTATGTCATGATAACAGAGCTGCCAAGCGTCACGCTTTGAGTGTGACAGTCACGCAGTTTGGCCCATTCTCACACCACACGCCACACTTGACATTTCTCACGCTTATGTTTCCCCATTCAATACTCTGTATTTATTTTTTTCACGATAATAAACTTTGCTTGCCGTAGTTCGAGTAACTCTGATTGACTGACCAAGATAATGAATCCCAGACCAATCCATCAGTCCTTTGTGCCTAAATCTAACCAACCACGGAAAGCACTACGCAACATAAACCAATCAGAAGCAAAGCAGGTCTTGGAAAATAAATTGACAGTTTATTGACGAATAAATGTATTTTGTCAAAATTCTTGTTACAATTTTCATTAATTAATTAAGACTAGCATTAGGAGGCCTCAGTGCAGGAAGAGCAGCTGGCATGGAAGTGAGGACATCAGTCTTAAGGTGTAAATCGACGTTAAAAAAGGCCAAAATTTTTACGCCGCCGGCCGGACACATCATGACACTAAAGTCTCATTCTTGTCATTTTCTGAAACTTGGCAGCCCTGTGATAAGTCGTCAGAACTCCCCATAGAAGCTTTAAGAAAGAACTACGCACACAAACTTAGCAGTAGATTTAACCTCTGCGACCCAACCCTGAGGCTCACAGCTCTCTGAAACACCCCCCACAGCACTTTGAGTATAAATGTAAAGAGCAGTTAAACCAACCACCTTCAAAGTAATTTCAACAATTATTCCTATAATACAGCCAAGGCCCCTTTTTTTACTACCTCCGATGATCTAGAGGGCAGAGTTTTATGCCACATTAGCCGCTCCTGTACCATAAAGAACATAGAGGGGAGAAATTGGCCACCTGCATACATGAGGACCCTTTTTATTTGACATAATCTGACATTAAAGCAGGGTTCATATCCTACTAACCGCCTTGTGTAACTGGTCCTGTAAAAACATTATTTTCAATATTATTGCAGGAAACTCTGCTATTGTTCTGTCCACGCTGATAAAAGTGGAGGTGCTTTACAGTTTAGGCTAAAGGGCCAAATTGGGGGGCATCAGTACCAGCTACACCTCTGTAATTGGGTAAATTTCAAGGAGGTGCTATGAAATACACCCCTGCAACTTTAATAAGTTCCAGAGTCCGGGGCTCCAGGTTGCTGCTCCCAAGGTGCTGGTCTGAGTTGGCTAACATTTATCACATAAACATCTAACACTACTCCTGTTAAAGCAGACAAATGCCTTCCTGCTCTACAAGCCCTTTCCTTAGCCATCAGAATCAGGACAACCAATTCAGCTTTAATAGTTATCTATGGAGTCCCTCGCATGCAATGAACACCCACATTTATTTCTCTGCTTTCTCCCAATGAGGGTAAGTGGATCAATTAGTGCAGACTACAAGTTCAGCATCTTTACACATAGTATCAATTGTTAAGTTGAGCAACAGCAGGTCCCCAGATTATCTCAGATCTGTACCTCCCCTCGCTCTCATCCCTCCCGCTCTCCCTTCTTCCAGATCCAAAGCTAGCCTCATTACAAATGATCCTGTGATACACACAACCTTGGCACACACCTTCGCGCTAATGGCTCACAGATTGATTTTTAATTAGCAGCACTTTTGGATGGTGGCCAGCTCAAATGGACTTTTATGAAAAACTAATCACCTTTTAGCCTTAAGTGTCAAAAGGTGTAAGTAGAAGGTTAAAAGTCTTAACTATATCTGAATAGTCACAATAAATAAAAACTCATAAACCTCATTAGTCACATGATTCTAACATTTGTAAGACTTGTTCTAGTGTCTTTGAGTTGAAAAAAAAAATAAGGGAGTTTCACAGAGTACAAAGACGGACTTCTTAAAGTTCTGCACTGGTGCAGACCACAGAGGAGATGGAAAGTGGGTCAGGTCAGATTTAGTCAAAAGGGTTGCTGAAAATTTCTGGCCAATGAAACGTCAGTTCACATTAAACAAGCAGGTCAGCTGAGACCAGAACTGTGGACCCAGTGAGCTCATCTGGCACAAGTTCACTATCAAAGTGTACCCAGCTTTGATAAACTGGGGCAGTATTTACGATGGCAAAAAGAGACATGGACCACATCTGTAATGTTTTAGGCCCAGATGTGCACACTTTGATTCTCCTGGTGAAGCACATGGAGTCTGTGGCAGAGGTGTACAAAGGATTGGTTTATTTTTAACCGGTTATTGTCATATCCTCAGTAGTACTATTTCTATTGTTATAGATTGTATAATTCTTTCTACACCATTTTTTATCATTTATGTAAATTATTTCTGCTGTAAATTTCTAGTGCTGAATTCTCGCAGGGCAATTTAATGCAAACATGATTTACAGGCAGTTTACAATCCTGAGCGCCCTTAATTTAGAAATAGGGATATCTATAGAGATGTTGCTCTATGTCCTCTCTGGTCATCAGCATTTAAATATATTAACACTTTTTAAAATTTTTACTGATATTCTATTTCTTCTCATATTGCTATACTGTAATTACTGTTGTGTTTTGTCTGCTTTTATACAAAGAATAGCTGTTCATGACTGCCCTTCTCACAATGACCCCCATGTCTTTCTCTCTTTTTTTCCTGAAAACTATTTTTGGTGGACTCCATCCTTAGCAAAATTAAAGAGAAAGAGTTTCAGTTCTAAATGAAAAAAGTCAAAAAGGTTAAGTGACTGAACAGTGTCGTATGTACAGTATATGTTTTGAAGAAGTAATATTGAGCTATATCTGGTCATCAGGTTCTAGGCTGAAACACTCCCCCTGTTGGTGAAGCCACACTGACCTTCCAGGACAAAAAACGGCTCCAATGAATATAAGTATGATCTTTCATTTGTTAAGTTTTTACCATCAAAAACAGTTAACAACAACTTTTCTCTTCTTCCTCATCTTCTAACGGGATAACTTAACTCTACCACTCACTAACAATTATTACTAGTTTGTCTGCTCTGTACTATGGTAGAAACATGTAGTTCAAGATAGCACCCTCTGTGGAGAGGAGCCTGCTCCAATGTTGACATATAAATCATCTTTTTAAATAAACAAAACAAAATAATTTTCTGATTCGGCTGTTTAAACATTTAAATATCTGCTTAATGCTGCTGAACATTGCACACTGCATCTTTAAAAAAAATATATGTTAAAAAAGGAAACTGGAAAGTACAGTGGAGAGTTGAGCTGTATGTTTATTTACTCTCTTACTTTACATTTATATTACCAGAAATGACTTGACTAATGCTTAATGACTAGAAATGACTAATGCTAAACTGAAGTTACATTTAAGACCAAACAACAAATTATGACATCAAATTATGAGTTTATACTGCATTTACTCAAGAAACCCTATTTTTAAAAAGTGTATCTTCTTTTTATTCTACATGTGTTTAACATTTCGATATGTATATATACAACTGAAGCTTGAGTTTCAATGTTTGCTTACATTGGCATGAGATCAAAAACCTTCTTGGGACACATGAGTTGGCACAAACAACCAAATCATGCTCTTTATACAAATAAAACAGTCCTTGTGGTCGCATGGTGAACACATGTTCAACTCTGCAGGAATAAATGATAAATCTTACAACCAAAATGCAAGCTGTATAAAAATATACAGTTTATACTGCGTATTGCATCATATGTGTTCACATATGTTTGCATTACTTTACCTTATTTCTGTGTGTGTGTGTGTGTGTGTGTGTGTGTGTGTGTGTGTTTGTGTGTGTGTGTGTGTGTGTGTGTGTGTGTGTGTGTGTGTGTGTGTGTGTTTACCTTGGGTGGTATTCATAGTTTCCTGGGTGTTCAGGGCTAACACACATTTGCAGCAGCTCCACACACACACACATTCACACATCTGACCTAACAATCCACTCAACAGTAATTTATCGGTGCGATCCATCATTATCATGTTTTATTATGGCCACCGTTGGAGATATAATTCACAAATAGGCACGTGCTGTACGGATGACAGTGAGGGAGAGGGATGTCCTTTACCTTCGTCCTCTGCCAGGAGCCTTCAGGAGTCTCTGTGGTCCTACATGCAGGACACCAGGCTCTGAATGGGCAGGGAGGCTGGGGGTCTCTAGAGTGGGAGCTTGCCCTGTTAGCCCGCTGCATTGTGGGCCAGCAGGACTCCCATTATGAGCCAAAGAGAGAAAGTGAACCAGAGCAACGGCAAAGCGGTGTGGGTGCCATGTCACATGACTGCGTTTGTATTCGGCAGCCATAACTCACTGCCGGTGCGTGGGGATTGATCCCAGGCCGGACACTCCCCGGAGGAGTCCTGGCACTCAGCTGAGTTTGATCCCATAGATTAATGCAATAGGGATTCCTGGTCCAGGCCTTTGTCTCCAGCCAAACACTTACAACCCCAGAATTTGTATCCAGCAAAGGTTGAGTCCCATGTTTATTTGGGTAATGAATTGCTGTAATTAATGCACCTATTGATTCTCCCTCAGTGTCTCCTACAAAGGCCAGTCCGATTTCTAATTTAAAGGGAGCGGGAGTGTTAGCAAGAGGATGAGGGGGGAAAACGGGAGGAGAGCCCAGTATAGGCAAAACAATTGCACTATGTGCTGGCAGAATGAGAGTGTAATTGTTCAATGAATCACATTTGAATACATTCAATTAAATCTTTCAAGTGCAGGGCGTCTGTGCATGTGCTGTTATATCACTTTGGTTTGTCCCTCTTGTGTTGTAATAAAAATGTAAATCCTTGGAGGGCATCTGAGAGCGGCTGAGGACGTTTGCCAGGTAGCGTCTCCGAGCTGCGGTGTCACGCTAATAACCACAATGCAATTTTCTCACACAAACAGGCAGGAGTGCATTAGCATATAATCCTCGAATTATGACTATTCTTGTTTTCATCACTGTGCCCATAAAGGCAAAGTAAAAAATGCTCATAGAGGAAATTTCTGAGCAGTTTTAATATATAAGAGGTTTCCAGCTAGCAATTTGTACCATAATGAAAATGTAACATTCGTTTCAGTCATGTGTGTGTGCGGGTGTGTTTGTGTGTCTTTTCTCTCTTGCTCTTGATCTGAGACCTTCGCTGGGCTCCTTCAAACGCGGTCTACGTCCTTCCCCTTGCCGTGGGGCTGTGTGCTAGTGCCCTGTGTAAACACCTGGTCACCTCTGCTGTGCTACGTCTGACCGCAGAACAATGAACAGCCAGCTGCTCCATCTATTATTGTTTATCCAGGTTCACCTCAAGAATTGCAATCCCCCCCCTCTCCTCTTCTCTGCCCCTCCCCTGTGAGTAATTACAAGAAAATGAGCCTTTGACCTTTGATGTATATTGGAAAAAAACTTTAAGCGCAATATTGTCAATGTGTGTGTATTGATCACAACTGTAATTACTACTAAACACCTCCTGAGGTGGGTGCTTGTACTGTTTGAAAGAAGTCTGCTGCAGTGTAATAAATTACATGGTAAAGCACAGATAAGTCCAATCATGAGCCAGTCTATTAGATTTGTTTTTTCCTAGCATTAAACGTGTTATTTAACTTGCTTTGAAATTCAAAGAGAGCTCTTGATTGTGTGAGTAACAACAATGAAACAGGGCTAGTTACCCAACTCATTAATAACACACTTTAAGTAAATCATAGCCGGCCAGTTGAGTCTATTTCTCGGTTTTCACCATTCTAACAACAGTGATGATGAAAAATGATTCCTTCCAGCCTCCTAGATTTTCTAAGAACCTATGGCATGCCTTATTAAAGACAAAATAGGTAGAAGACTAATTAAGCAGACCAAATAGGAATGACGGCATGCCCAACTGCCAGAGCCAAGTAAGGGCTTGAAAAATGGCTCCTCTGCTATTTCAATTAATCAGTTGTATTTTGCTTAATTTTGTTTGACGTTGGCACAGGAAATGTCCTCTGGGAGTATCTGTCCTTTGACCACTAATGCTTTAGTAATTCTTCTATCAGTAGGAACCGTGATTGAAACAATCGAGTGTGTGTCTGAGTGTGTGTGGGCACTTTCTTTTGTGTGCATATCCACATTTTCACTGCTTACAGTGAATATATGCACCTGTACGTATTTGAGGAACAGAGCAGTGAGCGTCAGCCTTTCATTCATTCATTTATGGCACGTTCCTCTTTTTTTCCCTCCCCCCCTTGTAGGTTGATTGCAAAGCCCACACAACTGAGAGTGGGACCTGATTAACCTTACAGTGACTCCAGAAGCATGTGACCACCGCTGCTTCCCCAACGCCCAGGAAGGAGATGTTGAGCTTAACCTGTGCTACAGTGATGAATTAACAATAGAGCAATTCAATGCCCCAGTAATTACCAAACACTTTGGACACAGGAGCATTTTTCAGCCCTGCCACACAGGTTTTTGTTGGTATTGGTGGCTTTCACCTGGAATCCTGGGGCTCTTTGCTCTTCCTAACTTTGTTTTCTCTGACGCAGATTAGATCTGCCACCCCATTACAGATTCATTTTCCTAATTTTTCATGTCTGCGCCGCGCCCCATCTGCACAGGCCTGATAATTGTGGGGACCAGCCCTGGTGATTAACATCAGCAGAATTAATTACGCCCGCCATTAAGGCTCCAGGTTGCACACAATGATCAAGAGAAATTAACTTTCTCCCAGGCCCCTAAATCATCTCACCTTCAAGTGGAGTGATGGCAAAGAGACAGGCCGGGAGTCCTGGACCCTGCTCGGCACCTTCTAAACCAAACATGAGGTGCGCATCCCGCACCCGCACCGTTTCCCACCGAGGAGATTATAGCCAGGGCTGATGGGTATCAATTACGCCACCTTATGTGGTGGGATGAGCGAGGGGTGTCCGGGGTCTGGTGACTAATGGAGCTGGGTTGGAGCCACCCTGCAGCAGGAGACCAGAGGAGCTGACTGCTTCTCTGGCCAGGGAGCAGCCGCCAGATGCTGAGGGGGCTCTGATCAGCGGCCTGACACACACAGGTAGAGATTGGCACAGAACATTTGACTGTGCACTATGGGGTGGGGTGTCCATGTGATTGTGGGCTACATAGGTGATGTAGCAAAAGACTTTTTCACCTGAGCGAAGACGTCTGGCCACAGACAGTGTATTCTCTTAGCAAGTATAAAACTTCACCTAAAAAAGAAAGACGAAATTTGAATTTATGTTTAGTTAGCACATTCAAGGATGGGATATTTTGATTGTCTTGCAGCTTGGACGATATCCGCAGATTGTGGCCCCCTTTGAGAGAGAGTGATGTGTTTGTAAGCTATGCTAATAGAGCAGGCCCCGTGCCCCCGCAGCAGGGAGAACAGTGGTAATGTCAGGAGGAGATAAGCAAATTGCGTCTGCATCATATTGACTTGTCAAGGTTAAGCAGTGAGAGCAGGGGGAGGAGTAAGAGCTCCAAAAACTCTCTGTCTCTCCCACTTCCTTTACTACTTAGAATATATGTTGGAAGCAGGAAGAGAAGCTGAAAAAGAGAGTAAGAAGGAGGAGGGTATAGCTTATTTAACCTCCGATGACAGTCAGTGTTGAGATAGTGATCACACAGAGCAAACAACAGACACACATCAGTACAGGGAGGGTTTGGCTCTCTGCTCTCGTTTACACTGATTTGATTTAGCTCCACGGGATCTAATTAAGCTCAGAGTCGAGCCTCTTTGGAGTTTCAGCAGCCATATTGTGAATGCCAGGCTTTGAGAAATGGCCACAAGCGATCAAAATCTGTGTATGTGTTTTTATTAACACACATCATAGTGAAAGAATAACGGCTGTCAGTGGAGGGGGGGGGGAAACGGATAATAAAACATGATGATCGTTATGCATAAGGGGACATGTGAATTTTGATGACAGCAAATGCCATGTGTGTTAAAAAAAAACAATAACCAAACAGTAACTGTTATGGCTTTGCCAAGTTGTCTCGCACAAAAAAAAAAAAAAGTGAAAATTGCTCTAAAAAGAAAAACACCAGCTCTGCCTGAGGTCCATCCCATGGTGATTGTCACAGAGCTCTAATTAGCTGGAGCAGTTTTGCTTGAATTCAGGGTATAATCCCCTGGATGAAGTGCAGTCAGCATCTTTTTCTTTTCCTAAAAGCACGAGAGGTGCAGTATCATCAACTCCATCTTCGCTCCAACACTGCCTCTGGATGATTTAATAAGGTTAAAAGACTAGTCAGCAATTACCCCCTGCTCAGAGGAGGAAAACTCTGAAGCACAATCGCATTACAGCTGTAGACAAATGCCAGGCACTACAAACACAAAGAAAGCAGCGCACTTTGCCTTCTATTTTTTTAATAATACATATTCACTTTGTTAAAAACTTCTTCTAAATCTCGATTATCCAGGTGTCTTTGTGTCTGTTCCAGAGCTTTGTAACGGTCCGACTTGAGACAGTCCAGAGAGTGTCATAGAGTGACATTTACTGCCTCTGCTGTGGGGAAACAGGTAAGCAGAGCACACCATCTACAAAGTAGTCCCCTTTGACACCAGCACTCTACAAATCAGGGCTGAAGGGCAGGCCAGGCCGGGTGAGGGGAGGGCGCTGACACACAGAGGTCCTTTAGAGTTCCAGCATGGCCCAGGAATGTGGCAGAACAAGCAGACGTCTGGGATTTGTCTGGCACCATGTTTGATTTTTACTAACCTCAACATGGGACAACTCAAGGGGAGCGAAGTGTCTGGTCATGGCCTGTCCCACTGAACTAACCCCATACCTGCTTTACAGTGATAAAAGTTTCAACCTTGAGAAGTGCTCGTGGGGGGTTTCCTCGCTATTGAAATTAGTCCTCCTAGTTGCACTTATTAGATAATACTTCCTGTATTAGTGATAGGAGGCAGATTTACAGCTCTCCGTGGTGGGCGACTCGCTCTAACATGAGTCGTGTTAACTCTGCTCATTAAATAGAGGATGTCATCACTCCACGCCACCGCTGGATCTAACATGTCACACATATCCTCCATAGGCCGGCCTGTGTCCACCCTCTGTCCATAACATCCTCTAAATCTGTCATTGCCGCCTGAAGCAGGGTCCCACAATTTGACCACACCGCCCATACACGCAGGTTTATACGTGAGTGTGGCAGGCACATGTGGAGGGAAAAATGCAGGTGTTTGTGTGGACGGATGTGTGGGACAGCAGCAGGGCCGTCCACATTGGGAGAGGTGTGGGTTCATTACAGACCCTGCTCTGTGCGTGTACATGGGCCAGATAAGCAGAACAGGACAAGATAAGGGAGCGAGGCCGGCTGCAGCAAAGTGCAGCCTGATATCCTGATGCCTCCACCAGATGAAACAGGGTTCAGCCTCTCCCTGATTCTTTACTCTATTGTTCACCCAAGAAAGCACTTTTTAACAAACTATTCCCTGTTTGGTTCAAATCAATGCAGGAACAAACTGCTGAAGCTGCAGGCTTTGTGCTGCATGTAATTACTATAAGAAAAGCATTGAATTGAAGAAAAAAGTTACTGGACAAAAACAGTATTTTGACCTTACCGTCTTAATTTAACATTTGCATCATACTGAATCTGTGCTGATGCATTATTTTAACTGAATATACCATTACATGCCAAATATCTCTATTGCAGAAAATCTGGTACACTCCTCATATGCAGTACTGTGCATAACAAAGTTACAATGAGAAGAAGCTTTTCACTTATTGGGTCTCAGTGTTATAAACATTTGCATGAGAAAACAGCGAAGGGCTTTCAGATCAGGTTCAACCTCATGCTTGAGGCTCCCTCCAAAGTTTTGTTGAAGCATTGCATGCGATTCATTTATCAAAGCATCTACAGACATCAAGAAATAAAAGTGGGGCAATGAAAGGGGTTCAAAGTTGTGAAACTTGATTGTCTTAATGTAAAATTCTGACCTTAAAAAATGAAGAAATAACTAGTTTTAATGAAGATAATTTGCAAGGTTGGTAAAAACAATAACAAGTCTGTATATATGATTTATTTTCAGTACATACAGATTATTTTAACTTGGGGATTGTTGAATTAATTCCATGTTTCGACCTCTGGGAGTAGCTTACTCACAGCAGCTATTTGAGCAGCTCCCTAAAACAATCAGAGCCCTTTGAAACTAACTCTACCCCCTGATTGGAATTTTCTCTCATGTATGTTTATTGTGTGTTTTATGAGTTGAAACTGGATCTTTATAAAGTCTAAAATGTGCATTAAAATGCACTGGTAGTAATCATTTCTGTAACTGGATAAAAGGCCGTTGAGGATTAGCTTGGGTCCTCTTGCAAAATGACCCATGCCAGCACCGACTATTATACTTCATTAGTCACTGACCCCCGGGACCAGGCAGGCCTTATGCTTACTCTTTTTTTAAATGAGTATCTCCTCATAGAAAACACTACAGAAATATGTTTATCTGTGTACTCAGAACACGTTTCAATGCGTCTGTAGCTATTTTTACTTTCTGTGGTGTAGAAGTCCATGCTTGCGTCCACCATGTGCATTTTTTGTGTGTGTGTTCATGTGTGTAAACCAATATTGAATCACCAGGTGTAGAGGTCATAATTCAGCAGCCTCGTAGTGATGCAGATGATGTTTACTGTATCCAAGTGGTGCCATTAGACATCATGTCTGCACAACTTTACCCGTTGCCTCTCCACCCATAGATTGCTCCTCTCATCATCAACAGTGCAATCATTCTCAGTGAGAGTAAAGCACAGGGGAGAGGAGAGGAGCCGGCCCGCCAAGATGGATGTGTGTTATTGTTTGTGGGATGACAGTGTGTTTCAATCAGCTCCTCTGTGCTCTAATCCCAGGTAGAGCTCTTGAAGTGCTGAGTCAGTTACTGCCTCATCGATCCATCACAGTGGGTTAGTAGTGGGCAGGTGTACTCCCGGGCTCCCAGGAGAGCGAGGAAACACCTGCCCTGCACTGCTCGGGACTTCATCATCCCGCCATTCCTTTGTCTCCTTCTGCCGGGAGCTCAACGTCGGGGCCACAGAAAAACTGTGAAAGCAGCACTTTTGTGGTCGTTTGTTGCCCGTACACAAAAATTAAAAGAAGGGGAGAGATGGTTTTCCCTTGCCTCCCACACCTACTCCCCCCCTCCTTCAGTTTTCTCTCACCCAGGAAGAGGGGACACACTCTGAATGGACCGCACACAACACAACAGACACTACAGCCTCCCAGCATTTAATAGAGAGCAGCCATGCAGGGTAAAGCACCAAAACACAGTCCCCAAATCTTCATTTTATTAGACAATCCAAAATGAATACTCTTTTACAATAGCTGTAGAGGAGGGTGACTTTGTAAGTACATTGAGGCAAAGCGCAGTGCTTATTATTACATTTGAGAGCGAGAGGTGAGAGTCTATGTTTCTCCTGCTTCAGGCAGTCAATTAGTGCCAGAGGGAAACACAGCGCTCCTCTGTTGCTGTCCGCCGAGGAGCTGTAAATAAAGGTTTTTATTACACCACACTATCTGCGTCTCTTCTCTGGACATCAATAGGCCAATGCTTTGGACTGTTTCCTAGTATAATCACCCCTCCTCTTTCTGCTTCACACTAAAAGGAAGAACCAAGGCCAGAGTCAACGGCTTTGAAAGCAAAAATAGTCCCAGCTTTGGATTAGTAACTTTTTTCAAGACTTTATCTCCCAGATAACTTGAATCGTGTCGGTGTATTATTTATTTGAAAAAAGGCTGAGGAACCAAGAACCTAAACAAACTTTCTCACTCTTACAAGGAACTAGGAGAATCTTATCTTTGCATACATGACAAAAACAGATCCTCAAAGACTGTTCTGACCCTTCTTTAGTATTTTATTGACTCAGTGTCATGACCACAAGTCTTAAGACTCAGTAAATGCTAAAAGTGAATTAAAACAGTTTTCTGATTTTAGAGGAGTTCAAACTAAAAACTGTGTGTGTGGAGAAAGTTCAGCCATTTTCCTCATGAACAAAGCAGCTTGTCCTCTTTAATGACATGAATTTTAAAGACAGTAGAGTTAATTAAAAAATGTTATACTCACAACACCAAGAGACTTCACCTGAGCTTAAAACTAGATGCCATTAAAGATTCTTCATAAATGTACACACAAAATGGAGATGACAATGCTCTTTGTATAGTTTTGGCACAAACTTGTTTGAGGCTAAAGTTGATATTTGCACGAAAACAACCAAAACAATCATGGATTTAGGTTCTATGAATGCTGAGACAAATTTCATCCTTGAATTACAATTTATTTTTTCAAAAGCCACAACCAATAAGAAGCATCAGTAACTTCCTCCACAAATCGTTAAAATATGTTTATATTGTTTGACTCTGTAAACTGTGAACTGCAAAGAACTTTAAACCTACATCAGAGGTTCTGAACTGATATCCCTGACTCTGAAACCCCCTTTAAACCTCTGTGCTGCTCATTATCTAGTCACCTATAAGGCTGGTGAAAATGTGTAAAGCAATCATATGGTTAGAGTAATAAAAAACGTAGATTTTTCTAAGAGATTGGCTTGTTTTTCATCATTCTTTTTGTCTGTTCAATGACATAACTTGTAACTCTGTGGCAAACAATCAAACAGCACACAGATATATTTGACAAATCCAAAGCAGTGAAATGTATACGTGCGCTACAACTCCTACTGCGGCTCCAGATACATGTTGGTGACAGAAAGCAGCACAACTCAAGGCCACTGTACCCAACTTTAGCTCCTGTAAATTGAATGCTGATTCTATTTATATTTGGTGTGATTTACACCCAATTTCCTCTATGCAAGTGAAGAGGAAACAGATGCGGGGAATTGTTCTTTCCCTAAATTCCTCTGAGAGAGATTCTCGTCAACACCGACGTGTGAGATTGGCTTTGTACTTGCATGTGAAAAGGTAGTAGACAGTGACTAAATTGACTCCCTGGTTTCCCTGCTCCGAATCTCCATTTCCTCACTGTTTCCACTTGCGTAGGTCCGTCTGCACAAAAAAACCCAGGTTAATTCAGGCAGGCTTCCCTAATGGAGGAGTGGAGCCAAGTCGATGCTTTCTCAGGACAAGGTCAACCTTAACGGCCCAAAAGCACAGACGGTCAGGGTTGGAGTTAGAGAGGGGCAGAGGGTTCGTTGAGATATTAGAGTAGTGGAGAATGATAAGACAAGGTGTGACTTTTGCAGAGGGAAACCGAGTTTAAAACTTAATAAATCAACAGTCCTCCTAATAAACTTTGCCTGTGCTATGCCAAATCTAATAGCCAAATAATAAAAATGTGTTCCACATAATTGCATTAATTAGAGAAAACAAATATGATTAAGATTTCGAGATGATTGCAGATAATCAAGTAGAGAGACATGAGACACAGGGGGGAAATAATTTAGTACTGAGGAATATTGTTTGACATTTACAAGGTGATGTGATTTGAAAATAAGACTCCCATCTTTTCATGGACCATGGTGCCATCTAGAGGATGGAGAAAAAACAGGACTAAAGAGGATTACAGAGAGGTTATATTAGAGTGCAGTTACTTTCTTTTTGCACAGTGCTGTATTCGAGGATATAAGCATTCACTATGGAGTAATTCTTACACTAGTAAAGGTGGATCAAGTGGGAAGGAAACCCTGCAGGTTTTGTGTAGGTTCTTCACACAATGTGCATCATTATGATATTGTGCCACCTACTGTTGGGTGTTCTCCTTCGTAGCAGAGCTGCAAAAACACAACCAGAGCAGCAAATCCACAGATATAATCAAATTAAAGTGATGCAAAGGTCAAAAGTCTACATTTTGATAAGTGAGCATTGCGTGCATGTACTTTCACGCCACCTGATAAGAATAAAAAGGTGGAAAGGTTACGTTCATGTCATCCCTCACCACACAGATGATTTGCAGCCCCCTGGCTCCACCCTCACAAAGATTTACTGTACATGAAATTTTTGCTGACATGGTCTTCTTCGGCCGCTGCGTCTCAGATATATGGGAAACCATAATTTGGAGGTGTAAAAATGGGTATAAAAGCTGTATTAATTATTTAATCGTGCATCTAAGTGCTGCCTTTTAGTCCACACCAGGATGTCATCCCCCTCTATTTCAGGGGGGTCGTTATATCACTCTTTTGTCACTGAAAAATTACAATCAAGATCAGGATTGTACAGTTGCATGGTAAATCATAGCAAACCCAGACCTTTTTATGAGCGTCTTCTATTAATTTTTTACCCCATTTAATGTAAATGAGCCACTAATTGCATTTAAATCACAGTTCTCTAACACTGGGCCTAATTGGAGGGTTGCATTGCGGTGAGGATACAAACAGAAGCTGATGCTGCTTCAGGTGAAGAGGATAAAGCGGAGACACACATAGAAGTGCAGAGAGCAGAGAAGTCCCTGGCAGGTAGCAGTGTGTGGGACCTGTGATATATCTTTGTGTCAGGGGGCAGTTAGGTACAAAGACTGAGGGGTGTGATCAACAACCAAACAAACATGTTGTCCTGGCGTCGGGGCGAGGAGGTGTACACAGAGCATCCATCACACTGCAGCTGTGAGAGGCTGATACTGTACAGCTCACTCTGGGTCCAGCTCCTCCCTGCAAATCTCAGATGTTAACTTCAATTATGAGATTATTTATCAGGACTACAGTGGTGATTGCTGGGTATTTGTTCATGGCGGGCAAAGGTTACTGTGGGGTGTGATAAAACAAAACATGTAACACAAAACAGGGTGACACAACATCTACTACTGCAGAAAAAACAACTGTACATGAAGATTTTCATCTACAGACATGCAGTCTGTGAAATTACAGTACTTTTAGGAAATATAACACTGTAATTTTAATCCTAATGCAATCAGAACAGTATGCTTGCTGTCCTGTATCCACTGAAACATTTTAAATACAGCTGACTGAGGATGAAAAGGTCATCGGGTCTATTACTGCAGCAAGGACACTACAAGCACAGTTCAAAAACAGTCCTCTTAGGTATTAGCTATGTGTGTATTTTTTGATGCATTTGTGCAGCTTTTTCTTTTACATTTGCAAACAAATTCGGGGTATTTTGTATCCTGTTTTCTTATTTAACAAAGCCAAGAAATGCATTTTATGTAAGAATAAAGATACAATTACAAAATTTGTAGCTCTTCATTGCAGGGAAGCAGCAGGTAGTGGTTGAAAGTTAGCAAAATAGTGAAAATTAAAGAGAGAAACATCAGTTCCTGCTAGATTAAGTTGGTTTAAGCTCGGTGATTTATGTTAGAAACAAAAGTATGACAATCAAGTTGCATCCATTCCTGCACACTGGCTTGGATTCTAACTTGCTTGCAATGCCTTTCATTGTAAAGTTTGGGTGATATAAGTGTTGTTAATATGTAAGAAGAAGAGCAAATAGTGTAACTACAGAAGAATCAAAGGAGCCAAACACTGACTGTCAGAGGAATTTGAACTATGGACTGATCATAAATACTCATCATTAATAGTGCCAGAAAAACATTACCCTTTTTATTGGGGCTGTATTTTCCTCACACACTACAATAAAGTTAATGACAGACATTGTCTAAACCATAAAACAGTCATATATTTGGAGATGCTGGTCAGCTTCAACAAGGCTCAGTAGCATCTGGCTCATAGATCACACTCACCCAATCAAGTATTCCTGTCAAGAAGATCTGTCTTGTTACATTTTTATTCATGCTATGAAGCTGTTTTGTCTGAGAAATTGCTGCTCAATCAGAAACATTATATCAATATGAACATGATACAGAATGGATATGTTCAAGAAAGTTTACAAAAAAAGTGTGGCGTCAGATCCTGCTGATGACAGGAGATTGTTCTGTGTAATACCATACAGTTGCACTCACTTTGAAACCTCAACAGTTGGTAGGGTTAAAGCAAACATGGTCTTGTAGCTAAGTGTCTTTCAATGTGTGCTGCAGAGTATTTATTGCATGATCCTTCTCAGTGATGCACTTTTCTGTGCAAGAAAATCTCTAACCTTCAAAATTTTGCAGAAACTGAGCTTTGTAAGGTCTTCCTATGGAAGTCATCTGTCTCATAACATCTTTATCTCAAACACCCACATGTAAAAATAATGATTTCTTTGTGAACACAAGTATTCCTGATTACTGCAACTTTATGAATCAAAGCATGCTTGCTGTGATCTCCACAGTCCCCACAGTAATAAAGAAACAGAGTCTGTGCAGAGGCACCACCCATTGCAGCTAAAGTCCAAGAGGATCATCTTTTACCCAGACTCAGTTGAATCCCTGCAGTCAGTGAAATTGTGACCTCTGCCATTAACACTGTGTCCTCCATTGCTACTGCCATACATATATGCATTTTACCATGAGTTTGATTCAGTACCACAAACTGGTGCTATTCAAGTACAAGAACGTGGGTTTTACTTAAACCATTGTGTTTCTTCATCCATATTGTGTTAAAAGTGGTAGGTTGACATATGATAGGGGACCCCGAAGACCTGTTTGATCCAGCCATGTAGTAAGGCCACTCTTCTACATGTCAAATTCCTTGCCCATTGATGCATCTAATGAAAAGGGTCTAAAAACTTGATGTTACTTTAGGGTGTTATGGCTTGTGCTCTCCAGCTGGTACATGCCACGAGATATGAACGTTGCAGGCCTACTGCTGATAATAAAGATATCTATTTATTACATTTAAAGTTAAATTTCAGTTTAACATATATGTCTACGAAGTTGTATCACTCCAAAACAATGTGCTGGAGCTACTCTAAAAATATTTGAAGAGGAGTTGTTCTTCCAGGATGAATTCCTCTTTCACCAGCAGATGGCGCAAATTGACATTTTTGGATTGCAGGAAGCCAAACACTTAAAATGACTACCTTTACCAACAAATCTCAACATTTGATGAAAGAGGACTGTATCCTAATGTGTTAACGTGTCAAAAGCCTTTCTCATACTGGTTTTTAAAACACTGGTGGGCGAAAGACTGCACAGTGACTGTCAGACCGGCGAAATGCTTGTCACGTGACCCACTCAGTTGTACGCCCGTGGACATCTGCAAAATGGAGGTGAGCAGCTCTCAAATTTTGCAAATTAAATAGATTGTTCGTGGATTGCATCATTTTGACGGTCTCGGTGTGATTTTAGTCATTATTTGAGGAGGATGCACAGTAGTGTGTTGTAATTTTTCGTTTGTTTGCGGTTCAGTATTCGGCGCTGTTTGCACAAGCCAAGACTGCAGCCTGGCTAATGGTGCTCGATACTATGAGGCTAACCTGCTGGTGTTAGCATTTGAGAGCTGTAGTGAAGTTTTCTCTGATATTTGACTGACGATATTAATTAAAGCCATGATTCGTGACCCGTGTTAGTGAAATTAATAGAGGTTTATTTTCTTTACAGCAGTGAGGCTTTGTTCAGCCTGCAGCATTACTGTACACTAGAGCTAACTGTAGGCCGCTCAGGCTAACCAGGCCTGAGCCTGAGCCTGTCATTTTTACACAGATGTGTTTTTACCATCTCAGCTTTTTATGCTTTTCAGTACATTGAGGTTGAGATTCGGATGTTAGCCTTTCTAATTCACAGATGCGCAGGTGTATTCTGGCAACATGTTATTTAGAGTTTAACCATCCAGTCAAACCTCCTGTCAGATGAAGTTGCAGTGCGTAAAATCTGTTATACAGCAGGTGCAGAGTTCACTAATATAACTAGCGGTTTATTTCTGCAAGTACTGAATGACAATTTTTTTTTACAGCTGCAATAATCTTTTATTTGTTGTTATGCATTTTATAGGACCATGGCTCTAAAGAGCCCGAGCAGCTCAGAAAGCTGTTTATTGGGGGTCTGAGCTTTGAAACCACGGAGGAGAGTTTACGGGCCCATTTTGAACAATGGGGGACACTCACGGATTGTGTGGTACGTGTTTCTTTATAAGAAAAAATACTGGTAAAATCTCTTAAAATGCTTCATTTACATTGTGTCTCTTTTTTTGTATTTTCAGGTGATGAGGGACCCCAACAGCAAGCGATCAAGAGGGTTTGGATTTGTAACCTATTCCTCTGTAGGGGAAGTTGATGATGCCATGAAACAAAGGCCTCATAAGGTAGATGGGCGAGTCGTTGAACCCAAGAGGGCAGTGTCCAGAGAGGTAAGCAAACCCCAGACCAGAGGGCGTATTCTGTGGCAGTGTTGTTTCGATTGTAAACACATTGATGAATCTGTTTTCAGGACTCTAACAAACCAGGGGCCCATCTGACAGTGAAGAAGATCTTCGTCGGTGGAATCAAGGAGGACACTGAAGAGTATCACATCAGGGAGTATTTTGAGAAATATGGAAAGATTGAATGCATTGACATCATGCAAGAACGCTCCACCGGGAAGAAGAGGGGCTTCTGCTTTGTGTCCTTTGATGACCACGACACCGTGGACAAAATTGTTGGTATGTGGTTTCTTAGACTCTTAGAGTGGGAGCATAAGAAAAGGTCAAGCACTGGTATGATTGATACAAGTTTCTGTCCTGTTTCCCTTCCAGCTCAGAAGTTCCACACAATCAACTTCCACAATTGTGAGGTCAGGAAAGCTCTCTCAAAACAGGAAATGAGCGCTATGTCCACCAACAGGGGTGAGCGCACCATCTTATCAAGAAATAGTGACATTTTCTCATCATAGCTGTATAGTGCAAGTTTTAGGTTGTATTCACCTGAAATATCTGTATAATGTCATCTCTTTCTAAAACAGGCAGGGGTGGAGGATCTGGAAACTTTATGGGGAGGGGCAGTAATTTTGGAGGTGGTGGTAACTACGGCCGTGGTGAGTTGTTTGTTTTTTTGTCATAGAAATGTGACACTTTAAAAGAATGTTTGTTGAGTTTGTCTCTTATGGTACATGGTTCCAACAGGTCCAGGCAGGTTTAGGTTTGTTATCGCTATACAAATAAGAGTATAAAGCTGTGTTAATTCCAAAGGTTAAGAGTAGTAACTCCTGAATTTATAGTTGTATTCATGTCCTGCAATCCTGCATCAGTTATATCTTTATTCTGGTGTCTGAACCTGGAAGGTAACACATAAACATGCAGAATAAGTCCCAACAGTAAGTCAAAAGTATGAGAACATGACTTTTAAAGACAGATTTGTGCAGGGAGGCATTGCTTTTCCAACCCCTAACTCTTGGCAGTTATTTATATACTAATATATCTGCTCAAAAGTGTATGTTTACAATGTAATGAAAGTTTAGCTGAAGGTGAGAGTAGAGAAGGTGATTTCATCTCTGTAAGAGCTGCAATAATAAACAAATGTGTCACAGTTTTAATACGTCATATGTTTAACCTTCATTTTCAGGTGGCTATGGTGGCGGACGAGGTGGTTATGGAGATGATTTTGACAATGGTGAGCTCTCATTTAATATACCTCCAATAAGTGGGAAATGTTTTCAAAAAAGGAAATGTGGTTAGCCACTCTTGGTCACATGGACTGCTCCTGCAGCCATGTCATGGGTTTATTATTCCTGCTGGCTTAAACAACAACAGTGTTGTCTACAGAAAGTGCTTTACAACAGTGTGATGTTGTTACAAACAAGGTTATGTAAGTTTGCCCTATTTTTCCCTTTCACAGGTCCAGGGGGCAATTATGGTGGAGGGCCAGGTTATGGAGGAGGCAGAGGAGGGTATGGAGGTGGTGGTCCGGGATATGGGAACCAGGGTGGTGGATTTGGTGGCAGCTGCGATGGAGGATACGGCGGTAATGGTGGAGGTAACCATTTTAATGCCTGCAGAAATACAACTAAAGTGGTAGATGTCAATGATTGAAACCTTTGAATACTGGCCATCAGAAAATCAAGGCTTGGCTTCTAACTGACCCTTGGATCTTCAGGTTATGGAGGAGGTGGAAATTACAACGACTTTGGAAATTATGGAGGACAGCAGTCCAACTTTGGGCCCATGAAGGGAAACAATTATGGTGGCAGAAACTCAGGGGGACCCTATGGTGGTAAGTTACAGTGTCCAACTGCCGAAGAGTTGACAAGACTTTGAAACATTTGTGAAATTATGTCCTTGTTCCCCTTGGAGTTCCTTTTCTATTTCGTAATCGTCAATCCTTGATCACAGGTGGCTACAGCTCTGGAGGCGGCGGTGGCGGAGGAGGCTATGGCTCTCGACGATATTAAAAGTTTCATGTTTTGGTAAGTTGCCTTCAGTTTCACTGCACCCTCAGAGCACAGTACAGAGTGAGCCCATGAAAGTGCAGAATAACTATTTGTTCTATCCTGTATCCATTCAACAGGCTTCAGTTCTTAGCTGCAGAGGCGAGGAGGTGAGCAAAGGAGTTGTCAGGAAAGCTGCAGGTTACTTTGAGGCAGTCATCTGAAAGCATTAGAGGAACACACGAGTCAGACTTTTACTGCAGCTAAATGGAAGAAGGACTGTTAACACAAGACATGAGTGCAGATGATACCCTACCCTACTTGTGATAGATGTCTCCTATTAAGAAATTTTTCCTTTTGTGCGTCTGAAGTGTGTGTATTGTGCCTATGGTATCAGGGGTAAAGAGAAAATTGTTTTTTTTTATCTTGAGTCCGTTCTTAATATGTTAATTTTTTCTTTTTTATATGGGTTAGTTTTCTGCTGGCCAATTAATATTTTGTCTTTTAACCTGGTTGTGTCATATAGTATAGTCATATCAGGCCCTCAGATGAGCTAGAAGTACACATTTTTTTTCTTTCTGACGTTATTATGATTGCTCAATTGAAGTGTCAAATGTACTATTATTTTGTATGTGAAGCACAGTATGTAAATCCTTCACAGCACCAGTGTGAACAGCTATAAGCAGCCTGGATCAGAATTAAGGGAATCCCTCACTCTTTTTTTGTTCCCAGAAAACCAGAACTCTAGATTGTTTCGGGTATTTTGATTAGTCGAAAAAGACCGAATAAAATTGTGTAGTAAAGTAACATGAAGTTCAGTGCATCATTGGTTCAGAAAGAGATTTAATGAGTTCTTTATCTGTTGCTTGCTTATTGTGAATGTGAAGTTAAGACACCACCTAGTTCAAACCTTTTTCCTCCTCAAGGGAGAAATTTGATATTTTTGTGAGTGAAAATAGTGTTTGTATTGTCAATACTTACACTATTACAAGTGAGTGTTGTGTAGTCCTAGGGCAGGGGCCCATACACCATATACGTTTGCCAGTGTTGAGCGATTAGGATTATTTCAGCCACAAGCTCCTGCAGTTTGGCCCTCAGCATCGCTAGTGTGGAAGATTGCAGATGACTGTCAGACAGGACGTCTTCAGCCCCAGCACAGTGGACCAGTCAGCATTTTGAGAGAGAAGGGAGAAGGCAGCATCGAGCACATCGCCATTGGAAGGAAGCTTGCAGTGTCGTTCCTGGTAGTGAGCATCTATCTCTCATTTTCAAGGCTAGCTATACCCTCCAGCAGCTGATGCTAGCGAAGAAAGACTAGTGCCTGGACACATTGGATATCCTGTTGAGTCAGACATACTACAGTTTTACCCGCAGACGCTAGATTTCAGACATTAACAAGAAAAGGGAGTGAGTATTTCACAAAAAGCTGGCTTGAAGATGGAGCAGGTAAGAGTAACCACTTTGCTTGATTTGCAGATGTGGAATGAGGCATTCTCTTCTTGCTGAAAATCTGTAAAGACCTGATAACATGGAAGGTTCTGGATGGGTAAGACTTTTTCAAAATATTATACAAGGCTACTCATACTGTAAATTCAAAAGTGCACATGGTGATTAAAACAAGATGGAGGTTTTTGGAAAGCAAAACTAGCTCCACTTTGATCTGGATCTGCTGGAGACTCTCTCCTTAATAACTTGTTTATACTGAGGGGCAAATATGTAGTGATATGTTATCGTTCTTTACCTCAATATTACACGTGTTTCACATAATTATACTGAGAACTGACCAGTCTTAGAGAAATAAGTATGTATGGTCAGTGAGCCTGAATGTTAATGACAGAAGTTCAAGTCCAGAATGTGAAAAGTGTTCATTTAAATTCTTGCTAGCATAATTAGCGAAGCATTAGCATTTAAAAGGGGGGTGGAAATTAGAAGTCTAAAATGTGGTGCTGTTCATTCAATACTACCAAGAAAGTATTGAGCTCACATATTTGCTAGTGTAAATAAAACCGAGAAACATTTTTAAAATTAGACGCTTGCGTTTTTAGACCACACCAGAGTCTTAAAGTGGCATTAACAGTAGCAGGTTGTTGAGCTAAGCTACGGCTACCTTATCTAATGCAGTTTCTAGATGTGCATCACTCAGAGGGGCATTATCAGGTCACCACCAGTCTTTGATGCTTAATTATATAATTAATTATGTATTTTTAATAACTTCAAAATCAGTAATAGCATTTAATGTATTAAATGTACTCTCATGAGCCACTTTCTAATGAAGACCAATGCTTTGTACTGATCTGGCACTAATATTCCCCCATAATAAGATGATTTTCCTCCACTACAGGCAGCCAAATGTCAAACTGTTTCACATAAAGGGTGCCCTGGTCTGAAGTTAAAACTGCCAGTAAATGAGCTTTTAAGTATAAAACACTGTATGCGTAATACAGTGTTTTATACTTAAAAGATCATTTAAATCTCAGTATCAACTTTATTTGCTTTCTATGGGTTTTAAGTATTGATTCATTTTTACAGCAAGGCCAAAATTTAAATACCAAAAAAATCCTCTAAAGCAGTTTTTTTTTTCTTTCTATAATAAATAATCACCATGTCTCTGTTGTAGTTTGTAATGACTGTACCGACGGATGTGTTAGCGAGTTGAAATGTTCAGTTTAAAATCACATCTTCAGTAGAAAGTGATGAAATGATTCAAAGGACAAACAATGCCAGCTCTTCCTCTTCAATCAGATGAAAGATAGTGTTTCTGCACAAGAATGTGGATTGACCAACTTCTCTAAAGCAGGTCTGCTTGGTAAAAGCACATCAGTATCGCTGCACTATGTTGGCCGCGCAGTGAATTTGTGTAAATGTACAATGTGTCTTGTGCTCTTTAATAAAAACATTTTTCATGACTCCATTTGGTTTATTTCTCAGAAGCTCTAAAGAGGCTTTGCTCAGTGGAAATGGTCTTGAATGTAAACACTTCTGGATGTAAAGAGGTTTGGGTTTGATGTATTTGATTTAAGGACGTCCTTGAGTGTTCACTTCAGTTTACCATGAGAGCAGAAAACAGGACCAAAGGTGGTGTTTGTGTGGGAGCGTGCGGATAGAGCACATAGTGATTGCGTAGGGCTTTACCTTTTGTATATGCTTGCCTGGTGGACCATTGTGAAGTTGTCATGCATGGTTTATACTGAGCATACTCCACAATTGTACTCTTTGTTGTGTAACATAATGAGTGCAGTGGGTGGGGTTTCTTTTGCGACTAGAGGTTTACAGTATTAAAAGATTCGGGTTACTATACAAACAAGTGTGGTCCAATAAAAGGCAAGCAGATTATAAAACGGTTAAGCCAATAACACTCTTGTTTCGGTACAATATTCCTTTCATTTGCTGCTTCCTAAGCTCTTTGGTAGGGCTTTCGCGTCAAGAACCAACTTGAGCATGTGGTAAGTTATGTAATCGTTCCTTAGACTATACATCCATCTGGCATCAATCTGTTGCAGACCATAGTACACCACATAATGTTCTGTTCCCAGAAAACAGGAGGCTGTATGTCTATACTGTAAATACTTTATTTCAAAGCAGAGAAGTCAAGATTTAAAAAAAGAACTTGGGCAGCAAATCATACGGGGACAGTTATAAAATATGAGAATAATAATGATTGAAACAATCGTTAAAATACAGATATATGGTATATACAATCTATTTACACACATACAGTAACAGTTGTATCAATCTCAATAGCAAGTGATGTTTATATTTACAAACAATATTGTTTAAAGAATCTGACGATATCGAGTACAAAAGAAGTAAAATATCAAAAATATTACATTCAAAAGAAGTGCGCAAAAACTATACAATAGTTCTGCTAAGCTAGTAATGCTTTAAAGCTGGGCGACTACAAAGTTATTGCATAGTATTACTATAATAATGCTGTACCATTCTATTTAGGAGAGAAGAGTTTATCTTCACTCTTGATGAAAGTCTTTTTTACTCGAGGAACGAGGAAGATGCTGCCGTTTGTCGACTGCTGCAGGGAGTAGTCAGACGGGGAGTATGAGTTCCCCTTCTCGTCTCTCAGCAGGCTGAAGACCTCCAGGTACAAGCTGTTGAGTTGCTGCTTCATTTCCTTCAGGTCTGCTGCGTTCTGGCTCTTCTCACTCAGCAGACGCTCCTTCTCCTCCTTCAGTGAGTCCAGGTCACCCTCCAGACCCACTATGTTCTCCATCTTGCGTTTGCGGCAGTTCTGGGCGGCCACTTTGTTCTTGCCACGGCGGCGTATGTCTCGGACCAGGGCCAGCTGAGCCTCGTTCAATTGGTGCTTTGACATCAACTCGTTGAAATCATCAACAGGCAGATTAATAATCATGGATACAGTGAAGGGGATTTTGAGGGCCTTGGCCCTCTGCTCGTCTCTGGAGAGACGCACATCAGAACGTTTCTTCACCTTGTCTTTGGTGAAGGGAGTGCTGTTGTGCCCGCTCTCCTCTGCTAGATCTGTTTTGTGGTGTTTGTGTGTCTTTTCCTGCTCTTGATGTGGCTGCCTTGTTCCAGCGGATACAGAAATTGATGGCTGAAGATCATCAGGTTGAAAGTTAATAGAGAACATCTCTGAGTAGTCAGATTCTGCACTTCCAGGGTTTTGATCCATCTCTTCCATGTCTGAATCACTGTAAAGAAAGGAGCCATCCCCGTAAACAGACTTTCCAGGAGAACTGGCATTGGGGCTTGTGGTAGAAGAGATTCCTGAATCTGAGTCTGGCATTTCTGCCGTCAAATTTTGATTTCCTCTGTCAAAAGCATCACCGGGTGAGAGGCTGTAAAGGTCCATTGGTGTGAAAGGAGGTTTGTTTTGGATATCTGACATGGCGTTAATTTCATTTCCTTCAATGCCATGTTGAACGCTGCCCTCTTCTAGGATGGCATTGGGGTAAAAAATGTCACAGAAACTCTCTGTGCTGAAGTTAGTATTTAACTCTGGAGCCTCTGCTTTCATCTGGCTGAGAGTGTCCGCTGGAGCCATGCTTGGAACAGAGCCATCAAAAGTATTCATAAACTCTGCCGGACAAACATTTACACTGTTTGTTTCTGCCTCTGTGAGATTGGTCATGGGGTAAAATGTGTAGTTTGGATTCTGTACGTCTGGGCTGCTCTGAAGAGGGTAGGCTGTGGACTCCAGCGTGTCCTCCATTTGCATATTGAGGCATTGCTGGAAGAAAAAGAAAAAGATGCTCAAACATATGCAGACAACAGCTTTGCTTCAATATATGAGATATGCTCTAGTAACAAAAACCAGAATCCAAGATGAGTTATTTTGCTGTAGGATTAACAATCATATAAACAAGAATATTTATACATTACAAAACAAGATCTGTGGCACACAGGCTTGTGAAAAAGTTATGAAAAAAAACCATCTACAACTGGCATGTTCCTGATTGCGAAACTCAAATATTGAAGTCGGTCATTTTTAACACTAAAAGGTACATTTCTATCTATAATTCTCACGAAAGAGACTGTGGCATTTAGACAAGGTAGCCTCCTGTACCTTGAAGGACTCCATATCTAGCGCTGTAAAATGTCCTTATCACATGTGTAAGTCTTATATGAAGCCTGCCAGAGCAACTGCTGCTTAATGCTAAAACTGCGGTCGACACAGTCGTCCAGTCCACACAGGAAAAATGAAAGTTCAAAGCAACAAATGCCACACAGCTCCACCCATCAAAGAATGCAAATATGAGCTGCCTTGAAACAAAACTGATAAGGCAGCGACAGGAAAAAAAAGTACCAGTACAAAAGTCTAAGGCAAAGGATTTGAGATAGCCACACCCTGGCTAAACTAGATGTCTTCCTAATCAGCTGGATTAAGCTAGTGGCTATTAATCATAAAAACTGCCTCACATCTTGAGTAACAAGCTCCCTAACTCTCAGGAAAAGTCTCGACATTGAAACCTAATCGCAGAGGAATGAGACGGGTGTATCGCTCTCATACAGGCGCCTCGGTCTCAAAAGGCGAACAAAAAGGTGTTTGTCGCTTTAATGCTGGGCTCCTGACGTTAATGCATTCTTTGGGTATTTGTTCCAACAAATACCAGCGCAGACCACTGTGCCACCGAGGCGTTACAATTCGAGTATTATACCTGCAGCTCTGGGAGGGACAAAAGCTCCATCCAGGCCTGCTCCAGATCTGGGGACAGCCTCTGTTGGGGTGGTAGCGATGGCGGTGGGGAGAGAGCTGGCTGCTCTGGGGACATCATGGGTGCTGTAACAACAGCCGTTTCCAAGCAAGCTGAGGAGTTCTGTGAATAAAACACAAGAATATGGCTTATCTTATACAGCCAAGAACCAGGTTAAACTGTCAGATGTGTTGTCATGTGTGTAGTAATGATTTAATGCTCTTACCTCAGCTTCTCCTACAGGAAATGTCTCTGCCAGCAGCTGTAAGCACTCATCGAATGACATGGCATCGCTGTTGTCCTCTGTGAATCTGACATTCTGCAAGAAAAGGTTCAAAAGCTTCTTTTAAAGTGACCTCTCTGGCATCCCTTCTAGTAAAAACAACATTTCATATTAATAACACTCCTCTCTGAGGAGCAGTTCCAAAGGCACAACACACCAATGCAAAACTACAGACCCACCTGTGTGTCTGTAATTACACGGAGAGAGGTGGTTACCTAGCTACGACAAAGCCGCAGCCTATCGAATGAGGTGGGAGTGTACCTCTTCTGACATGATTAATGACGGCCACGTGCATTTACCTGTGTAATCTCCAGAGGCGTGACAGTCGTCTGCAATGGGGCGCTGGTCGGCGGGCATGGTATGTACTCTCCCGTCTCTTCGTCGAGCTGAAGCTGTGCCAGCAGGGCCTTTTCCTGCTCGCGCAGCAGATCCAGCCTCTTCTCCTCCTCCAGCTCCCTCTGCCGCTGCAGCTCATGTTCCTTCTGACGATGGTTGTAGTCAAACACCTCTCGCCTGGCACCCAGATCGATGTCCTGCTTCCAAAGTATGTCAATCAGGTTCATGTCCTGGAAAGACAACAGCAGATCAGTTTAGAGAGTTGTGAGCCGCACACATGCTTGTCCTGCAGAGAGGGAGAAAGAGAGCGGTGTTAAAGGAAGAGTGTCCCTGCTGTGAAGTGTGGCCGCTGCACCCGCCACACCCTGCCCCTCTGTATCTGTTCACCAGCAACAACACTGGCACTAATGTCAAGAGGGAGAAGCCACATGAATTATGCATGTTCCTCTCTCTCCTGTTGCCACCGCGCTTTAGCTACAGACACGAATCATCAGTTGATACTCTTGAAGGGCAGCCATCATTACCCATATAATTACATGGAGGTGTGAGTATGTTTTTCCCATTCAAACTCATGAATAGGCCAGACTTAAGTCAAGTTTAATGCACAACTGACCTTGTATAAGGATTTAACAATATTAGTGATATAAGTGCATGTCAAGTCTTTAAAGCAAACCTGTAGTTCTGTTTCTGGGTCCAATCATAGCCTGTAATATAATGATTTTGCTTAATCTTCAAAGCAAATAGCTGAAACTACAGACAACCAGTCTCACTAGATTATGTCACAATTCTGATTTTTTTTAAAAACTTGGTCCTGGATGAATTTTTTACGGCATTAAGGCTTGAGTGTTGCTGACAATATGGACGACAGAGAGCATTAACAACTGGGAATGTTTTGAGACTCTTTCCTGTTGATTTCCTCTCACAAGCTGAATGTTATTTACAGCTGTAAACAAAAAGGATTGAAGATAAACTGAACTCCTCTCTTTCTAGGCTCTTTCACCAGACCGTATTTACAGAAGGAAATCATTTCACAAGGCCCACAGAAGTTACATCAACCAAAGATACTGCTTCACACAGGAACATGTCTGCGCATGTGACCTGTTTGTTCCCCAGATTTGGGTCTAAACATGACTTATAAGCTGATGCTTGCAAACCAGTCATATGGCCTGAGCAGACAGAGCTAGGAGGAAGCAGAAAGACAACTACAGGGAAATAAGGTGCAAAGCAGAACAATACACAGGGAAGAGGATGTAAAACTAAGAAGAAACTCAGCCTCCTTTGATTTCTTAGAATCAATCAAATGTGGGCTTGGGGAAGCTTTCAAAACCTCGTGATAAAAAAAAAAAAGTCTTTCCGTATTTTAAGACATTGTTGACACAGTTTTTTTTCTTTTCACCCCAGCAGCGGCACAGCAAAATAAGAACCCACTAACCCTCTTTGCCTCAGTGTTGCATCAGAGGCATGACCACTGAAGGATTACGCATTACCGAGGCTGCCTACTATAACTCACAACCTGACTGGGATGTGTGCACACAAGCAGGCATTATGTCTACTGAAGGAACGAGGAAGTGCCCTAAAATATCTAAATGGGACGTCAGTACGCACTTCTTGAGGTCGGTTATGTTTTCCAAACAGAAAAACCCACACTCTTGCCAGTTGGTCACACCTTATAAGCTCATCAGACAAGTCATACCAGTCCCTTAAAAACAAGCCCATGTCTAAATAAGGTCTGTCTGCTTATGAAGGGAAAGTTCAATCAGGTCTTTCACTGCCACTGATTGATATTGCTGTTATATAACTTTAGACAATCATAGTCACTTATGTATGATAACTTTTGTACAGTATTAGAGACAAATAGGTTGTATAATTGTGGGTGTGCGAGATCAGGTTATCAGGATGGTATCAGAAACAAGGCTGTCACCTGACACTCTATTGGCACCAGAACGAGGAAACTAGCTCAGTTAATTTCTTATGTTTCCCACACCTCTCTACCACACAGTACAAGCTTGACATTATGCTGTTGGTTTAAAATAGAGAGGACACTTACACCACAGTTTCCAAAAACACACACAGACCAAATTAAAAGCTAAAGGTTAATAGAAATATCTAACTGCGTGTTAAAATGCTGATACTGGTGTGTGTGCCTTAAGTTTTGGTTGTTCATTTACCTCCTTTCAGCTTAACACAAGGGCCTCAAAGGGGAGCTGATTCCTGTGGTTTACTATGGCCTCTCTGAGTGGACATGCACCCTTGACCATGGATGATGAAACACAGCCGCACATGCTCCAAAACAGCCCTGTTTTTTAAGGCCCTCACCATCACTCAACTGTGTACTTCTACTGACCCTGACTTATGGCAGGCTTAACCAAACACTGAAGATGGAAGGCTAGGACAACATTTTAAATACATAACATATCACATCCAAGGTGATTTTATGACTTTCTTTTAAACATGCAAGAAAATAAGAGCTAGGATATAGTTTTAAAACAAATATCCCTAATGGCTGAAAAGCTTGTCTACATCAGATATGGTATCACATGCTTTGAGGAAAGCAGGGGGCGGGGAGTGAAAACAGTTATGGGAAAAAGGCTCCAGAAGCTTCGGCTCAGTTGACCCAAGTAGACAGTATAATAAGAAAATACCTGAAAGTGTCCGGAATATCGACTTAAACGATCAAAATAAACTTTGATTTTGTTAAGAGTTCATTGTATTTCCTGTCGAGGAAGAACGTCACAAGTGAATGACTTGCAGAACTGAAGCAGTTCAGAGGTTAAAATCCACAGAGACCCCGGTGCACTGTGGATTTCTATGAAGTTGTTACTCTATTATAAACTCCTAACTACGCCGTTAGCAGCCTGTCATCTTATATAAGGCTGTATCATAACTATACGATACACAAACGCATGCCAGGGATGGCTGTTAGAGGAAGTTAAGAGCCGGTTTGCGATCACTTGGAAGAAACAACTCTTATTTACCTGTTGACCGGAATGCATCACCTCCATATCCATCATCGTGGAGATCCGTGTCACCGTGAAGAAACGTCTTATTATGATGAACTCTTTGTATTAATCCTCAAATGACAAATTAAAAATGGCGAGCAGTCCGTCCGGAGACGATAAGGTCCGTCACAGCAGCTCTACTGAAAAACATTGCTTCCTCAACATGTAATGATCATTACGGAAACGCTGGCCCTGCCTACCGAGCAGCGGCGCCGGGATCGTCCCACTCACACCGGCCTATGAGACGCGGAGGTGATGTGTGTGCATGCGTGGGGGGCCCACCGGGCATAACAGAAATGGAATATAAATACAATTAACACTTTTGACTGAATTTACAAAAATATATCTCTACTACGAGAGTCAGATATTTAATAGTGGGCATTTGAAGGTCATAGGCTGATAACCTACTTCTGAAGGTGGTGGCACACGTGACCAACAAGAATTAAATTAACTCTATTTTTTAAAAGAAAAACAAAAAGAAAAGATTGTATCTTAAAAGGGAAACAACTTTAAAATAAAAATAAAAAACAAACAAACATCTTTTTACAAGCTACTTCATATATGTTACGGATTATGTATGACTACCGTTTCTATTTCAAGTACGTCACCAGGAGAGTTTTGATTGGTGCCCAGCGCCCCCTGCTGGTAACAAAGCCCAAAGTGGAGCTGGAGGCCCTGGGGCCCTAATGTCCCGTGAAGGGGTTTAAGACGTCCTCTATCCACTGAGAAAAAAAAAGTCACGTTATAAACTCAGTGGTGGACTAAACAGTATCTACTAGAAAAGTGTTATAATCCAATCAACTACTGGAAATGTATCTAAAATGTAGTTTAAGTGAAGCTATAGAAACCAATGCAACTCCATTTACAAATTGTAAGATATCTGTAAACTAATAACTATGGATTCAAGTCCCTGTAGTTTAAAGCACTTGAGACAGTTAACTTTGAACAGTGTAATATAAATAACACTTGATAACTAACTGACTAACTCATTTACTTACAGGAGTAGCCTACTTACTTATTTACTTACTAGTGTTGTTCACATATTGACATGCAGCCTAACTCAAGTTTGTTAAGGAGAAGTTCATTTTAACTGAATGCATTTAAAGATAGTTTTACCCATGACATGCATCATACTATGATGATTTCTTAAAGATCAAAGTTTTATATTTTCAGATATAAAGACACATAACTATGACAGTTTGTTCGAAGTTTATGTTAGCAACTGATCGTATAAGTTTTCTATTGTTTACTCAAGTTCTTCGGCTAAGTAGCCTATGTTTTTGAGGTTTTGTGTACTTTCCTTGAGTATTTCTAGTTTATATCACTTTATACTAATGCACTTTTCAACTTCTCCTGTTACCCATCCAAACAACATTTATTGCGCACTTTTGTACTTTTTGTATGCAAAGTACAATGCTTAATTAGAAAACACTCAAAAGTCTACTATGGGGAGGTGTATAAAAACTTTTTCTATGTAAGTTTATTATTAAAAAGTGTTTAATTAAACATATCAACTGTAGATTATACAAAGCAATTAAAATGACACAACTCTGAAGTCTGACAGTGAATGCTTCAGCATTAACAGTGGAAGCCTTTTTAAAGTAACTTTTAAAACAATTATTTTTAAAGTAAAACTTACTGGGAAAAGTGTGCGTAAGGAGTTGTGGTTTTGAAAGATTGCAGAACTTTGCATTGCAGTGGTATTTGGGCATTTTAACATAAAGAAGGGTTTGAGTTCCTCTTCTGGTGCAATGACTAAAAATGTGCCAAACTTTGGCTCCATGATGAGCACTATAACATAAAAATCCTTTTTTAACATTAATGTATCAAGAATTCCACTTGCAACTTTTCCACTTTCTTATTATCTAGAAGAAAACATGTTTAAAAGTAAATAACCTCCACACTTTATTTTCTAATGAGTCAGTATTGATTATTAGACGATACTGTGTGGAAATCCAAAACACACTACTTCTCAAATTAGTTGTTAAGGCATTAAAATCCTTTAAAGTTAATTAAATCTGAGTCATTCTGACATCTCAGCGTAAAAAAGAAGTCGGATCCTGATGTAATTAAGTGGCTTTAGAAATATGTCAGGGTACTAAGACAGACTCGGTCCTGGCTGTGGCACCTATCTGTGAAGAAGCTCACACTAAAGTGCAGCTCACTGTGCCACTGCGTGAAATTACACTAAAAAGCCTATTTTTCCCCCTCTCATGCGCGCTCATGAGCACGCGTTCACGTTTGGCAGCTCCACGTCGACATTCTTCCAGCTGCATATAGTGAAGTGCACAGGACTGGGGGAAGAAAAGGTAAAAGCGGCGACAGCCACCTTACGACCGGAGCGCTGCAAGTCCGCAGACGGACACCGACCGCAGTGAAAAGAGGGGTTTGCAAAGTGAATTCCGCTATGGCCTGCAAAGTGCTCACATCGCTTTCTGCTTTTGCATTTTGTGATCCAGACTTGCCCCCTCGTGTTGGATTGCAGCTGCTTACTTTGCGTTTACCTACATCAGGTACAGTATGACTCGCAGAACTTTTTTCTATGTCTACATCATGATACTTGTTGTATTAATCATTATTAAGGTTTTTGTTGATTTCAGAAACTGTTTATTTTGATGTGTTATTTTGCACCTCGCTGCCACTTTCCTGCTGCTGAAGTGGCAAGTGTCATGAGTAGCTTTAAACTGGCAGAACTTTATAATCCTGAAGTTTTTTGCACTCTCCTCATTTCTATCATAAAGTCTTAGTGGTCATTTATAATCAGTTACTTATTCACCTTGGCCTGGTCACTTCATTGAGTTGTAAAAGTTCAACAGGTAGAATCAATGATACATGGGCATAAGTGGAGTGATCTTATTATATTCAAAGATACCACTAGAAGTGGATACTTCAAACATGTCAGCTGATCTAATCTGGTTGATGAAGTTGTTACCAAACAGATGGTCAAGCATATGAGGGTAAGTAAATACATTTTGGTATTGATTTTTGGTCAAAAGAATGCCAGAATCAACTTCGACACAGGTCCAAATTATATTTAGCCATTTAATGATTTCTGTGGAGAGCAGCCAATGTGTAAAAAGTCTCCATCTGGCCTGCTTCACCTGTGTTAACTCTGTGGAGGACTTACTCCATAGCAAGCGTCTGTAGGCCCTGTGCCTAAAGCATACAAATCTTATTCAAAAGTGTTACTCATATTAGATCTGTTATTTCTTTCTTGCAGTTCTCTGTTTTGTATTGCAGTTGTTGCAATGAAGAAATCATGAAAGGGGATGCCCTGTTTTCTTGCTTTTTGTGCAGGTTAAAGGAGCACTCAGTCATAAGGAGGATAAGGTCCTACACAAGGACAAACCTATGAGGTGGCACTGTGGCTTTCCAAATAAAGTTCTGTGATACACTTAGACTCTAATTGCTCGCAGTCAGTGCATTACAGAACTTTGTTTTGGGAGTTAATACTTAGCCTGTGGGAAATAAATCATCTAACATCTGGACATTTAAACTGAATGCAGTGGTTACATGTGAGCTGTTTTCTCAAATAAAGTTTCCCTCTGTATCAAGCCTTTTCAACAGTCTCTGTCTTTTTTTGTGAATTAAACCATGGTTTAGTGTATTCTGAAGTATTTTGCAGCTCATGTACTTTAACTTTGTGTTAAATCATTACTTAAAGGGCACTGTGGTATGCCATATGGAAACAGCAGACATGCTGGTCAGGTGACTGAGTAGAGGTGAGGTAGGCAGGTAAACAGTGAAGTCATGTTGTTTCAGGTTACTCAGCCTTTCAAACCACACAGCATTATCAACACATTAGGACTTTTGAAACTATTTTTACTGCTTTAGAGGGGCATATAGCCTATAGTTTTTTTTTAAATGTTGTATTCAATACCAGCAAATGAGGAATTCTCACAGTTGCCTAGAGTTAGACTGACATATCATAAACACTAGCTTTGCCGGTGGAAGCCATGCAAAAACCCAACTTCATTGCTCACTTATTTGACAGAAATGATTCCACATTTAACTTACCCCAGTAACATAAACACAACCTTGCATTGGCCAAATCTTCAGTTTTAGTTTTGGCTACAGATATATGACAAATGCAGCTTTTTCATCTTTCGGCTCTTTATACACTATAGTAAGTTTAATTATAAAACACAAAAGGTCTTCTGAAATGATTGTCCTTTTGTAAATTAATTTTGGTGCCTCTTAACAACTATGCAAAGTGACTTTAAATTCCAGACTCAGCAGTCCATGAGGCGAGCGTATCGCAAGGCATGCCGGGAAAGACATTAAATGGTGCTTTCAGGTGTTCCTCTTACCTCCTCATTCGGGGAAATTCACCATAGGGATTGTATCATTATTTCAGGCAATAACGAAACTGCTTTATATTTGTTTTCACATTACCCGAAATGAATTTGTCGTCGCTCCTAAAAAGCAGCATTTCAAAAATATAGGACACATAAGCGTGTTATTCAAGTGAATACAGGACATTCGAGAGATGTGAAGCGTTAATGGTGGTGAAATAATTTAAAAGACCGTTTGGTTATTCAGATTGTCAAAGGTTAACTGTCATTTCATTTCCTTATTATTTAATAGCCTTGTTTCCACCTCTATTCTCAAGCGACGTCGTGTAACCGTTTAACACACCAAACAGTAAGCCTTAAACATTTGTAAGATGAAGCAAATTGCAAGAATACATGATTATGTTTAAAATTTCATAAGCAATCTCTTTAATTGCTGGGCATTACAGGAAAAATGCTTAAAATGTACAGTTTTAGGGTCGCTCATGTGATCAAATTGTTATTTCCGACGGTCAGTGAAGGCAGCACACTTTCCCTGCGCTGACCTCTGACAGCAGCCGGCCTGCTCATGGATCCGCTCCCTCCCTTCACAAACACGGAAGCAGCATGGCGTCCAACAGCAGCGGCGGCGGCGGTGAAGGCGGCAGCTCCGACAGGCAGCGAATTGCACAGCAGAGGCTGAGGATCATCGCCGGGCATTTACAGAGACCGGCGGACGATGGCTTGATCGTCCTCGCCGCGGAGTGTAAAGGCCAAAATAACAAAACAGAGGCTTCCAGCGAGGGGAGGACGGTGCCGAGGAGGAGGTACGAGGCTGGGATGGAGCGGTGGATAAGGGTCCATCATCTGTGGCTTTAGCTAGTTTTAAAGCAGTCATTCATAGACTATTTTCTAGCAGGATGACATGCATTAGCAGTCGTATTCCCCTCTCTTATCTGAGCATTAGTAATGAATGCAGAGACGGTGAAAGCTGGTTTTGTTGAGCCTGCTAGCTAAGGTTGCTGGGCTCCAGAGTAGACCTTGGTTTGCTAAGGAGTGGGTGCGGCTAGGTTCACTCTGAAGAGTTTGTCGTTGTTGGGGGCGACTTTCTTAAAGTTAGATAGAAAATGCTTGTCTTTTGTTGATTTCACTCCTCAGACGGCAATTTTCTGTAACTGAAGCTTCAATAATGTTGAGTTATGGCTAAGCTCCTGGTACTTTCGTTATGATTATCACGATAGAGCAACTGGATTTAATTGGCGACACATTAATCCAGGGACACGTTATTACAGCCATTACGGTAATGGTTGCTGTTACGTATGGCTGTTACGTATTTGTTTAATTCATCTTTTTTTTTCTTTCTTCAACAAACGTAACACATGGGCTAGTTTTAATCAAACTTCCATACCCATTTCCTCATTACATAGGAAGTTAAATTATTGATAAAATGTGATAATTAAGGTGTACTCTGTGATTTTATGTAATGACTGAGAGGATTTTAGTAAGAAAAGACAAGAAAACACACTTTATTTCTTGCTGCAAGTTGTGTTGATCTGATTGGTTCAGACAAGTAGTGGCCTGACTTTCAACCTATTGGCAGCTCACTTCCTTATGAGAAAACAACACCACACTGTGCTGACATCTAGTGTCAGTCGGAGTAAACAGCTGGAGCCAAACAGCCAACTACTTAAAAAAAATACCAGAATTTGATGTTGTGAAACTCATCATGTCCTGTTCTGGTCAGTATGACACTGAGATGACATAACATGGCTCAGTGTCACTGTCTGTTTTACTGTCTACAGAGTGTTTAGTTTGGTTCTGTATGGAAACAGTCGTTGTGCATCAATGATGTTGCCAGAGGAAGTTTGAGCAGTTTAGAAGGTTTTGATCTGACTGTATACAAAGAATTCATTCATGTTGCAAGGTTCAGAGACAAGTACATTCAGGTGCCAGACAGCATATTTGTCCCCATCACTGGTTTGATTGAACATGACCGCAAACCCTGCTGTAACAATGGAACAGCAAATAGTGACATTTCCTTTGGAGAAGTATCAAACACTTACCCCTTTCAGACTTTCAACTATTTTACAGAAAATTCTTTACGTTACCTTTCTGGTACGGTTGGTTGAGTAGCTTCAGGAAAGAATCTTGATTTACAGGTTTTGTTGAGTGTCAGGTCTGCTGTTCACATTTGAATAAAAAGGATATCTCTGGCCTTGCATGTATATAGTTTACACTTTTGTGTCCCACCGGTATGTGAAGTTTACAAATGGTACGGCACACTAAGGCTTAGTGCATTGTAAACCATTGTCAATCATAAGGGTTTTATATTGTATTATCTAATATTTATGGCAATATTGGCCATGCTTTGCAATTTATAGCATAATCCAATATCTGTTTTTCTACTGATTCATTAAAAATCCATCTAAAACACATTACTGGCGACGACAACCATGTGCTTTTAGATTTTGATTAATATTCACTTAAGTTCAACAATCATGTTTTATACTTTTTTGGCATTTTTAAATTGTTTTACATATTGGCCATCAGTAGACCAGCTCTCATTGGCCACTGAAAAACTGTGATTGGTCACTTCATTCTGTACGAATTTGCAATACACAAAAATGATGCCCTTAGAGTATAATGTAAAGTATAAAGACAAATAAAGGGAAGTTCAGCTGAGACTTTCAATGTGGCACAAAGTCATTAACTTAAACATAAAGGCGTTTTTATTGGAAAAAAAAAAAGGATATTCAATCATTTTAGTAGAATTTCTGTACATTACAAGTTTACCTCCAACAGCCTCAATGTCAGTATACCTGAGCACAGCACACCTGATGTAGCCTCTACACTTCTGTGTTAATATCCCATCCTGAGTTTGCTCCATTGAAACAACCAAACTATAAGATAAGGAGGAAATCACAAGATACGGGTGCTTATCTTGAATACACGGCACAGTTGCTCTGTAAAGTATTGGAGCATAGATTGATAAAGATCACATCATCTTTTGTTGTGAAGCTGTTGACTGCAATCTTAAGGTATCTCCACAGCGATAAGAAATATTCCTCACCTTTGGTAGTTATTGCAGAATTATTGGAGTGTGGCACGTGCCTGTATGTGTCAGGAAGACACAAGCACTAAATCGTCAGATGGCGCTTATGACTACAGCACAAACGTTTGGCTCTTATCAGAAAAAACTGTGTATAAGGGTGCCTGCAGGGTGCAATAAATATTAAATATTTTCATGTGTTGGCTCACAGCAAAGGTGTGTCTGCTAGCTTCATGTGTGCATATAAATTCTGTTTGAATACGACACTTAACAAGCTGTGTGTTTGTGGGCTGGTGTGCAGAGAAGGGCAGACAATCAGGGAGTACTGCAGGCGTGTCTGTCTGCATCCTCCCATGTTGTAAATGTGCTAACTGATAGCCAGCTCCGCTTTGAATGCAAAGGTGGTGGATGACTTATTAAAATTAGGTCAAATAAAGGCCTGTGTTTAAAATATGAATATGAAATATACTAATTTCACAGCAATGACCCTAGCTAACCAAGTAAAAAGTATTTCAGGAAATACCCTACCCCTATTTGCCTGATGGTTTGTCACGTCCCAACATTACTCTAAGCTGTATGTGTTGGTAACTGAACCACTGACACTGTTTGTTTTCCCACAGGCAGGAGATTATGAAGTGGAACGGCTGGGGATACAGTGATTCAAAATTCCTCTTCAACAAGAAAGGGCAAGCAGAATTTACTGGCAAAAGGTACCACATAATATCACATCATCTCCCTTAGATATAAGCGTTTTATACAGCATGTACCTGTTGATTATCCTGAACTATCTGTGAGTGTCTTCCCTTTCCTACTGCAGCTATCATGTCCAGCTTCAGCAATCATGTGTGAGGCTGTAATGAAACCTGAGTTTTACTGTGTATTGATCATTCTGACAGCAAATCCTCTGAATCCAGCTTCTGAACTCAGCTGCTGTCTCCCACACTCACAGCAATGTAGTGCTACTGCCACCCTGTGGCTGGCATTTGAACTGTTCATCTAAGAATTGTTGTCCACAGTCTGCAGCTCATTAACAGAAACCACTTTCCAATCTGAGAAATATTGAAACACGTTATGTTTCTGATTATTCATGTGTCTCTGGGGTGTTTGTGGGAAAAACGGTAATTTATTGTCAATTGGAAAAAAAGGCTCGGTTTCAATTTTTAAGTGTTGAAAAATAAAGCCAGTTGTCCACCAGATAACAGAAAGTGGCTTCAGTTAAAAACAGACTCTTTTATCCTTGTCTCCAATAACAAAGGAAGATGCATGGATGAGCCTTTTTATTGTCATCATGACGTACACTTCTGGAAAAGACAGTCCTGACACAGAGAAATGGTCTATTGCATATAAGGAAGTATTTTGAGTAATGAGTCGAGTTAAACCGTATGTTGCACAGCAAATGGTGTCCCCCTCTGTGTGAGCTGTTGCTTCAAAACACTCTGCGCCCGCTCATTTGAAACACTACCTGGGCAGTGTACGGTAACTAAGGCTGGGGCACAGCTGAATGAACGTCTAAAACCTTAGTCTCCTCCTCTGCGCTCATTGAGACAGAGGCTTTTTCATTATAGAGGGTGTTTCATGCTCTCTTGGACAAAGGCACAGCACAGTGCCCTGATGGGCTGGCCCAGGCTGTGCCAGCGGCTCAATTATGCAAGGGATGGCGAGGGCGGTCACACAGACACCACTACTGTCACTGCTCGCCTAATAACCCCTTTGGACTTAAACCTCCCACTCTATTCTTATTAGACATAGACGTGGATTTCCAAATGAAACAGCTCAGTCAAGCATTCAGATGTTTGCAACTGAGGGTTTTGACCTCTAGTTATAGAAATCACTCATACATGAGGTTTCAAAGTGGTTTATATGCAATCTGTCTTCTTTTATATGCAAACCCAGGTATAGACTAAGTGGCATGATCATGCCTGCTCTGAAAGACTGGTTTGAAGGCACGTTTGGAGCCAGTTTGCAGCATAAAACTCCAGCAACAGTGAGTCTCATTTGTTTTTGTTTGGTGTCTTATTTTGTTGCAGTAATTCACAGAGACATACCCTCACCAGAATCACTACAGATCATTTCTGTTTTTGTTCCAGCCTGTTCTCACGAGCAGTGCTGTGCAGCCTCCCACTCTTAATGAGGCCTTTGTGGAGGAGCTGAAATCCACAGGTATTTCCTTCTCTCACAATGCAGAGGACCGAGTGTTTCGTGCCCACGGTAAGGCATACTGGACAGGAACTTTCGCGTTTGGTTGTTAAGCAAGAATTTGATTGTTTTGGTGATGGGTGTTTATACTTTTTTTATGGATTTTCTGTCAGTTGATTTCTGTGTTGTTTGTCCTTCAGGCCATTGCCTTCACGAGATCTTTGCCCTAAGAGAAGGAAAATTTGGTCGTGTTCCTGATATGGTGGTATGGCCAAGTGAGTTCAAATCTGTGTGTTTTCCAGTCTGGCTTTTTTCTCCTCCCACATAACATCTCTGATCCCCCAACCGGCTTAGGTGATTTAAAGGGTTAATCTCTGCAGAGGCAGGGATATTAATATGTATGAGTGGAGGCTTAATAAGAAGCGTCAGGGGGAGGATGGTTGACACCCAATACTCCACGGTCTGGCCCAGCACAGTACGCCCATGAATTATGATTCTGAGATTGGTTTTCTCTTGTTATGGTTGGCTCTATTTTATCATGCAAATGAGTGTTGACTGATCGCCGAAACTTGATTAGCAGCCTCCCAAATGGACAGCAAATCACAGAGCATGTGCAGGTATCAAAACAGGCTTGAAATTTTAATTTTTTCTTCCTCTGACTTGCTGTGCATCTCATAGATTTGTTTTCCTCAGTGGTCTCTAGAGGCTGACCTGTGTTTGTTTAAATGAAGGTGTAGCTGGTTGTGCTGTAATCAGAGGCCAGTTGCTGTATGTTTAATTGCATAGCAAAACGCCGCACCAGAATGCAGGCATTTTTCACCGCCTCTGAAAGCACTTGAGGCCAGTCAAACACATCCATGTGGGTGGGTATTGCATCTCTTCCCACTCACTCACCACTCCAGTGTGAATGGATGTGAGCCCCATGATTGGCTAATACAGGTTTGTATCGATCCAGCACATCCCGCCCCCAGAGAGAGTGTAGCTTCATGCAGTCTGACTCCGCCTGAGTAAAGCCCTGAGCAGATCACAGCCATCAGGCAAATCAAAACCTGCTCCTCCACTGGTCCCCCGGCTCTAATGGCTCCAGCCATATACATGTATTTATTGTCCTCTGTAAATACACCGTGTTATGTGCCATATTTATTTCTTATGCAGTGTGTCTGTGGTTATGTGCTGGTTCTTAATTTATGGATGCAATAGAAAGCTGCAAATGAAAACATGTCCTTTATGGTGTCTACTAATTTTTCAAATGATATATACTGCGTCTTTACAGACTGCCACAATGATGTGGTGAAAATTGTGGAGCTGGCGTGCAAACATAACGTTTGTTTGATGCCATATGGAGGTGAGTGATGTCACCAATGCACTTTATCTGTATATCAGATTTAATATAATATTATAATATATTATCTCCTGAAAAATACAAAGCCACAGTGCTACAGACACTGCAGAAATGTGTGTCTGTTAATTTTGTAATAGAGTGAGAGCATCAATCAAATCAAAGAGTGGTATCACAATAACTCCAGTCCTGTTACAGTTTCAAAACTTTCTGATCTGTTTTACATTTGCCCGTCTTTTCTAGAAAATCACGGCACATGGAGAGTGTCCAGTGTGTTACATTTGAAAGCTCATTCCCTCTCAATCCTATCTGAACTCCTGTTTTGTTTTTTTCTCGCTCAGGAGGGACGAGTGTCTCCAGTGCACTTGAGTGCCCCCCAGAGGAGACCCGCTCCATTGTTTCTCTGGATACCTCACAGATGGTACGTAAACACAAACTGTCTGTCATAAGAGCTGGTGTGTCCTGAAGACTAGGAAAGAAGAAACTGAAACAGATCTTTGAGATTCTGCTTATTCAAGACTTTCATTATGACATTTAGAGTTTGTGTTCATCAGATTGACTGTTGTCTTAGCTTACATCTAAAGGTGTTTTTCTCTGGTATTTATTATAAATGTTTCATGACTAATTAGAAAAGTATGTCAAGTTAGATTTTTACTGATTGACTTGCAGTGATCCAGTTCCTTTTTTGACAGGACAGGGCTTACAGTGGCAGCACTGTTTTCTTAGCTTTTTAAAAATTACACAGTAATTACACAGTTAGACATTACAGGACAAAAGTTTTTAATCAAAACACATCCGGAACTTTATGGAGATCATAACTTTCCAGTCTACTATGATTTTTTTAACACATTTAGACGCAGGAGAAGCTTGTCATTTAAGATTTCCCTCTGGTCAGTTGGGGAGCGTATTTGTTGTAAGTAAAGGGACTCAATTTTGTTGTTTAAGAACACTACTAGTGTCACTTAAGTATCAACCCTCAATTTGAATGAAATCCAAAGCCTCTCACTATAAACAGGGTGTTTCGTAGATATAGTGATCAGCATAAATGAGTACACCCCTTCAGAGTTGACAGAAAACCTTTAGTTTCCTTTCAAAATCAACATTTTCTATGTCAGACTTTACAACAAATGTAGGCCATTGATTGCAAACAAGATTTTTTAAGTTGCACACAAAAAAGTATTTTTTTTTTTTTTTCAATTTAAAATCAGGATGCAAAAATAAGTACACCCCAACCGAAGTTCTGGGAGCAAAGCTAAATTTTAGTGACCATATTACCTTTTTTTAATCTCATGGTAAATAAAATGTTATGTTAAACTCAGCTTTGTCAAAACTTTGGAAATTGTACTTTTGGTCATCTAGATATTGAGTAATACTTTACTTTTAATAGGGGGTGTACTGACTTATGCTGGGCACTGTTTAATGTAATATTAGATGTAATAGGAAATAGTCACCAGTACAGTGCAGCCCCTTTGAACCGTTCCCACACAGACATGATATATAAGCAGCTCGGACGGGACTAGCCCACCGCTCGTTGAGTCTGGTGCCACAGACACCAGTGAGCAGTGCTGTGTGTCAGGGGTCAGAGGTGGGTTTGGCTCCAGTGGAAGCACATGAAAGGAGCAGTATGGTAGTAACATAAAGTTTACTACCACTGGAGAATAATTGATGGCAGGTGTGAAATGACCTCCTGCAGGTAGGGGTAGGCCACGTGCCCAACGGCCCAAATAAGAGGCATATATTTGGAATTGGATGTTAAATTGAGTTTAACCTTGAGGAAAATGTCTTTGTCCCTTCGCCCCTCTGTGCACATTTATCCTCAGACGTGTGACCGTCAGGCTAGAAGGACATTCTGGTGCAAAAGTTGTAGATTTATCTGCTAAACTAAGACAAAGAGGTTTCAAGTTGATATGACACAGTAAAAAGGTTTAGTATTCAGAAGACGCATGTTGTAATCCTTTATTTTTTATTTTTATGAGGATTGTAGCAGGCGTCAAATATACAGTCTTCATGTTAGTCCGCTGAAACTAACAGCCTAGAAAGAGTATTTATGTTACGCTATGTGGCATAAAGCGCTAATACAGAACGCTTTTACAGCCTCCTCTGGTCTGTTTTTTATTCTCAGAATCGTATTCTGTGGATTGACGAGAAGAATTTAACCGCCCATGTGGAAGCTGGCATCGTCGGCCAGGATTTGGAGAGATTGGTAAGTGCTCCTCATCCATCCATATTCATCCACTGAAAGAGCTTACATTGCTGTAAAACGCCGTGCCAACAATCAAGCCGTGTGACCACTCACAGGTTGGCCATGTTCAGTCACCTTGTAGCTTTCTGCTCAGCGGCTCTAGCCGGGTTTAGGAGGAGAGTGAGACGGGAGCAGAGTGCTGAAGGGGAGAGATTAGAGAGTGAGGCGGCAGTCATGAGCAGATGGCACCATCAAGCTAATTCAGAAAAATGGAGAAGGAGCGGGTGTTTGATGTAGAGGAATGCGTGAGCTGCATCTAAAGCAGACGCCAGCTCTGCATTTAGACTGGGCCATTTTGATGGAGCAGATGGGTCTGTATTATAAACTGCCTTCCAGGGGAGAGTGGTGATAAAACAAGGCCTGACTTAACCCCCATCTTGTGCTTCTGGTGGGGATGTTGTCGCACTTTAAGGTCCTTATTATTATTGCTATTAAATGTTCTGCCTAAAGATGTGATCTTGTATGGTTGGGCTGCCTTGAGGAGAACGAGTGGGTTCCTGATGATCCACACTTTCTCCTTAAAGCTGTAAGGGATTGTGGGTCTGATGAAGTTGCTCAAAATGTTTTTTTTTTTTAAAGTGTGGATCATACTCTAAAACTATCCATCAGAGTTTTGTCACTCAGCTGTGGCCACGTGGCAAGTAACTAAGAAGCCACTCAGTATTTTCAAGTTGGGAGGGGCTGTTGGAGCTGAATGTGCCACACTTTTCCATCATGGCAGCTCCAGACAAAGCCTTTATTAACATCAGCTTGTGAAAGTCAAGTCTCTGTTTTTTAACTTTTACCAGTGCCAATAAAAAAAGGCCTCAACATGTCGGCTCTTGTTTCATACTCGACATCAGTGATCCACTAGAGCAGACAAATTTACCGCAGCCCAAATAATACACCAATCTCTCTTTTTGGTCTTTTTGCTCTTTCCAGTTGGTTTATTTTAAGCTGCAGTAAAAATCTATGATGCCATAAAACCCGAGTTTGTGCATTGCAGCAAAACAAGCGCTGTGAAATTCAGCAGCAGAGCTGCAATTATCTCTCTCCCTTTGCTTGCTCATTCTTTTTGCTTGTTATTAAAAGATTCTTGTGGGTTTACATCGCTGTGTTCCAAACATTTTTTGGCTGTATTTCTATCTGCATCGACAAATGTACACTTTCTTTGTTTCTTGTCACAGCTTAATGAGAGCGGCTACTGTACAGGGCATGAGCCTGACTCCATGGAGTTCAGCTCCCTGGGGGGCTGGGTAGCAACCAGAGCATCAGGCATGAAGAAGAATATCTACGGGAACATCGAGGACCTGGTGAGCCACACATACACAAGCACACTTCTACCTTTCCTGTTTGTTTCAAACTTAGTGTTAAAGTCAGGGCTCTGCGGCTACAGCGCAGTAATTATAAGGAAATTATTAGCAAAAGTTTAGTGGACTTTACCCTCAACTCAAAAAATGTAGAGGTCACAGTATCGGGTCAGAAATACACTCATGCATGCAGCACATGATCGACAAATATTTATAGGATGTTATTAAAAATGAGAGTCTCTGTCAGCATTTCTTAAAGTTCATGTTTTAATGTTGTTTTCTAACTGACCAGGTCGTCCACATAAAGATGGTGACTCCAAGAGGAGTGATCGAGAAGAGCTGTCAGGGGCCTCGTATGTCTACAGGGCCTGACATTCACCACTTCATCATGGGCTCAGAAGGTATACTAACCGTCTCTCATGTGATTTGAGTGCACAGCAGCATGTGAGCAGGAGTGTGTTTGTGTACGTTTTTTTTCACATATTCTACAAGTCTTTGATAAAACAGTAACATCAGGCAGGTTCTCATGCTCCGGGCCTCTTACACATTAACCAGCGCTGGTGGAAAAGTGATCCGAGGGGGTGTTAGTCAGGAACCAGCAAGTGTCCTACCCGCCCCATCTGCTGTGCCCTGTCCTTGTGAACGCCCACAGAGAATACTGCCATATGCCAGGTTCCCCCCTACATAATGAGGAGGTTCACAGACTCTTGGCATCGCAATGTTAAACAGCTGTGGATGCAAACTTTATATTCACCCTACAAAGCTCAGCAATCTGCTCCCTGACTGAGCTGGGATCACTGCCGAGATCTCCATTTGTACTCATTAGAAGTGATTTCAATTTTACTAAGACCACTACCATCAGTGCACAGGATCATACCTGCAAAAATAGAGTCAGAGTTTGATCATTTATACTCTTAAATGCTTCAGTTCTCAGAAAGTTTCAAATTTAAAGTCCGGGGGAGCTCTAACGGGGTAAGAGGTTTGCTAAGAAGCCTTTAAATGAAAGGTCGTTTTTGGAGTCACCTGTTAAAAGTTCCAGGTTCTAAAAGACGTAGAGTCACATGAAGTGTAGCTTTAGTGCTGAATGGATAATTGGAGTATCATGAAACTCAACATGAAAAAATGACGTTTTGAAGTTTTAATAAAGATAAATAAAACACGCACATCCTTGTAGCCCAAAATTGGGTGGGTGCTGGACCAGAAAACACGAAACGAAGGTAGGAAAAAAGTCTGCAACACCAGATCGAGCTCCAATGCAAAAACATTTATTCAAAGTAGTGCTGGACGATAATTCGATAACAATATATATCGATCGATAGACGTGTGGTGCGATAGAAAAAAAACGGGTCGATAAAAAGTTCGATAGAAAAACACAGTTTCCCTTTCTTTTTCATCATAGCCTATCATGTAGCTTTTACTACAGTCATTACTTCCTCCCAACCAATCACAAACGCAGACCCAGGTACGCTACGGCACCAAGCCCAGCCCCTATCAAACCACAACAGACAGCACGTGTATTAGAAAAAATGATACAGCAAGGAGAAGCGGAGGACATTGTCCCGAAAAAAGGTTTCAGTAGTTCACCAGCATGGCAATGTTTTGGTTTTTAGAAGTCTGACAAAAAGCGAACAGCGGTCGTTTGCAAAATTTGCAGAGAATTAGTAAAAACCAAGTGTGGTAACACAACCGACTTGTTTTACCATCTAAACCGATCGCACCCGCAGGAGTACGAGCTGTGTCGGCCGCGCCGCGGCTCCACGTCGTCGTCGGAGGAGGAATCCTCTGGAACCGCTGCCAGCCACAGCACAAAGCATGTGAAGCAGATCAAACTGGACTTCGTTTCTTGTCAAAATACGACAAAGCGTCCGAGCGGCATAAGGACATCACCCATGCAGTAACATGCTTCATAGCGAGGGACATACTGCCAATAACTACCGTTGAAAAGCCTGGCTTCGACCAGCTTCTAGCCACTCTCGACCCGCGATATAAAGTGCCCGGCCGCAAGTATTTCTCAAACACAGCGCTTCAGGCATGAAAATGGGTCAGGGGTTGAAAAGGTGAGAAGGGTGTGGAGGAAATACGTTCCGGTGTTGTGCCGTAGAATGCACCCCTGAATCCCGTCCACTCATTAGCTTCTCAAAGTGGAAGAAAATGAGCTCATATTTTACAAAGACGCGAGTATTTGGATCATGGCTACTAGCAGGGGGTGCATTCGGCAGGGGTGCATTCTACGACACAACACCGGCGTGGATAAGTCCTGCTTCTCGTGCTTAGTTTGTGTATTAAGTCAATCACATGATAATTAAAAAAATAAATCTCCCGACCCCGGGAGAAATATTTCAGTGTTCAGACACCAGGCTGTGGGCAGTTTCCCACACAGTTAAAACTGGTAGTATGCTATTCCCACCTAAAGCTATTCTGTTTATTTATATATTTGTTTGTTTTGTTTATTTTCATCAAAAGACTATTTAAATATTTATTTATCAGATTTTCTGGTCACTTTAGTCTTTATGTTTGTCAGTATTTACTGACGTCACTCAGGCCACTTAAGTTGATTTCTTTCTTTTTTTAGTTCTTTTTTAAAAAAACTTTCAGTTGTGGTAAAATAAAAAAGGTGGTTGAATAAAGGTTTGAATTTGAATTCAGTGCTTGTGTGTTCTTTATTAAAAGTAGGTCATTAAGCAATAGCATAAAACATCCAGGGCTGCAATTAAAATATATGTTAAATAATTATAATAATTATATCGATAATTATCGATATCGATCAATATGATTTATTTTTTATCGATATGCTTTTTTTCTATATCGTCCAGGCCTAATTCAAAGTCACATGACATTTCGAGCATGCAGGCTCTTTAACATCTGAGGAAGAGCCTGGGTGCTCAAAATGTAACTTTAAATATTTTTTTTTGCATAAAATGTTTTGCAAAAAATGTATTTAACATTAGTTTAAAGGTGTGGATGAACGTTTTTAAAGGCTCAGTCTGTAAATTATGATGAACCGCGACAGGCTAGTAGTGGAAGAATATCAGAGAATAAGCCTTCCTCTTGAGTTTCGTCTTCATACAAGCCATGGGACAGGACCACACGTCTCTGAGAAGAGCGTGTCCCACTGGGAGGCCTAACGCTAGAACTCAAGAGGTCACAGGAGCACAGAGTTTCATTAAAATTATCTCGCTCATCACCGCAGAAACCCCATCCTGCAGCCTGACAGCAGGCCACAACACCAACAATAAAAAAGCACCACGCTAAAACCCTCAGCTATGCTCTGCATGTTAAGTGGAACGCATCCATTTTATCAGAAATTACTGTTGGAACCTTGAGCTTCTCATTCACTGCACAACAAGCAGGGCCCTCTATCTGTCTGACCTTGGAGTAGCCTGAATGCTAAGTAATGTTCTCAACAAGTAGTGTACCCAATAATGGAAGAATCCTGAATAATGCACCTTTTTCTATTCATGTCTGCTCAACCTCAGATGATGTAATGTGAGTGTGTGTTGCTCACCAGAGTCAGCTTTATTTATTTGATTTTAAGTGTTTTAGGTGACCGTCTCATGGTGGTTTGAGTCCATTCAGCTTTTTTTTTGTAAAGAAATGTTTCACACTGAAAGAAGTAATCCCTCCCTTTAAATACTAACCTTGTAGAAATTGTCAAAAAGGATCTTTAAAGTGACACTTCGGCATTTTATTGCATTAAATTCATCCCCAAGAGGGTGTTTCTCTGACCTTGCTGTTCCTATTACCTCAGTTTGTCACTCACTCACTCACTCACTCACTCACTCACTTTCTCTCTCCTTTACGCCCCTCTTTCTAGCTCCTCCCCATTTCTCTCTCTCTCTCTCTCTCTCTCTCTCTCTCTCTCTCTCTCTCTCTGCTGCTCTGACTCCTCCTTCTCCTTGGCTCACTGGCTCCTCCTCCTGCTGTCAGGAGGATCAGCCATTCCTAGCAGAGGTCCAACGGAGTCACATGTTTACCACTGGGCCACTAGAGAGTAGCATGTAGCATGTAGTGTCACTGTTAGAGGGCTCATTAACAGCCGTAACAGGCTGAGGACGCCTCCTAATGGTTTAGGCTTTATTCAGGAGAGATAGATCCCTGAATAGACTTTGTCTGTAGTGACAGAGAGAGCGTGCACACCCGGGGAAGGGTAACAGGTTCAGATTGCATCAGTATAATTCAAAAACACGAGGTGGATGACTGACAAAGCGAGTGAAGCTTCAATATATATTCACCAAGTGGCAAGAGACACAACCCCAGACGAGTCGAGGCGCCACTCTATAATAGCTGAACATGATCAGCCAGTTTTTGCATGTTTAGACCAGCGTTGCCAAGTCTGCAGTTTTCCTTTGATTGTTGTGGCTGTGGGTAGATTTTTTTGCTTGCAGGTGTGGTGGACCCACTTTTGATGGCTAGTGAATGAAAAGTAAAAATCCAACATGAATGAACTGCTTTATTACTTTGATCCTGTTAAGATGAAAACTAAAATAATCATGAGACTAATCACTAAAGTTGTTTTTCTGCCTATCTCTAAAACGCATCATAAATATATGTATCATGCATTATAATTACGTTATAGCACCATATAACTATAGTTATAAATGCTCATAGATGATCATAATGCTTTATAGCAATAATTATAACATGTTATAAAGAATTTTATCTTGACTTACAAGGTCAAGTATTATAATGTGTTATAACTGTTAACAACTCACTGACAATGCCCACATAGATAATGCAATGCAACTGTTGTTAACAGTTATAATACATTATAACAGCGGACTTTGTAAGTCATGATAAAATGCTTTATAATGTGTTATGATTACTGCTATAAAGGATCATGATTATTTATGAGTGTTTATGACTATAGTTATACAGTACTATAATGTGATTATAAAGCATAATACATATATTTATAATGCATTATAGAGATAGACATCAAGTAAAGTGTTACAGAGATTTTCCTCTAAAGTAATTTGCTGTAAGAGGAAAAAAAATCCAAGAATAGTGGTTTTACAGCATGTCATGTGATTCCAGCTGCAGCTAATGTTTGACACTATTCAGGGTCAAAGGTCAACCTGTCAACTTGAGTATATGCTGCTTATGGCCTCACTACCTTTGATACAGCCCTGCTTAGTTTCCTCCCTCTCTAAACTTGATAAATCTTTGCTGCCCCACAGTTTGTGGTAGAAAACCAGATCTACTAGGTGAAACGTGAGACAAAGGTCACCCAAAGGACCCTGGGGACGTGTACCAGAGCTCTGTAAAACACTCTCAAGTTCTGCTTTTAGAGGCGGCTGGGTCATAGGAGTCTTGTTTTTTTTTTTCACTCAAAGTCTCTCACTGTGATTTTCCACAGGAACTCTGGGTGTGGTGACCGAGGTGACGATGAAGATCCGTCCCGTGCCGGAATATCAGAAGTACGGCTCAGTGGTGTTCCCAAATTTTGAGCAGGGAGTCGCCTGCCTCAGAGAGGTTGCCAAACAGGTAACATGCTAACAGTCTGCAGTTGTTGAAACATATGTGTCAAGAAGACTCACTGCAGAAAATGCTGTTTGTTTCCAAAGCGTCCTTAAACTGATAACTGAGAGCCACTCAAAGGTAGTGATGTGCGCCCACTGGTTCAGGATTTATAGCTTTTACCTAAAGGCCCAGACACACCCAAGTCCACCGTCTTTATAGTGTATCTGAATTCTGCTCAGTTCTCAGTTGTGCTTTGTGGTTAATTACTGGTGACTGCTCTGGGAGTTTACAATCATAAATATTGGTTGAATTTAGTCCAATATCATATTGATCACTTGACATTTTTCTGTCGTTTTTTAACTGTGTCTCCAACAAACTAAAATAGACAAATTCTTTTGTTTCAGAGATGTGCCCCAGCGTCGATACGACTCATGGATAATGAGCAATTTAAATTTGGTAAGTAATAGACATACAGTGTAAACAAGCCTCGACTCAAAGCAGAACAAATCACTGCTGTCTTTATCTCCTGAACGCTCTCTGGATCTTAACAAATAAGGCTTATTTTTACACAGCTTTCATTTTCAGCTTTTCTGTCCATGTTTTGTTTTTGGTTTAAGTTTTAGTTACACAACAGTCAGTCTTTAAGTAATCATATTTATTTTAAGGTGAAATTAGTTCCCTACAGTGTATATTTTGTCATTTGTTAGGAGTTTCATTGAGGAGCTGTTTACCTCTGAGTACAAGAACAGTGAATGGAAATGGTACAGCATGCAATGATTTTACCCTCTGCAGCCCAGTACTGCTAAATTGATTATCATTTTTGCAGCAGAATAGCAACACACACACACACACACACACACATATATATGCACACAATCACTCGCAGACAAAGAATTGAAGCAAGATGAAAAATGACCCTGGCCAAAATGAAGTAGTTGTTACATTGAAATTTTATGATGTTGTTTCTTCAGGTCCAGTAGAATGCATCTGGCATTGCTAGAGATCTGTGTAAAGTTCCCCGCTCTCCAGGGATCTCATTATCTCCCCCATATTTCCACTTTTCACAGAGTAGGCACTTCTCAGCATTAAGCAGGGAAGATCGAGCGACCAGGTTTTCTGCTAATAACTAAAACTCATGCCTCCATGATACCTTCTTGGGCTTATTAGTGGCCTGTCCTCACTTTTAATCATGTCGGCTGTAAGTAAGGAGAGCTGATGTATTCACAGGTCTCTTTCAGATTGGGACTACAAGTGCAATTTAGCTCCGCCTGTTCTGATACACACGATGAAAAATGAGGATGTTGTAGTCAATAGGAGTGTGTATTTAGGGGCGAGACAGATAAAAACTCAGAGAGCAGAGTTAAAAGTAAAATGAAGCAAAGTGTTGGTGTAATTTTCTCTCTCTGGATGTTAAGTATTTAATTAACGAGTATGATGGCAGCGAGAGACCTAAAGACCTGCAATCAAATTTTGGAATGGAAACAATTAGGACACTAAGTGATGAAGAGACTCGAGCATGGGGGGAAATAAATGAACTGTTAAGTCTCGGCGACATCACCCGTGACTTCCCCACTGTGATTGATAACCATCCCATTGGCCCCAGCCCCTCATTTTCACTTGTCCACGGGCGCTTTTGTGCGTCCAATCAGGAATAAATCAAAAAGTGTGGGTGAGAAAGACGGATATCGCTGTGTCAACCCCACTTCCCTTCGGAAACCATCTGATTTATAGCCGCTGTCGCTGGCAGCCACTGGCCAGTTGTAAAGTTATTCAAATGTTACCATTTATTTTTTCCTGCTTTTGTTTGAAACCGCAAATAAATCTGACTGGCGTTGCCCTCTCTGGAACGCTGGAGGATGCGAGCAGAAGCAGGGCTATGACTAATGTGTGAAAAACATAATCTGTTTCCAGGTTCACTTCTTTGTGAAGAGGTGAAGCTGACTCCTGTCTGATATTTTCACAGGTCATGCCCTGAAGCCTCAAGTCTCTTCAATTTTCACATCCTTTTTGGAGGGGTTGAAGAAGTTGTACATCACCAAGGTAAAAAAAAAATACACATATATCAGTATATATATATTAAACATGTTAAAAAAATCCAGCTGCTTTCCCTGAGTGATTATCATGAAAAATGAAACCACCTCTTTAATCATCAGTTTAAAGGGTTTGACCCCAACCGCTTGTGTGTGGCCACGCTCCTGTTCGAGGGAGACCGAGAGAAGGTCCTGCAACACGAGAAGCAGGTCTACGACATCGCTGCTAAGTTTGGGTAAGCACAGAGACACGACCCAGAGGTCAGTTACACATCCAGACCATGTGAAGCGCAGAGATGACAGAGCCCCATTTGATGTGGATTTAAAGGTGATGTGGGGCTGCCTGATGCTGAGCTGACACTTTATTTAACCAGCCGTTCTGTTGTAGCTGTTAAAAAAAGATGGAGGAGCACAGTTACACACTTCAGACTCCGGCCCTCTGTTCAGCAGTTTGTCTGTGCGTGTGGATTGATGGATCACCTGTGGATGTCCTCCTGTCAGGCCGGCCTTTATGTTAGAGTAGGTGTGGTGTGGGCGGTGATAGTGGGGTACAGCTCCCCTCAGGGCGAGAGGACACAGCCCGGTAGAGCTCGACTGGTGTGATTGATCACTGAGCGGATCGATGAGGAGTTTGGTGGAAATCAGTCCTGTCAACCTGAGAGAAGTGCTCTCTTTATCCTGAGCCTGTTTTAAAACTCTAATAATAGTTTCAGGGACGAGTTCAACCTCAGCTACAGCTATTAGCTTTATGGTAAATCACACTGCAGTGCTTCCCCTACATTCATTCAGGAGCAGCACAACATTACTTCTGAATTACTACTGAAATTTCACATGATTGTTAATATCAATGCACCACTAATGATTTCTACTCGCACTGTGTGAGCACACCAACGCACAACATTATTTTCGACTTGTTTTGAGTCATCAACGAGCGCATTAAATCCTGTCGGACCCTCTTCCATTAATATGAAGGATACTGTTCAAGCTTATACACGGTCTAGAGTGGGTAACATAACGTAACGTGAACGTAACAGCGTAGCTCCTTGAGCGGCAAGAGAGTGGGGGTGACAGCGAAAATTTCCAGGTGAAGACTGACCTGAGGAAGAGCAAAGCTTTGAGGTAAACGGGAACAGAAAAACATGTCGACTTAAACAAAACTACAGATTCAAACCAAATTTGTCCATTTTTAGCAGGATATCAGTGAAGAGCAAAACAGTCTCCTTCAAATAAAAATGAAGTTGATTTTTCTAAAAAACTGCATAATTAAAAGATCCTGGAAATACGGTATTATTTTTAACATAATTAGATTTTCTAACTAGTCAGTAACTAGAGAGAGCTCATTAAAACACTAAATCAAACAGAGAACTAACCAGGGCTCCTAAGTCTTGTTGTGTAGTGACTCATTGATTATATTTTACCCTGTTTGGCTCGGTGCCCGGACTTGCAGGTCGCTGGAGCACTGCCCTGGTAATAGCCAGCAATTAAATCATGAGAAACTTGTCAGTTACATGCAGCATCCTCTGCTTTATTGCATTATTTCAAATAAATCGTGATCGCCCATCAGATCAAGTGCGGGTGATGGATTGGGGCGTTTTCTGTGAGGAATATTTCCTCGCGGCGCAGGGAAACAGGAAGAAGAGTGGAGGAAATCAATATAGTGATTTTGTAATGAGCTTGGCCTGATTAGTTTGGGTGGTGGATGAAAATTTGATTACCCACTGCAGGTGATGGATGTGTGGCTGACCTGTGGCGATGCACAGAGCATGACTTCATTGATCTGTACATTGTTGGATTGACAGGCTCCCAGGCAGCTGTTGTGAGGGGCGCGGCCCGCGCAACAAAGCTGAGAGAAAAGAGCTGTTAAATATTAACCCTGTTATCTGCTTCCAGGGGTCTGGCAGCTGGAGAGGACAATGGGCAGAGGGGCTACATGTTGACCTTCGTCATCGCTTACCTCCGGGTGGGTTTTTCTCCTGGCTTTTTTTTCTTGCAGAGCTGATGGGCATGTGAGGCGGGTAGAGAAGACACAGATAGGATGGTGAGGAGAGCAGAAAGGCTGCAGGATGTGACCTCAGGAGGTCTCTGATTTGATCTGGTCACAGTTGTTGTCAGGGTGTCTAACACTGACCTATCTGCACGATGAGGGGAGCACAGTGGTTGCAGTCATGATGACAATGGAGAGCTGTCATTGGTTCGACCTGTCAGAGACCCTTTGATCATTCAGACACTTAAACTAGCCAGGAGTTAAAATACGATTAATCCTACATGCAAAACAGACCGTCAGCTTTTTCAATGCAGTGGAAGTAAAATCTTAAGTGTCTAAAAGAAAGAAAGCTGATGTATTGAACATGTATACGGGTAATTGGCTTCTAAATATATGCATGTGTATGACAGAGACTGCAGACTTGGAAAATAAAGCTGTGACCAGAGAGCAGCAGAGATAAAAGTGAGATCCTTACATGTAGCGACGCGCCATTAAATACAAAACACTCAAGTAATGATTCAGAACCAAACTGAAACAGCCCAGAACTAAGACTGCAAGTCTGCAAAGCCGAACAGCGGCCCATCATCAGTGTTCAGATTTACAGACACAAAATCTCTCACAGGCAAAGATGTTCTACTGACACACTTTTCAAAAGTGTTGGAGCCTAAAAGTTTCTGCCAAGTTTACCCTCGAAAGCTGATAAGTTAGGTATCACCCAGAATTCAACGCAGAAAACTTTTTACTTCTGCGCTCATAACTAAATCATTTAAAATCAGGTTAAAGAACAGCACAGGTGGATTTGATATGTACGATTTGACTAGCATGAACACGAACCTGTTTGCTTACCTTCAAGTATCCTGGTAATGTGTGTGAATTAAATGAATGAATGGGTTAACTAAAGCTGATGTTTCCTGGTGAACAGGACTTGGGGATGGACTACTATGTGATTGGAGAGTCCTTTGAGACCTCTGTGCCTTGGGACAGGTAAACGCACTTCTCCGAGCTTCTACAGTTTCTTTCTCTGTTTGATTGAAATCACTGTAAACATTTCACTTTCCTCTCCTCCCACACAGTCAGTCCTCGGAGAGTCCTCTGTCTCCCTCCTTCTTCTGTTTCCTCTCCTTTCCTTTATTTCTCTGTGACTCTCTCTTTGATTTTCACCTTCATGCCCCCCCCCTCCTCCGTTATCCTGCTGCTCTGCGTAGGCACAAGCGTCCCCCTCTCTGCCTACAACACGCCATCACTGACACACATGCGCACACACATGTAGGAGAAACCCATCTATGTGTGTACCGTGTGAGGAAATGCAACATGAACTACATTTTCATCTCACACCCACATATGGCGTGTTCTGCATTTTTGGTTTCACACACACACACACACACACACCAACCAGGAGCGCACACAGCTCTGTGTTGTGTAACATGCCTGTCGGGAGAGACCAAGAGATCAGGCACTGAGGCGAGCATATGTGCCCGGCTCATTACCCGCCCTCTTCCCCATCCTCCACTTTCCACACACGACTGCACATCTTCAGGACTGGCGGCCATTTCCACACCGGTGGGAACTCTCCCACTGTGGTCGTCCTCTTCTTTTCTGGGCTTCTGTTTTTGTTTGAGGATTTTCACTAAATTTGTATTTCAGTCACTTTCTTCTATATTTGGGAATTAGGATGTTCAAACACACAAGAACGACATATATCAGAGCTCAGCTGTGAAACTTTTATTTTGTTAAATTGTTGAAATAAAAGCTTTTTTGTTTCATTAGGGTGTTGGACATTTGCCGGAATGTGAAGGCACGCATCGTCCGAGAGTGTAAAGATAAAGGCGTACAGTTTCCACCATTATCCACATGCAGGTAATGTTTGAAAAGGACTTTATTGATGCACAATTTAAGAGAACTCTTCCAGAAATCAGGACTTAATACCCCAAAAAACAATTTAATAGTTTTTAAACTTTACTCTATTAAAAAGCTCAGATAGGAACTGTGTCTCAAGGTAAAGACATTCCCACAAAAGCTCTTTCTATTGAAGTCAGACGACTGATAAAGGACAAGGCCTCCATACATACACAACGTTCATTTTCAACAGTTTTGAATGATGAATTTGTTAAGAAGTGTTTTCAGCAATACACTCAATATTTGCAGCACTGTATTTAAAACAGCCATCCACGTTGGAATGAGGAAATGTCAACTAATGCAACAGTACAGATCATTATTGCGCTTTAAATCACTGGTGGACAATATTGGAGCGTGGATCCACATACATTGCTTTCAAGAATAAGAATTTAATACTTTTGCTTTGTTTTTGTTTTTTTGTAGTTGTTGTTGTTGGATTCAGCGACCTTTAGAAAAACTTTTTACTTTAAATGTCGTCAAACACTAACGGTAAAGAAAAGCTGTGGCAGTTTAGACTCACATTGCACAAAATACGTCACAAGTTTGCAAACCCCTGTCCCACCCTGACTCCTGTTAGTCCAGCATAATCCGCACAAATGGACAGACGGACCACCACACAAATATGCAGCGAGCCGGTTGAGGAGCAGCAGACCTCTGCTCCACAATTGCGAGCAGATTAGGCCTCAGCCTGATTATGCCCCAGCTATTCATTTCCCGGCCGCAGCCTGTCACATGATTGATTTGTCCATTTAACCTCTAGGAGAGTCAGCGTGCCAGGTGATGGGCCATGTCAAATGAACCCCCGCGTCTCTACAGAGGAAACATGCCAATTGAATAAATATTTAATTCATAACTGTAGATTTTCTCTAACACGAGCCCTGGATGGATGAAGAGTTGAATTAAAGCTGTGATTTCTGCAGGATCCATCTACAGACTCTGTTCTGAACAACAAACAGATCCATTTTCTGCTCTGCATTAGAGTTGAGTCATCTTGTCCCCTGCAGTCCAAATACGGCTCTGATGATTCAGTAAAAGCATTTAATGTCTGATAATGTGTGTTATTAGAGGTGACAGTGCTTCAGTGCAGAGCAGCTGGAAAACAGGAGTGGAATCGAGGTCAGGGGCTTACTGAGGAAAGCGAAACCTCCCACTTCACTTTGTCCACCAATTACCGAGCAAAGATGCGTTTATTGTATGAAAATGAAGCTCCTTGACTAAAGACCAATCCGTGGAATCATGTAAAGAGCATATATGGAAATATTAAAGAGCTGTTCTCGCTTGTTTTACAATTTTCTCCTGTTTTTTCTTACAGGGTGACTCAGACGTATGACGCCGGTGCCTGCGTCTACTTTTACTTTGCCTTCAACTACAGAGGACTCAGTGATCCTGTGCATGCGTATGAACAAGTGGAGGTAAGACAACTGCTCTGTTCTGTTGAATCTAAAAAACCCACAGTCACTGAAAGAGGGTATAATCATTTTTCATCCTTTTATTTCCCAGCATGCAGCGAGAGAGGAGATCCTTGCCAATGGAGGGAGCTTGTCACATCACCACGGAGGTACTTTTACTGAAAAATGTCAGATTGTTTCAAACGTCGGACGATGAATTAGACTGCATATTAGTTGCAAATAAAAGTTCGGTAACACTTAAATTGACACCTATCTCTAAAACGCATAAATACATGTATAATGCATTATAATCACGTTATAGCACTGTATAACTATAGTTATAAACACTCATAAATGATCATGATGCACAATAGCAATAATTATAACACATTATAAATTATTTTATCGTGAGCTACAAGGTCAGGTATTATAATGTGTTGTGCTTATTGTTATAAAGCCTTATGATCATTACTGAGTATTTATAATGATATTTATAAAAGTTTATAAGCAAATTATAACACATCATAAATATATGTATAATGCATTATCTATGTGAGCATTGTCAGTGAGTTGTTAACAGTTAAAACACATTATAATACCTGACCTTGTAAGTTATGATAAAATGCTTTATAATGTGTTATGATTATTGCTATAAAGCATTATGATCATTTATGAGTGTTTATAACTATACTTACACAGTGCTATAATGTGATTGTAATGCATTATACATATATTTTTAATGTGTTGTAGAGATAGGCGTCAAGTAAAGTGTTAGCAAAAGTTCCATTCAGCAGCAGATTTCCCAGCATGCTCTACCGTGCCAACAAGCAGACGGCCGGTGCTACAAATGTGCATGTGGTCAGAAATGTTTCATTGCTTCCTTCACATGTCCAAAATCTGTTCCCCGGCCCAGATGAATTGCTCTGACTCGGCTATTTGTTCATTTCAGCGGTGACCAAATGAAACGTGAGCAGAGGAGGGGGGGGGTGTAACAACTCTGTGGGCCCCATCAGGGCTAACCGAAACGGCTGCCTTATCTATATTGCCATCCGCCTCGCTGTTTTCATACATCACTTCAGGCTATTCATCACACCTGTCAAAAACAGTATGCAGTGAATCAGCTGCAATATTAAATCACAATTTTTCCTGAAGGCGGGGACGGGTTCAAAATTAAAAGATTGCTAATAAAAAGGAGGCGGTGGGGCCAGGGTAAATGATGCCGCCGTTATCGCCGGCTGTACGCTGACCTCCAAACGGTGGCCCGGCCACCCCGAGCAGCACGGGGAGGTGACAGAGGGGGGAGAGAGGAGGGGATATTGATGCAGCTCCTGCGTGCGAGGCCCACTCTGTAATTGTGATTAATAACAGTGGGGCTTTGCTATCTGGGCGCAGACAGCCCGGTTTGTCTGCCCACAATCAGCGCTTGACAAATGGAGCTAGTTTCTCTGGGTTTTGTGTATCAAACAAAACAGATGTAGTCAAGGATGGAGAGGTGGGAGGGCAGAGGAGGAAATATACATTTTTGCGGCCTTGTGTTTACAGCAGGTCAGTGTTGTGCTGCGTGGGCGTAGGTACAGGAATCTGGGCGTGTGAAGCTCTCTACCTGTTTGTCTACAGGACATAATATTCAGCAAACACTACAAGCTGTCTATCAAAGAAAAACAGACATTTTTTTTTATTCTTTCAGTGTATGTGGAGTCAAATTGATCATTTTTATCAAATGTAAAAGCAGGAATGTTAGTGTGACTGTGCTCTGCTTCCTGAAGCCAGAACATCCTCAGAAGTGTCCTCTGTAACTGGGTCACACAGTGTTGCAGCGGTGAAGACTTGTTTAACATCAATCACCAGGAGAGTCATCCATCTATCAGCCAATACTCGGCCATATCACATGAACACAGGGCCGCTACCTTACCCTGCCTTTCGTGTCCTGACCCCCATTTGTCAGAGACGACCCAGGGAGAGTGAGAGCAGCGTGTCGAGGGGTTGAGCCTCTGCCTGGCCTCTACTTTCTCTCTTTGTATGAGGAACAACCCGTGGTGGTTGCACACAGCATCTCTCCCCAAACTTGTGGCCCTGCAGAGCTCAGATTGGGCTAACTCTGTTGACCCCAGTGCTCTGTGGGTGTAGAAAAATGACCTGTTTATGTAAAGTTCCCAGAAAAAAAAAAAAAAACGATGCTAAAATCTGTCATTCCTGAAATAAGTACCTGCACCTCTTTGCATGTCTCAGCTGCACAGACCGAGTCTGCCGAGATTGATTGCAATAGCGGACAAAAAAGAGAGCATATGACAAGATAGATGTGTAAATTATCACAGTGATGGAGGCAATGATGCAGTCCCAGCACCTTCTGTTTTCTCTCCATTTCCTGAGAGGAGGGAGGGAGGGACGGAGGTGGAATAAGGAGGGAGGCCTGCAGAGGAGGAGGTGGGGGAGATGGTAGGGAGCAGGGGACTTTCTTAGTTATTGGGCAGCAGCTGATTGGTCCCTCTGTCACCATCTGGAGGTGTGTGCTATCAGGGTCCCCTGTGACCCTGCTGTCTGCCCTGTTTTGTCAAGAGACGAGGCCTAACCCGCCTCACGGCTGATCCCCATCTGGGTTTCCTGGCCGGACTCTGATAACATGGCGCTCTAACACACCAGGCCACTCCCCTAAACATGCCCTTTAAACACCGGAGCCCCCCCTGTGCTAGCAATCCAAAACGAGGTGTGTGAACGCTCCCATCATACACACGAGTGTTGGCAGGCCTCTGTCTCTTATCTGTCCTGACCACAGCGCCGCTTTAAGGTGTTTGCTCTGCAGGCAGCACATGCTCGGAGCTGCTCCGCTCTCAGGTTTATCTTCTAGAGGTGGAGGGTTTCTTTTAAGTTGACATGACCTCCAAAAGCTAACACACACACACACCAAGCTCTCTGATCTGATGGCGTAGTTAAAGTGTTGGGCTGTGGGGTCTCTTCATACTTATTGAATTTTTCTTTGAAGTTCTTATTTAATTCATCTTGTAGAGCACTCTGAATGCTTTGATTAGGCTCATCTGCTTCATTTGATTCATGACTTTTAACTGCTTTACTGGTCAGAAGACAGATGTGATGATGACAGATGTGGAAACCCCCCGATGCTCATTTGACCAAGTGGTCTAAATGTAAGAGCTGCAACACAAGAGCTGCTCCAAATATTACTCATGATTTTCACAGATCCACAAATCAACACCGTAATTCTTACAGTCTAAAATCTGTGGGAAAAATGTGTTTGAAAAAAAAACACACCACAATCTTCGTAGGTCTAAAACCAGAAGTTTTTCAAATTTCAATAAACTGAATTTGGGGCGGCTGTGGCTCAGTAATAGAGTTTAGGTCCACATGCTCAAATGTCTATGGGCAGGATGCTTGACCCAAACCTTCCTCGCGCTGGCTTTGCTCAGCCCTGTGTGGATGATGATCCAATATCCAAACAAATGTGCATGCAGTTAAATTAACAAAATAATTAAAAAAAACTGAGTCCAGGTTTTATGGGCACCCACGCCAGGTTCAGTCAGGACATTTGTTGGGTTTTGACACATGACTCTCAACAATTCTTATTCAGTCTCAACTAACAAACAAAAGCAAAATTCAAAACATCTCCAAAAGACACCATGTCTTTAAACCTGTTATTTAAAGATTATTTTAGATATCAAAGATGATCCTCAGTGTTCAGATCACAGATGATTATATATATTTTGAAAGATTGCACAGCGGCCTGCAGAAAATCCAAAGGTTTGGTCTCATTTTGAAGTTCTGTGCCAAGAGTCTGGCTCTCCTCTGAGGTTTTCTCAGCCCTTTAGAGCCACCAGACCTCTCACTGACTCCAGACTCTCCGCTAAGAACCTGTCGGCTACAGACGCCGTGGAGTATGTCGGTCTGGACAGCTGGTGAAGCAATAGGCACCCTCACTAGGCTTGGTGCCTCAGCCACTCTTGCTCCTCAGGTTGTGGAGTTTGGAGGAAGAGGAACGGCAGAGAGCCAAAGTCCCGCTGACAGAGCGCTATTGTGTGCCGCTGCGCGGCTTTCTCTGGCACCCTGTTGGTAATCAGGCGGGTGTGGAGGGGCACAGATCAGAGTAGGGGACAAGTAGGCACACAACAGCCTCGGGGTCAGCTGAAGGAGCGCGCTCGTGTGCACAATGAGACAGAAACACAGAAAAAAAGTGTTCAAGTGACTCTGAGTGAGAGAGAGAGAGAGGGTGGGGGGGACAGCGGCTCAAAGAGCGAAGGGAGCCAGGGACAGAGCGCTCCAGCCGCCAGCCGGCCCCTCCTCTGGGAACACACAGAGCCTAATGAGTTTGATAGTCTGCTGAGCTCCATAAATCATGCCATGCAAAACATTTCTCCTCTCTGAATAAAAGCATTTATCACCCTCTGTTTATTCACTCACTCTCACAAGATTGATTGGCTCCCAGCAGCCCGCTGAGCAATCAGCCGTGCCGATTCCTCTATACCCCCCTCCCCTCCCCCCTTTTCTCCTCCTCCTCAGTCCTCTTCTTTTCGACTTGATTTATTTATTTATTTTCCCTCCTCTCGTCATTCAGTGGGGAAACTTCGAAAGGAGTGGATGAGGGAGACCGTCTCCAATGTCGGCATGGGGATGCTGAAGTCCGTCAAGGAGTACGTGGACCCCCAGAACATCTTCGGCAACAGAAACCTGCTCTAACTCCCGGCTCCTGTCCATCTCCACCTCACCTTTTTTCTAAAAGGCATCGTGTGCATTTTGGATTAATTGAAACTAAAATGTGAAATGGACAGAGATGTTGTCTTTTCTCATCAAAGAGTGTCATTTGGTGCCATTAACCAGTTCACCCAAACCTTTACTTTCTTTTACATCGTATTGCACTAAACACGCTGTAACAATCATTCACAGTCATCTCAGTTTGTTTAGAATATAGAATAGAATATTCCTTTATTGATCCCCCATGGGGGAAATTTTTTTGTCACAGCAGCATCACAGACAAGACAGAAAGTGCAAAATGCAGTTATAACAATAAGGGTCCTAATATTAAGAACTTAATAAATGTAATAATTAAGAAAAAAATAATTGAAAAGAGAAAAGGGAGAAGAAAAAAGCTGCGACCATGAAACAACTCGACCCTGATTTAGTCACATTCGTTTGTGTTTCACCCTTTCCTTCGTATTCTTGTTAACAGTTCATCACATTGTTTTTACTCTCCTCTTGTACGTGTGTGCGTGCGTGCGTGTGTGTGGCACTTCTTCGTCAGTAAGTTTAAGAAGAATGCGCTTTCTAAAGCTCTGTGCCTTTCTAAAGCTTCTGTCTGCCTTTCCCTTCTCCTATGACTCACTTTGTGGAGCGTAAATTAACCCGGACATGAGCTTCTCTCCGTCTCTCGTTTGGTCCTCTTTCCCTCCTTCCTTTAGTCATACTGACCTTTTTGCCATGAGAGACTCTTCCTGGACTCTGCTGAAAAACATGCTCTTCAAAAACCCCACCAGATTTTTAACAACAACCCCGTGTGATTACAAAGAGAGATATTCCCCTGTGTGTTTAGTTTTTTGTACTGAAAGCGTTTACCTTGCATGGTTTGTTACAGAGAAAGTGAAGCAGGAAAAAAAAACATTGCAGTTTTTTTGTTTTTTCTGTTGTCATGAATGCTTCAAAGCGGCTGCAGATTTGAGGCCTCTGGATCCCGGTGCTTACATCGTACCAAAGACTCATCACATCATGCAAACATACACACATTTGAAGGTGTACACACTTTTAGTAACTTCACACACAGCTGAACTGTATTTTTTAATCAGCATATGCAAGGATAAACCCCTGTGAGAGCTGTAAAAGTTAAGCTATCTGTGACTGTTACATGTGATAAACACATTTACATCCTATGTTCCACACTGTATTAAATTATTTCTGCTCTATAGGGTTTGTTTTCCCAGAATTCCCTTGTTAGTTTGCGTGTCCTGTATGAAGGTTTTTTTGGATCGGATATTTAAATGTACTAAAACTTGATGCCAGACTTGTATCGTATGTCAGAGTTAACCATTGATTTTGAGGTAAAACTTAAGCTTTAAGAAAGCTGTTGTGCATAGAAAATTCCCTTTTCTGCCCCTTCTGATCCAAGCTTCAGGTTTATTTTGGACCCCATTGTCCTTTTTTTAATTCATAAAAAATCCTACATATAAAAAGGACATAGTCAGGACCTGTCGTGTGGCATTTTACCCCGTGTCAAAAGAGGTTTTGAACATTATGGATGTACCTTTTTGTTATTTTCCACTTCTCTAAACAACATAGTAACATCCAAGTACATTTTTGTCAATGCTGTTTGTGCAATTAAATTGAACTTAAACATCCCAGCCGTTGATTTTCTGTTCAGTGAGCAGGAACCTTCGACCTCTCTCATACATCATTTCCAATTCAGCTCTCCTCTCGTAGTCTTTATTCGTGTTGTCAGTTGGAGCTCGGAGGGTCAGCAGGAGCAGCCTTTTGTTTGCTCTTTCTCTACCTATGACCACAATGAGCTCAAGGTGATCCAGCACAGAGGATGTTAGCAGAGTCGGTATTTTGCTTCCTGACAGGAAGGATTTTCTTTCTTTTTGCTACACAGAGGCTCATTTGGGAGTCATCTTCACCCACACAGCCGCCCACACGCTGCCTGCTGACGTCACTGCCACCTATCAGCAGCTACGCGGCTCAGCCTTGGAGGATAAAATGCACTGCAGCTATCCCACTCCTCACAGTTTAATACAAAGGATTATGAATGAATGAATACATCTGATATAAATATGACTTGAAGGATTTCAGGTTTAATAACAGATCTGTGTGTTTGCAGTCAAGTCCTTTTTCTTTATGGGGTTATCTCCCAAACTGGAACATCTTTTTTAATGTCTTTAAATGTATTTCAATGGAGCATGCATGCACAAGCAGTATTTCACTGAGAGACATTCTGTATGCAAGTATACATTTGTCCACATGAGGTCAGCACTGCACTTAGGAAAACTATCAAGTGTGCTCAGGGGTAAAAGTGGAAGTACTGGGAACAGCTTTGTTGCAGACAGACATGGTGCAAATTTCTGAGTATAAAGAAATGCTTCAGTATTAGTAGTACTGGTAACACTAACCATAATTTATAAATGGTAAATACATAGTTCATTGATGTTTAATCATCATTTAAAAACAACATATAGACCAATTATAAATGGCAAATAGATACTTTATTAATGTAAATAGTTACTTTACCATTAACAAGCAATGAAATTATGATTAATGATTAAAGGTTCATATAGGGTTTAAATGTTGGCTGTAAAACATCTAGATGAAAGTGTGTGTCAGTAGCACATTGTGATTGGTTGGTATTTGGTTTTTAAACCATCTATAAAAATCACATAGATGGTTTTTGTAAAGTTAGAGTTAGGTTTTTAAAATTGTAAAATTTACAATTTATTAATGGTCTTTATGCTATTTATCTGTTACCATTTAAAAATGGTCTGTTTACTGTTTTTAAGTTATGGTTATTGTAAAGTGTTACCGTATTACTTCAAAACAATACAGAACATTTATGAAGCCAACGTTTGTTAGAGTAATGTTGATTAGACGCTTAATAGAGGACATAACTGATGAGTTTCACTTTATCAGTAGAGTTGTGACTATTCTAATAGATTTACCCATAGCGGCTCTATCTATTATGGTTTGTGAATTCAGCCCGCCGAATACATGTGATGAACAGGATTTGGATTTGTAAAAAGTCACATAAATATGAGAGTGAAGAATGAGAATCCCCAGTTTGTACTTCTGTACAAGGACAGCGACATGTCTTTAAAGCTACAGTAAGGAACTCTTGGTTTGGCACCCCTTGTAGACATGAATGAATGAATGAATGAATGAATGGTTTTATTTTTTGGTCACAATAACAACAAACGAGAAACAAACAGAATTATAAACTTGACCAAAAAAAAGGATTAGGCGGAAGCACAATGCTTATAGTTGCCTATCCTTAACAATCCTTGAAACATCATTTTAATATTTAAAACACTTGATAATGTTGAAATATCTTTCCGCTGATCTTCTCTCATACATGCTTGTGCTTCATCTTCTCTTACAAAAACATCACTTTGCCTCCTTGTAATCGTGAAATATCACTCACTGTGAGTTTAAGCTGTGGAAAAATAGGTTGTTTCTTTAGCCTACTGTTTGCCTGAAAACAATTTCAATAACTCCATAGAAAGAACATCACAGATGGTCTGGTTTGCTTTTTAAATCACAAAGAAAGCTTAACTATTAATTTCAGTGCGTTTTATGACCAAATAAAATGTCCTCACAGGAGCTTTAAGTTACAAAATACACAAGAAGACATATAGCAGCATATTTTTATTCAAACTCGTAACAGAAACATCGCACATTTGCCTTTTCATGCCTTTGGGTTCTTTCAGTTTTCCCTCTATAAATAAATCTCGGGGCCAAAACAGGGAGAGGAAAAGAGAAATACAAGAAGCACGTTACATAGCAAATAAGACAGGTAAAAGTTGGCCTCAGTAGGTGACCCAATAGAAAAATAGAACAGCAATATTCATAGTTTACTTAACATGATGCAAGAGACTCTAAATCATGCATTTCAGATGACGTGATGCTTTTACTGAGGAAGTTCAAAATACGAGGTATTCATTGGCTCACAAGTTTTGCTACATCCTTAGCAAGTGTTTGGATTCAATACTGCATAAAACATGCAATTCAGAATGTCTCTGGTTGGTTTCAATTCAGCTCTTCGACTAAAACACAGCAGAGCACACAGATCCATGCCACACAATGTGCACAGACACATTTTAAACTCCAATTAACAAAGCTTCAACACAATTCATAAGGCATACCCCACCAAATCAAAGAAAACATCAGTTTGTCGTATTGAAATAACAGTTTGTAACCACACGGGGACTTCAGTAGCACAAATTGAAGAGTTTCAGGCTTGCTTTGGAGTTTTTAGAAGTATTTGGGAGCTCTGAGGGAAGCTTAAAATTTTCAATTAATGCATTTTAGGAAGTAGTTGACTTACTTTCTGGCATAAAGTTAGTTGAGAGGATGCTTGTCTTTGAATTTTCCATCGAAACTCGACGGCTAACATACTCTGAGTTTAACTTGGCATGAAAACTGGGAAAACTGGTGCTCTCATTGCTCCAACATCAAGATCTTATTTGTTTCCTGGTCGGTGAATGATTTGGTGGCTGCTAATATCAGTTTTGACTGAGGCATTGTGTTGCAAAACATAAAGGAAAACACGGAAAAGGCCTGTCGGATCTGCTTTACTCTTTAAAATCAGCTTTGTGGGCTGAAGTGAACTCCTTCAGCTGTGTGTCATTTGCCTCAAGCTAACATTAGCTTCAGCTGGTTGGCAGCTGTGAGCTACGAGGAGCTGAGTATAAATGTTTACATACAGATGTTTGATGAGTCTGCTGCCCGTAATTTATTCTGACAAGTAGTACAGTTGTTGTTGTTTTTTATCGGTCCATCCCATGCATGTTTGAAAATAGCTCTTATCCAACTTTATGCCAGAAAGCAAATCTGTTTTATTTCTTGATATGTCAAGTTGTAGTTTAGTGAGGTGGTCTTGTTAAATTAATGTGGAATCGGAATAACTTCATCAAGGCACATTGTGTGTGACAAGTGAGACCCTGCATTTATAAAGTTGGGCAAAACAGATTTCTTTTAGTACTTAACGTTAATGCTCTGTGGCTTTCATGGGGTCGAGGCATGACTGCAGTTAAAACAGATTATGGCAAAATATGTCGTGACTCAACATGGATTTCCATACTATCTGAGAATCTCGGTGAGGGGGCCATGCATTTTTCATTAGGATCTCAAAACAAGGCACAAGAGGGGAGGGAGAGGAGCACTCCGTTTGCATTGCAAGCACTGTCATAGGTCCTGCTGTTCCTGCACCCCTGTATCCCTCAGAAACTTTACAGCCACATAACAATCCAGAGCGTACATAGTTTTCAAACAGTGCTTTGAAATAACTCAGTAGCCTATGTACAGATTTACAAAAAATATCTCTGTTACCCCGGACAAAATGCAGGCAACGAGGAGGTACTGAGAGCAAAAAACGAACCACAAAAGAGACAAACATTCCTCCCCAATACTCCATGCCTTTGTGCTGAAAATGTGTGCAATGCCCAGAAACATTAGTGTTAGCTCACTGGTTGACATGTTGACACAGTGGTTTGAGTTTTCTCTCTGACAAGGTGTCATCAGCTGATTTGTCGCTGCTCAGACAAGTTTGCCAAATTCAGCTCTGTTCGCCTTCAGCGCTGGAGGACTGAAGGAAGCAGAAAAACCTCTATGATAGTGCCACACTCAAGTCTACAGCTCATCTTTCATAGCATAAGCGAAGGGGAGCAGAGCCCAAGAGCCTCTGCATGCGCCGCACTGCCTCTCTGTAGGCCACACTTAAGAGGAAATAAGCTAATGAGATCAGCTCGCAGAAGCTAACTAACAGGTTTGGATGGTTTGCCATCAGCATCACTGCTGCAGCATGGTGTGCTGCCCACTTTGGCCACAGTGCAGCCAGCTTTATCTGAGCTGTCGCCACTGCAGGGGCTTGGGGGTGCAGAGACGCTCTGGCCACGCTGTCTCTTCTTGTTCAGTTCCTCCCATTTGGCCCTGTTAGCTTTGATCATGTCAAGCATCGGCTGGAGTTTGGGATTCAATTTGACCAGAGTCTGGAGAGAGAAACAGATAGAGAGAAAATGTAGAGAAGAGAAATAAACATTTAATACAAACAAAAGCCACTTTGGGCATGAAAGGAACCAGATTGTGACACTTTATAGTTAAGTGACTGAGAAGAGCATTTATGTCTTCAGAGAGGAACGACTGATGCTCCACAAAACTAACAACCATACGCGGTGCTCTGTCAAGCTGTGATTGGGCACAAAGGTGCTTTAGGCAAGTGTTACCATGAGCATTAATAACTCTGACAACATGCTGATGTTTGTGAGGCAGATACTTGCAGATATGAGGGTCTGATCACAAAAGAGTTCTTAACATGCGGAGATACTGACTCAAACTGATACTGATGCCTGATATCGGCCTCAAATGTAAACAAGACCATCAGCAACAAGACTGATATTTTCTCTGTTTTCATTTTTAACACCTGAAAACACTAAAGGGGGTAGAGTGAGACCAGATGATGCATTTTTTACAGCAAATACTTACAGGAAACAATCCATTTCACTGTCAAAGTACAACAGGACTCGGTTTTTGAAACACTTTGCACAGTGAGGATTATTACTTTGACCACAGGGGGTGCCAGAAGTTCCTTACAGCAGCTTTAAATGTCTCTCTTAACTGTAACTCCTGCGAACATTTTTTAAATACTAAAATACTCTTTTAACCATCTTGGCAAATTTTTTTGTTTTGTTTTTTTTCTTTTTTCCACAATTGCTTCACATGGTGTCACCTTCATGAAGATGTTCGCCAAATATGAAATGCTTCCTAGTAACTTTTTAAAAATGTGACCAATCAAAGGCAGCCTCAGCAGTGAGCTGTTGATGAGAATAAATGGTACCTATCCTTCCTTATTAGTTTCAGGCATTAAATATACGTACATAGAAATGTTTTTTTTTCTTTTTATGGTAGTGTCCTTGTTTGCTTATAATGGCACCAGTATTAGTTTCTGCCTGTTTTATACTAAACTACTTCTTGGTTTATTCTACAACATAAGTAAACCTCAGTAACTCTAATGAGTTTGGGTTATCAAAGCTAGATTTATGGCATTTATGAAACTAGTAAAGATCCCGTTTGTGGTATAGTTGACAGCAGAACTGGTCATGCCATTAGACTGTTTCTACCTGTGATTGGAAAGTTTCATAAACTGCAATATGCCACCCAGGACAGTCATTTGTATCCACTCATTCATACAGAAAAAGTCACTTCCGCCTTTAAATAAAAAGTACCACAAAAAAGGAGACTGCCAAAATGCAGCTTCAAAAAGGTTATACTTAAACTCATAGATGCAAATTAATGCCCTCATGTTATTGTTTGTTTGTTCTCACATCCAACTTTCTGAATGAAACATAATGCTAACAGTTATGTTTTATTTATTTATTTTTTAATAAAGATGGTTACAGAGACAACAGGAAGTCCTTATCTTTGGATTACTGATTTTTAAGTCAAGAAGTGTTCCTATTTGATTATTATTAGGGCCACAGAGCAAACACACCAGGCACTACATTGCAGTTTTAAACTTGTCAGACTGCTCTGGGTCCATCTTTTTTCCTTTTTTTTTAATGTTGCATAAATAAATACATGAAAAAGGAATGTTTATTATAGGTGTGCTCCGTGTATAAAATATCACAATGCTACTAGTATTAATTATTTGAAATCTCTGAAGAATCTCATCATAATGAACACACCCCGGCAGTAGCCCCTGTGGCCTTTTCAAAATTTCCCAGAGGGAATATTCTAGTGAAAATTATTTATTTATAAGAAGTCTTGTGCTGAGCACAGTAACTTGAATGTGATAATCATACATTGAGGTACTGTATATGCATACATAAACTGAGGCTTGTCAAAAGCAGCACATTAGTTATTAAATGTATATGACGGATAAAAAAAAACGTAGCAATAAATCCAACATAAAGTGCACGTAATATGGTAGGAAAGGAAAAAGCTGCTCGTTACAGATTAGAGCCACATGCAGGACTGAGATTAGCAGCCTCTGTCAGTTTTCTGTGTTAAACTTTGAGTGTTTGTGTGGTCAAAGCTGTCATCCAACATTTAATAAATCACCTGAGAGACAGTGGGATTTGTTCTCTGTTCTCTCAACTATTGTCTCTTGGATTTCCAGGGAAGACTATAATTAGTTATTCTTTCATTAACCCTGTTTCATATGGAAATATAACATGTGGGCAGGGGTCCCACATATTAAACAATGTTCATTTATCCTCACTTGTGTAGGGGTGAATAGGCAGCCATTATGAGACTGAATGAAATAAAAGCTTGGTAAGTAAGAACACCTACACTCAGGATTGTGTATTGAATGTGAGAAAGGAAAATCAAATATGTTGCTACACTCAGAGAAAACACAACTAATCACAGCTGCCAATTAACTGAGCTTTAAAAGCAGGCAGCAAACTGAGCTGCATTTGCATTTGGAGGGTGCATTCACTTACTCATATGAACAATTAAAACACTTGGTGTGGGAGTTTGACCGTAACAAAGCTTCATAATGTGGTGAAGTTCAGAAAGCAGGACTGTGTCTTAGTTTTAAAAGAAACAAAAACAGAAAACAGACGTCTGCTCACATTTGTTCATTAAGAATTCATTACACATCCTAAAAAGTGTTTTTAAAAGCTTTGCACGACTCAGTAATTCATAATATTGTGATTGCCTGAAAATGAATTTGACTGGTAATGAAGCTGTTTGTCAGTGATGCAGACCCACATGAGTACGACATAGATTTCCATTTTCATGATTTGAGATTTAGTAGATTCCTGATAATGAAGTCACGTTGCTCCAGAAGTGCTCATGATATTTTGTTTTTGCTTATATTTTGTGTTACAACTCCAGTGGCTAAGAACTCATTTTAATGTAGAAATACCTCATATTTATTTATATCAAGTTCTCAACCAAAATAACTAGCTTTGTTTTAATTGTTGATCAAATTAAGGACCCTGAAGCAACACTAGGTTTTAGAAAGTTCAAGTTTGACAAGCTTTAGTTCCTTGAGTGTCTAATTGAGGGTGGTTTAAGAGCCAATAAATCCCTGTTGTTGATTGTGGTGACCGGACATGAAACACCATGCAGTAACGGTCAGTTAAGTCACAGCACAGTTTGTTTGGCTCTGTGATTGTCATCTCTGACCTACAGACGGATTGTGTAGTCTGACACCTGCCACCCTCCCACCAGTGGTTTCAGATTTTAACAATTACTACAGAGAAATAGCAATACCTCTAGATGATGATCTTGTTTACATTTTTAGGTTACAGAGAGACATCAGCGTATATTTCAGTCTGTGTCACAACGAGTCAATAGCTTTAATCAGGGTGCAATGCTAAAATTGACTGATTGAATTATTTAAAGATTAATTGGTCCAATCTTTTAATAATAATAATAATAATGCATTTTAACCATAAGCGCCTTTCTGAGCACTCAAGGTCACTTTATAAAGTAAAAACAGCAGCATAGAACAACAAGATTAAAGCAATACAGTTAAAAAATGTTATTCTTTAAAGAACACAATCAAACAAAATCATGAGAAACTTAAATCTGACATTTTAAAGCTCCTGTGATTCATTTGACTTTGATTTGTGTCAGTTGTGGCGCCCCCTATGGACAAAGACAAAAAAAAAAATGGATGTCTTTGCATATCCTGGCCTCTATATGGTTGAGTCAAGACTTCTGACATAAAGACCCAATTTTGCTGACTTTTGACCGTTAAATATACTTTAATATTTCCTGAGTTGCGCAGGTCACATCTACTCCCTTGGACTGGTTTTATAAACTAAAAATTAGGATATAAAAATTGCCGGTCTTGTTACTGATGGTCATGTTTCCTTTAGGATATCATAAAAAGGCATCAATATAAAATTCAGTCTGGTTCATAAACATGAAGAAACCCCTTATAGGAGCTTTAACTAATCTGTTGTTAATATGTCTATGACTGTAACGCTTTCGTAAACATACTCCTGTTGAAGATATTAGCATAAATGAGTGTTTTAAAGACCACAAGACTGTTGCAGAATAACTGAGGAATATTATTTATAACAAGTGTTCGCTTATTGTCACGCTGTGATGATGGGTGGCCCACATTCATCTGCAGGTTAAAAAGGGGGCACAGCCTCCTTCTTTGTATCAACTGTGGGACACTTCTATGGGTTTGCATCATTATTCCTCTGAGGTAAACCCAGACGCAGAAGAAGAGAGAGGCTGTCATATGGTGGGGTGTAAAGATGGAAGGTTATATAATGGGGGATTAATATTCCACAAAGTAGTGAGCCACCACGAGGAGAAGGAGATCAACGAGATCAAGAAGGAGAGCTCTCCCGCCCACAGACTAAAACCCCGCTGCCTCTGAACTCCCTCTGTTCTCCCCCCCTGCAAATTTAATTGGCAGCAGCATGATCGTGAGCTCCATATCTGCATTCTCCAAACATCAGCCTTTATGTACGGCAGTGTGGAGTCAAACCCCCCACGCAGACTACACACACACAGCACTTTGATGCTTGTTATCTAGACCACACAGACAGTAACAATAGTGAAACCAGAGCAGGGCACAGATTAGCCTGCTCTGACTTTGGTCACTGATCACTCGGATAACTCTTTAGATGTTAAGATGATCTATCATTTGTTTTCTGTAACAGGTTTATTGTAGCAGTAAAAAGGAGAGGGTGAACTGTTTCATCCTTTCACAACTATCTGATTTGTTTGCTTTTGGGAATTCACCTCTGACACGACTCGTATCTTAACAGGTCTGATCTGCTCAGTGAGGCAGCAAGCATCTTTCTATCTTTCTCCCACACAGCCACCACCGCCACTGCTGCTGCTAAGAGGGGGGTCTCTTTGACGTCATTAAGTAACACACCGGCATTTCTATACAAGTGAGGACGCTTTACAGATTTCCTTTATTCCCTGAACAATAACCTATTTAAGCCTTACATTTGCTCAGCCTGGATCCTGCAATAAAATCGACTCTTTTTATGATTTTTTAGCAAAAGCACTAAGAAGGAGAGCGCTGCAGCCAAGAGTCAGACCTTGCTTATTTCATTACTGTGCAGCAAAGCCCAGAATACACTGTCTGACTGAGAGGATTTAACCCAACTAACATCCTCACTCCGTCCGCACACTCTGCTTCCTCTAAGCTCTTCGTGCCTTCAGAAAGAGCAAACTCATTGTGCTCCTCTAAAAGAACAGGATGCAACCTTGAAGTTGTGTCAGTGCTTTCTGTAGAGAGAAAAGTCTGTGGCTACAGAGAAACAGTTACAGGTGACGATTTCATTGCCTGCGTCAGCAGAGGAAACAATCGCGGATGAAGGACAGTGACAACTGATGTCACACTGAGGCCTCACAGCCTTACCTCGTACAGGGGCGCACAAATTCCATCAATCCACTCCAGCTGCAGCCCAGGCAATTCATCCTTCCTGTTTCGATCAAAGATGGCCTGAAAAACAAAAAGTTGGAGTTTATTTCAACATGTATCCCTGCTCATGATAGAGAATCAGTCAAGTGAGGAATAAAAGTCAGTAGATTTACTCAGGGTGAAGGTTATGAATCAATATGAAATACTCTTCTAGATTTTGAAAGCTTTAAGAATTTGCTCTACTTTATCTCAGAGGCACTATAAGGGATTTAGAAGCTCTGAAATGTTAGGTACCGAACTTTTCCATGTCTTTATTCCAGCTAGAGCACTGAAATTAACCGGTCAGCTAATTTTAGGAGTGCAAAACTCAGCTACAAACTATGCATGATCCGGGATTTTAAAAAAGCACAACCTATTTGCCTGGATTTTAGTAACAACAAAATTTATTACTCACTGTGAGCATTTGCTATAATTTTAAAAAGCAGTTTTTTCAGCCTGCTGTTAATCATCTGGTTTGATGCCCACCCCCCCTCTACGTTTTTTAGCATCAAAAATACCAAAAGTGAAAAAATCAGACTTGTTGCTGTTGGATTTGTTTGCTTTTGAAGGTCATGAAGAAGCACCAGACCCTGTTTCCTAGCCTATAAAAAAACTCCTTACTGTGCCTTTTATGGATTGGGAGGATATATTTGTCAGAATGACATTGAAAATGTCAGCACAGCTCAAGTTGCCTGCCTGAAGTAGCTCTCTGGTGTTGCTCCACTTACACATAAAATCTCCTTGCATTTGACAGAAAATGCATGATCTCAAAGCTAATGCAGGGCTGTGTTTCCAACACCATAAAATGTTGGTTTTCAAAAATATTATTTTTTCACATAAGTATGATACATTTGTGTTTTTTACAGTACATACAGAAATTGAGTGAATATCAAACACACAAACACCAATTTCCTCTACGATGACTGTTTCTACATAAATGTGTTTAATAAATCTTGCTGATAATTAGGGGTGGAAGAAAACATTGATACAGCATAGTATTGCAATATTTTGTCTGGTGATGAATCGTATTGTCAAATTTACCAAGTATTGATTTTTTCAAATTAATTGCTAATATAAAATCAGATCTATAATAATGGAAAAATAAAATCATCTGTTTGTCCAGTGAGGTTGGCAGAGGTGACATCATAGAGCAGGAGAAAGTTAGTGCAACGAATATATAAAAGGTTTGCAAGGTGTGCAACATGAAAAAAAATAGGGCAAACATAAAGGAAAGACAAATGCTAATTTGGTAAACAGTTGAAAAAATTGTATAAATCGCAATATATTGTTTTACAATACTCACTGTTTTGCAAAATGTAAAAACTCACAATAAGATCGTATCGTGGCCCAAGTATTATGATAATATTGTACCGTGGGGTCACTCGTGATTCTCACCCATACTTATAATACTTGCTGCATTGAGTCTTTAACTTGCTTTGGAGTATTTTCACCCATGTGATTTGGATGCTTCAACAGAAATAAAGGATCAGTATACTTCTACCACCTCTGCCAGAGTGCTGCTGTAACAGCTTTGGCTCAAGCAAATTCTCCCTCGGCTCTCGAGACAATTGAGTTCACTTCATGTACATTTTCTATTCCACCTCATTCTCCTGCAGCCTGAGCTTAAGAGGCTCGCTGAGGCTGTGCTTCAGAGATAGTTACTGGGCTACAACTTAGAAGTTAATATTTAATTTCCAACACCCACACATGGAGCAGTAAAGGTTTGACACAAGCTGCAGACCTGAGGCTACTGCATTAGTTATATCTGAGGGGAGGCAATGTGGCCTGGCTCGATTAGTCCACGGCCATTAATTGCTCACGGAAAGCTGCTGGTTTTTCCCCCTTTAAGAAGTTGCAACACAGTTCAGCCATAAAAGCTCCTCAATCAAACACACAGAGCTCTTCTGTTGTGCTGCTGCGGCTTTGAGAAGAGCATTAAAGGTTATGCATTAAAACAATGTCTATGAGTCTTTCTCTGCTGTTATGATGTTGCTATTTTTACAACCACAGTAGTAATAATCAAGGCTAGTAGAACTCCATAACACCTAAATTTATTGTGCGTTCACAGCCGAATGAGTATAGAGGTACATGTTTGCTTTGAATCCTGTGCAGAAGGATCTTTTTTTTAAAAAATGGTTGTTACACAGTCTACACTTCGCTCTTGGCACTGTGCAGCGAGGCAGCAGTGCAGTCACGCTGACAATTCACTTTTCTCGCACTACCAAACACAAGCGCTCATGTTTCCTACGCAGTCAGTATGTTTTTTTGAGACTGCAGAGAAAATCTATCTTCAGCATCATCAGCTCGCGGAGGTCGCAGAGGTGAAACAAACTGCACAAAAGCACAAAAGCAGGAGGTGGCTGGATGGACATACCGAGGGCGTGAGCTTCAGCTCCGATCTCTCTCTGTCGCCTTGCTCAAAGAACTCACTGGTCACCAGCTCTGCCACCTGGAAAGAGAGAAAAGATTCATCTAGGACTATAACAAATAATTGTTTTCAGGATTGATTACTTGTATATTATTTTTTAATGATTTATTTTCACAAAACGAAAGGGAAATTGTGTAAAAGAGTGATAAAACTGTGATAAAATAATTTAAGAATAAGACAAGACTGAAATATAAAAGCCAAAAGCTAGAAATGTTTTGTATTTTTAAGTCAGAATAATGACAACCTATGTTCAGATAGTTGATTATAGTTTTAACCAATTGTTTGAGATTATAATGTATAAGTGGTTTGGTACTATATTTTCCTACATTTAAAAGTGTGTTTCTCACCTTGCGTGATATGTCCCAAGGTTTAGTGACAGCACCAAGATCACAAGCTGTCATCATCATCGATCTGAGAATGATCATACAGATTTATGTCACTGCAAAACCCACAGTTTAATTTAATAATGTATTGAGAGATAATGGGACTCTTTTCATTTTTTTTTACCTGCACATGTCTCTATGACCCTTCACATTCCAGTTATACTCTCCATTACTGACCAGCTCAAAGAACGTGTTTCTGTTCCTGCAGAAAAACAAAGCATCAGTATCTTTAGGTGTAAGTTACTCTATTTCCACAGGGGGGCGGTGTGACCTAAAAGACGCCTGCAAATCAATGGAAAGCAGAGCATAGAGACAGACTCGTAATGAAGTTACAACACTCAGTGGACACCTCTCTGTCAGGAGATTTAACTGTTCAATAAGCACCATGGTGTTCAGCAGAACATACTCGAAGTAAAGTGTGAGGTCTGTGGCCAGGATGGACTGTTTCAAGAGCTGCATGAGGTCGCTGTACTCTGTGGAGGAGAGGTTGGAGAAGATGTTGTGACCCTGTGGAGACACGTACAGAAAAAACACGATGAAAAATGCTCAGTGGATGTCACTTTTTCTCTATAAGTTTCTATAGGTTACACTACAGGCATCCTTCCTCCACTGATGCATTTCAGTAAAAGATCACAGGAACACTTTACATGAACACACCTCTTATAGCACAGTACAAAAATTGTTTTTAAGTGCATCTTAAAGGCTTTGTTTTAACCCTAATGAGTGATAAGCACTCACAACAGCTTATAACAATGTTTATTTAGTGCTATAAGCAGTGTGCATAATAATAAAAATAAAACACAATAACACTGAAAACTGTTTTAAAGAAAGCTGTCAAAGACTTGCAATACAGACAGATAAAGTGTGATTTTAATAGTTCACATGAAAGATTTTTAAATGACACAGAGTATTTAACATATTGGATTTAAGTCATATTTGAGGGTAATTCAAAGTATTGATTCTTTACACCATAAAAGCTCCTGTGAGAAGTCAGTGAAATAGACTGAAATTCATATTGGTGCCTTTTTTTTTGATGTATGGAAGCAAACGACAATCAGTGAAATGGTTAATGGCTGCCATTTCGTAATTTCTACAACCTGATACCTGTGTAAGGGTAGGTGTTAGCAAAGCATCTGGAGAAAAAGCCTTTTTCTTACAGTTTTTTCATCAAATACTCAATCAATAATACATTTTTAAGGCTGCTACAACCACAGGGGGCGCCAAAACTTACACAAACCAAAATTTCTTCACTGGAGATTTAAATCCTCTGATTTATCTTTGTGTATGCAACATTGTTTTCGTCAATATATCCATACAAATCCAAGCAATAGCAAGTTAAACCAGTGTTCTCCTGCTATCAATAAATAAGAGTCTAAAACTGTCAGGGGAGAGGTGTTCTCTGTAGTGGGACATCAAAAGAAAGCTGAAGCAAGGCCAGAAAAACACAATGCAATGAGCCATCGCGCCATCAGAGAAGCTGCTTTGGTTGTAGTTAATAGGCCTTTTTACACACAAGACAGAACAGGTGTTACTAATGACATTAACCATTAAGCACTGACAGTATACCAGTGAGTCAGCAGGACTAATACAAGGGCAGTGTCAGAAAGCACTCCCTGTTTACATTACAGTGTTCTGCACAATATTTACTCTTCAGCGATCTTGTTTCAGCGTCAAGGTTTAAGCAGAAATGTGACATTTTGAGTTCCTACAAAGGAATAAAAACAGGAGGGCCGCTGACTTTTACACCACTTTCCAATGCAACGTGTCACACCTAATAGGTGCATGCTTGTGCAGTAAAATGACAGTAGGCATAAAGAGAGTAACACTGTACAAAATCGCATTTACTGCTTTCTATTGAGGAGGGAACTGCAGAGGAACTTCACTCCTCACTTTATTCTTCCACGATGTCTCACAAGTTGCTAGAGCAAATAGCCTTTATTTACACGACTTAACCATAACAAAGAGGCAACAATAAAAGAGAATGAATGTGTGCAGAGGAGGGAACCAAGCAGCTGTTAATAAAGAGGCAACATCTCTCACTTGAGGCCCTGCGTCATTAAACAGGCCTCTCCCCGTCATGCATTATACATTCATTCACCACTTAGACTGCCTCCTCTAGAGGAGGGTTTGAACAGATGGATACGTCTGTCTGTGGAGGAAAAGAAGATGTCGAGGTGATAACAGAAAAGGATGAAAAATGAGCAGGTGATAATGACCTGCAGAAATTAGCGGAGAAATCTACAGATTGTTGTGGTGCGTCTCGTTGTACATTGAGCAACGTAGCAGCGGTGACACACGGCACTCATCCTGTCTCAATCAGAGCAAGTGATTGAGTAAAATACGAAGTGACGCAGTCAAAGAGACACAGTGACATTTAAAAGTTACTATTCCAATTTATTTTTCTGTGCGTAACAGCTAATTCTACTTGAATTAGCCACACTCTTCATTTATATGCTAATGGGACAGTGTTAGCTCAGCCTCGGTATCAACAGAGCCCATTATGATATTCCAAGCAAACATTTGTCAGCTTACTGTGTTGTCAGCACCTTGATAATGAAGCCACTGGAACCCACCCTGCTAATCCTCGTCTCAGCTGCTCCTTCAAAACATCTTTAATTACAACTTTATGCAAACCCAGTCACCTGGTAAAATGTCTCTCTCAACCAATTACCAGCAAATCCATTGCCTCTGTGATCACATTGATTTGTGAGGCAGTGTGAGCTATTTGTTTACTTGCTCTCATACAGCCAACATCCAGGCACCACATGGATAACTTCAGGCACTGTGGGCACAAAGTCCTTTATTTGGATTTTATTTTTGATCATAATAATTATTTTTGGGGACAAAGTGGAATTAAGGATATTCTACATTAAAGCTACTGTGAGGAAATTTGGCTGCTTATGAAATAGGCTGAAATAAGCAGTGATGTGTTTCTAAGACGCCCAAAAGCAAACGAGACCACTGACAACAAAACTGACAATTTCAATATCACAGTTTTGAATGCCTGTTGCTGCTGTAAAGAGGTACAAAACAGCATTTCCACAGCAAGTACCTACAGCAATTGAATATCTGATTAATTTTCACTGTTAAAAAAGACAGAAAGAGAATTTTTGCCAAAAAAAAACACACCACTTTCCCAAGGATGAGACAAAATCAGCACCAACAAAAGAGTTTGACCACAGGGGGCGCCAAAACCACCACAGACAGAAAGTGACAGGAGCTTTAAATACAATGTCCAGAAGTAAAAACAAGAATCAGTAATTGGTCTGATTTGAGGTTTTTAAAAACCAGTTCGACTTCTCAGAGGAACAAGGGCTGTAATCTTTTGTAGTCTAGAGTTTCAATGCGTCACTATTTAGCTGTAAGTCGTATAACTTTAAAGCTACTGTGAAAGAACATCCTGCTTGCACTGATTTTGGTGCTCCCCGAGTACAAAGCAGCAAAGTTAATCTCCTGCTCATATTCCTGATAAAACAAAGAAACTAAAAATTATGTTTCTTTATTCCAAATGTTTACAATGTGCAACTTACATTAAGTTTTTGGCATGTTTAATAAAAAATGTTATAGAGCAGCAGAATTGATTTCTGTCTGTTTCACAACTAGCAAATAAACTCACAGGAGCTTTAAATGAACAGTTTGACATTTTTTGAAAATGCTTTTCTTTCTTTCTGAGAATTATCGAGACTACTAGCCAATCAATCAACATGCTGTAAAAATGGACGTGGTAAGAAACAGCCCCCCCAACCCTTGAGTTATCAGCTTTTCAGCCGAAAGAGGTCACAGAGCCCTTAAAAACAATTACACTGTGCTCAATTTACAATTCTTTTGAAGTAGCTGACATTCATGCGATAAGGCTGGTTAACTTCCTGGGTTTCAAGCTGTTAGCTGGCACCTCATGTTAGTTGTACTTTAAGTATGGCTAGTCGTGCTTTTTTAACTTTAAAAGACTTTTAACCACAATTTAGCCTGGTAATAAAGTGCAAATGCAATGAAAAGTTAATTTTAGCTTCTGCAAAGAACTACCAGTTTGTGTTGAATTTAGCGCCCCCTGTGGACAAATAAATACTTTCTTTCACTCTGCTGATTTTGTCCTGCAGGTGTGTAAGTAGTGTTTTTGAACAAAAGTCTCACCCTACTTTGATTTAAAGGTCAAATGTGTCTTTCTCTGCTGTGAAATATACAAAGTATACATAGAAAATACACTGTACACAGTATACACATAATCCAGAAGTCTGACACTTACCCCTCAGCTGAAGCTTTAACCATTCAAATAATTACGTAGAAAAAAAAACTAATTATCATGCTTTTGGTTTTGTTTGATTTTATAGCTCATAAAGAGACATTAATATTAATTTTAGTCTGTTTAATAACCTCCAAAAACTCATCATCACAGGAGCTTCAAATGAGTACATGTAATGCAGAGTTGCAAGATTATAAGGCATGCCCAGCAAGAGCTAATGTAGTCACATACTAGGTTTAAACAATGAATCTAACTCTCATGAAGTTTGTAGTAAGTGTTTAGACGAGATGTGTTAACACGACACCTTGACCTTTTGAGTTATCCTTAAAGTGAGGTGCGATACAAAGTGTTTACGAGGATGTTTTCAGTGAGCTGTGGACACTTTAAAAGAATTGCTCAAATAAAACATGCAGTAGTAGCATGTGCAGAACTTTCATGGTAACTGCATTGCAGCAGATATTGGAACAAAGTGCACCTCGCTCTGCAGGATCATAACAGCATGGTTGAAGTGGTGGTGCTCCAGAGTAGCAGAGGTCCCATAAAGCAGAGCAAGTGCTGAGCCCGTCCTGGCACATACACACAGTCACAGACACAAAAGCGCACGCACAGAACACAAATACAGGGATTGAGAAAAGAAATAACATAATCAAGATTGAACACACACTAAAAAACAAAGTATGCTGTTGAGTCTGCTCTAATTCCCTCTCTGATGCTCTCTGCGCTCTGTCGCTAACTTACAGCTCAATAATAAAAGAAGCTGGAGAGCCATAACCTAAACTGCTGCAGAAATTCAACAGTTAGACTACACACTGAATATGATCATTCAATATGGAGAGAAAATACTCAAGAGAACTGAGGCTTGTGAACTCTCGAAGAGGACAGGTTTCCTAAGTTCAGCATACTCCATTAGTTTTTGGAATATCAAGCAAACTATTTTAACTTTTATCTTAGCTGAAGGTTTATTATTTTTTCATTCAACTGAAAGTCAAAAAAACATGTCAAATAGAGTCTGATAGTAAAAGAATATCATTGAACCTTATTATATCATATTACATCATGTTGTTTTGCATCATATCATATCTATACATTTCATATTGGGTTGTATTGTATCCTATTGTTTCAAATGGAAATTCTTTCATATCGTATCATATCATATGGTAATGTATTGGATCATATCATGTCGTATTGTACTGTAACATTGTATTGCATCATTGTGTATCATATTCTATTGTGTCATATTTTTAACTTTTTTTGTATCGTAACATATCATGTCAAATTACATTGTATTGTGTCATACTGCATCATATTGTATCATATCTTATTGCAATGTAACATATCGAATTGTACTGTATCATTTCACATCGTATCATATCACATCGTAACGTAGTACATTGTATCTTTTGGTAACACTGCATCAAATCATTTGCATCATTTTATGTCTTATTGTGTAGAATTGTATAGGATAGTATTGTATCAAGTAATATTGCATTTTATTCTGGTGGTTTCGTTGATATATCGTATTATTGCATATGTTAAACATAAGTGTAGTTGTAGTTTGTGTTAACATTAAAAAAAATCGTGAATTACTTTGAATTCAATCAAGTTTTTCTCTCATGTAACATCCTCAGCTACAGCTTTATTGGACTTACTATTGAAATTAAAACACATCGCCTTTGCCAATAACATAAAACCCCTAAACTTCAGATATTTGGAAATCTTTTTTAGAGGGAGGGACATTTTTATGAATCATTTTAGAAGACCTTTTCCCCCTTTCCATTATGTTATCATCTTGGTTTCAGAACGGTAGTTTTAAGGATTCCAGGAGTCAAGGAACTTTATTTGTCATACCCCACACCTTTGACAGTCTGTGATTTGAATAAGTGCCCAGGTCTGTTTCCAATCCAAGAATAACATACAGTAAATAGAAATATGATACAATAGATAAAATATAATACAATAAAGCAGTTTAATGGTGTTTTACATGCTGTTTTAAAGGTTAGAGATAGCAGTGTTTACAGTCTATGTAAGCACAACTTCATCTAAGCTGTGTACAATTTGCCACTTGACTCTGGCTGATCTGGACTGTCTTCTGCAGCAGGCTATTGAAGGTGGGAAAACAGGCTACAAACAATGTGTGGGAGGAAATGTGTTTATGTGTGTGTACAGAGGAGACAGGCGCAAAGCAGCTAACACTTACTTGGCTTGAAAAGCGTTGTTGGTACCCCTATGGTCCAAGTCATGGCACACACAACCTACAATAAGGGCTAAGATCTCCACCTCTGTTAGAGTCTCCTGGAAACCCGCCGTCTGATTGGCAGAGAGGATAAGAGGTCAATGAGAAAACAAATACACACACATCCTTTGGTAAGAGCAGCTCTTATTCTACGAAATAGCAGCATTGTCCTAAAAACAGTTTCTCCTGGGTCAGCCAGTGGGACTGCAGTAACACAGTCAAATGGATGAATGGGTTCTAGAGGCCATGAGCTGAATGAGTCACTGCAGGTCAGTGTGAGGATAGCAGCAAAGATAGCATGGCCCTCAGTCTGCTCATTAAAACACATGGCAAGATAGTGGAGGACCAAGGAACAGCTTACACTCTGCTGTTTCATTTCCCCCTGCCGATAATCAATTCAGAGGGGGCACCGTGCATTGACGCTGTGCTTGATTAGATGAACTGCTCTGCGTTGTTTGTATAGCAGTCTATGTGTGCGCAAATATATCTGTGTGTGAGTGTGTGTTGCCCCGTAGGACCTGATGAGGTAATTCTCTTGGGGGTTTCTGTTCAAACAAATGTCGCTACTTCGACTCCACACAGAATTGGCTGTTTGTATAGTAAGTATTGCGAAGTGTAATTGCAATCTCAGCAATTTCTACAGCTGTTATATTTTCTATCAGACTTTAAAACTGACTAGACCCCATTGAGAACCGTGGCTTGGTAACAAGGACCTGGAAAATCCAGGAAATCCACTTATTTGCTCTCCAAGACCAGGTAATTTAACTTGCTTTAGTATCATTTCTTTCAAATAATAACTGAATTTAAGTGCTCTAAGTGGGAGTCTACAAGGCATACTATATTCACAGATTCACACAAATTCAAAGGTTGAGGCCGTTTTCTTTTATTTGAATATTTATGCCTGATTTTAACAGCTACTCAAAACTTTCTTTGACTGCCTCTTAGATTTTTGTCTAATGGACTCTGCTTCACTCTGGTTGCTCTCGCTTTAAGCTCTAGAAAACCAGCTGTTGCTGACTGATGTAAAACACAATACCATCACTGATTCAGCGTGTAAATGTTGGCACAGGAAAAAAAACCAAAACATCACAATTTTAATCACTAACAAAAGAAACATGTAACATTCAAAATCAAGAAAGCTGCTGCCAGCTACATTGTAGTAATGACACAGCCCAAAGAGTTGATTTTGACATCAGTCCTGCCTCTGACAAAGCAAAAGACAATCATAAGCCACGATTTACATGTGCAAAATTTCTTGATCTGATTAAAATTTGAAGGATCAGATAATCTGAATCCACTGTCTATATGGGTGCAAATTCAAATGATCTGATCATGACGTGCGTATACATGCACCAAGTTTTATTCAGATTCGAAACATTTGGACATGCGCAGAGTTGTCTGATTTCGCTAAAACAACCGCAGAAGAAGAGTTGTATTGATGCCTGTGCTGTCAACAAGCCAACAAACCCATTAGTGGCTCACTCCATCCGATTCAGAAGTTTTCCTTCTGTTAAATGTCACTTGATGTCGCCCTTGCGTACTTATTTCACTGTTCTGTCTAAAGTTGCACTGTGCATAGAGATGTGACATCATTACGCTGTATGTACGCCTTGTTATGTTACCGGAGGAGCAGACACGGCACCTGCGGTTGTGTTTTATGCCAGAGTGTTAATAATGAAACCTCCTGTACTGACCTCAATTAATAAGCCAAAGGCTAAAGAGTGACGATCGATTTAGGTAAAAGAGTCACGATCAGAGTAAGTGTTTACATGGATGCATTTCGGAATAACGATCAGCATAAACCACCCCCTCGATCAGAATACAATTTCTTCCCGATTGAGCTGAATTGGATCAGAATCTTCCGATCGACATGTTTACATGACGCATTTTTATTCCAATCAAGCATTTATTCTGATTATTTGTGCCTGTGTAAACGCAGCTAGTGACTAGAATTTTGGGGTGGCCAATCAGATTTTAAGGAGAAGGCAATGCCACCTCTTGCCCCTGGTTTTGGCATGATTATACTTACTGTCAACATGGCGAACATGCACTGGCAGACATTGAAGGCATGTCTCCAGTTGTGGTAGAGAACCATTCTGTAGTTTTTCCTGACAGTCAGCAGCCATCTGCACAGTGTCTGCAGGGGAAGACAGAGGGAGAAACGAGAGCACGGGTCAGCAGTCATCATGAGGATGGATTAGCTTGTGAAGGAGCAAAGTTCTGGGCAGATTTAGTCAAATATTGAGAGAAAATAGATACAGGAAGTCAGCATTCTCACCTCGTAGTCAATCTTAAATTTCTGCACCATTCCCAACTCCATAAACATCCTCAGAGCCGCTGTTATCATGGCGTCAACGTCCAGAGAGAAATCGTCAAAGGAGAGCTTATCGATGCCCAGCTCGCAGACCAGGGGGATGTTAGCCGCCTGTTTCATGGAGGTGGGAGAAAACATTAATTAAGGAAAGAATATGAGGTCAGAGAGCAGAGGAAGATTGAGAGGTCAGGGGATGCTGTGCCATTTTCAGATGATACATGGAAATATGGAGACAAGGTAATTAAGACTCTGAGGACTCATTGGGAGAGGGTTAAGATTAATGAAGGGGCTTAGAGGAGGATTTCACCGCTGTTTACTTTTGGAGCTCATTGACAAACCTTGCTGTGCCGTAGTAATCATCCACAGCTTTCTACAAAAACACTATTCAAACAAATATGTGAAAAACATAAGTGATTCCAATTAACCAGACATATCCTGAAGCTTCTACGTCTGCTGTGCTCAGTGCGGTCTAACAAGCACAAAGGGAAACATGTCTTTCCTGCCTCTGGTCAGCATTAATAATACAACTATTTCATGCTTTTTAACCTGTATCTCATTCCTACTAGTCAAATCTCTCTTCCAGATCTGCGCCAGTGTTTCTCTCTGCTCTCTAACAGCCATCAGAGCACTATGTTTGCCCATCGGGTCAGCTGGTATTCTGCTCTCTCTTCATTCACAGCCGCAGGTTACGAAATGTCAGCCAGGTTTGTTTGCCGCTGCCATTTGCACTCAGGTGGAATCCCTGTCAAGTGTCCTCCACAGGGCTGCGTATGTGGAGCAGTTATGAAAGAAAGTACAAGGGGGACAGAGATGCAGGCAGAGAGTGTGATGGTGGATTGGGAGGCTGACAGATCACACAAGCGCAGTGGAAAGCGAGGTTTCTACTCTGCTGTAATGGCCACAAGGGAAAATCCTACACGTGAAAGTGCAGGAAAATAGGTCATATCTATATTTCAGAAATGTCATGCCAATTAAAAATGTAGATATTTTGATTTTTTCATCTTTATAAATAATGCATTAGGTATAATTGCTTATTGATTGGAATAATTTATTCCAAATACCACAATTAGTTTGTTTCTTAGGGGAATTTTCAGCCCATATTTACATGAGTGCAGTTATTGGGGAGAAACTAGAGATGAAATCCTGAAGAAAGGCTGCCAATAACTGCTCCCTGTCACTGTAGGCTTTTTCCATGAAAGCTAATACACTCTTACTTAATTAGGAAAACATTCTGTATCTTAATTAAAGATCCCATGAGCAAAACTCATGCATAATAAACTGAGTTTTCAAGATTTTTACCTTCCTACAAGCAAGAGTTACATTCAAGGCATCAGAGAAATTACAGGTTGTTTTACTGTTAATGCTGTGCATTAATTTTATTGTAAAATAGAGGGATTTCAGAGTATCGTAATGGGCCTTTAATATCTTTGTTTTTCCCCTATATGTCTTAATTGAGTTCAGTACAAAGCTTATGGTTTTAGGAATGTATCTACAGAGGTAGAAAACGATAACATTTAATGATGGCAATTACAGGCACCACCAGAGCAAACCTGAAGATCATAAAATAAGAGTGTGTTTGTACCACATTGTAAAAGGCACATACTTTGTTCAGTAAAACATGTAAAATGTTTATGTTTTTATTTGTCTTCCTGGAAGAAAGCGACGAAAGAGCTATTCAGACACTGAGGTGTGGGAGGAGTAAATTAAAGGGAGGCACAAATGACTCTAAAATTTTCATTACAAAACAAAAATTTACAATGTTTTTGCTCTCAGTTTCATTGACGAAAAGCACTCACTACACTCTCCCTAATGTTTTAACAAGGAGATCTAACAAGGGGGGAGCGTCGCCATAGCTTCAGTTTTAACTTCAGCTATAACTTCTGCTCAGTAATGAGGATTAAAAGGCAAGTAATGTGTCATGTGAGACTCTTGCAAAGACACTTTGACATCTATAATGAACTCCAGCTTTAAAAAAAAAAAAAATTCTCAGCTGTCAGCATTGAAATATGTTACCTTGAATTTGTCAACCTCAGTCTTGGAACAAGTGGCGTGGTAAGACAGAACCTGAAAAATAATCACAAAATGTCACACAAAGTCTTTTTGAATCATTTAAAATAAGAACCTGCAAGTTTGTAATAGTGGTGAAACTTTGGCTGTGGCTTAAATAATTGCGGCACACAACCTTAAAAGCGGCGCGTTGGCTCTTCTCTATGAGAGAGTCAACGCTCGCCTCTAGAACAGTCTACAAGAGCAGCAGTGTCAGCCCTGATTCCATCGCCATGTTCCCTTCATTTCCTGGGAGAAATACCTCGCACAGACCTGCAGCTGCTTATTTGATCATAAATGCTCATGTTTATTCAGTGATGCCAGAAGCAATGCATCTACATATTAGTTCAGTCTGTGCTTCTCCTTTAAATGCTCTCTCTCTCTCTCTCTTTTTCTGTTCTCAGCCTCCACTATTGTTAAAAAACACAGCAGTGCTAACTACTATAATGCACCTGAAAGATCCCCATTGTAATCTAAGGACATACTGTAAAGGCTGACTTGTGCTGAATGGCTGCATACTGCAGGGCAGATGAGGGATTGCTTTTCACTGCCTCTCATTAATTTTCAATAAAACCTTTGTGAGAAGGTTATCTACAAAGAGAGATCAGCACTTTTTTTTTTTCATGCGTACATTCCTGTGGAAATATGAGACAAAAAAGGAGCCAAGCACAAAGACCCCTGAGAGAGAAGAGGAGGTTTTATACTAGCTATCCAATATAATAGTGGTTGGTTAAACCGACCCCTGGTTATACGTTTCGGCTCAGATCATAATAAGTGGATTAAAATTTAAAATAAATCAAGGGAAGAGGACGTGGACAGGATCTGGAGGAGGAATCGAAGTGACTGACACATGAGCACACAGGAATAACAAAAAGAAACTGAAGCAGAGCTGAATTAACTAAAAGAAAGATATACAGGGTTTATATCTTGATAAAAGAGGATTTCAATTCATTTGTAATAGAGGCAAGAAATCAAATGTTGTGCTCTTACATCTAAAGCCACGGACTGTTTGGCCCAAGACTTCTTCACCTGATCGTACATGATGGTGTTGTTGATGCCGAGCCCGCAAAAGATCACAAACGCCTAATAAGAAAACAGACCAAAAGCAGACTTATTAAACAACAACATGTAAATTTCATTGACATGTTTACAATGGCAAAGAATCAGCTGTAATACCTCAAACAAACGTTGGTCTGCATCATCAAATGGTTTCCCATCGAGCCTGTTCAGCACCTGAGCAACACCTGCCACAGAGAGTAAAAAAGCCCTCAACAAAGTGTTGCTTTAAGCTTGATATTGGAAAGACTCGGTATAACCTGCCCGCAATTAAAAGAGGATCAAACCCACACACTCCACGTCATTTCCAAGCATTCATTATTAATGTAAATTAAGCAGAGGCACAATATCCTATCACATAAAAAGCAACATGTTCAGATTTAAATAGGGGGATATCCAATGGACAGTGTTTTTGTGTAAACATACATGGTTACAGATTACAAACAAAAGTGTAGCTATGGTGAAACGGGCGTCCAATTAATGTTATCTCATTTGTTAATTGTCCACAATTGTTGCAGCAGGATTGAAGTCTTCTTATATCTGACAGCCTGTTTTGATGGCGTCATTCATGTAATTAAAAACCACAGCAAGCCTATTTTTGATAACGTGTGAACATTTAATTAACAGAGACTGACCTTAAAGTTGATTAGAAATTATGACGAAAACTTATAAACAACACTTAACATGGCTATTTATTTCTCAGAGGTCAATGAAAGTACCAGAATGAAGATATAAGAGAAATGAAAGGTGGAAATAGTTTTTATTTGTGGGTAAAATTTTAAAAATAGAGCTGGTGTCTGCACTCTGCATCATGAGCATGGGAAATCTGATAGGTTTATGGGGCAGGTGGATCCAAACATTAGCAAAATAAATGCCTATTTTGGGGCCTAGTGGTGACAACATAACCTCTCACTAACCAGACTGCCTTAAGTGCAGTTTATAGATATGAAAAAACATACTGTGAGTGTAGTATATAGAGTTCATGACTGAAGTTTCTAACTTTTTATTCAGGTTAATCAGAGTTTTACGGAGTGATTTGTTCCCGCTAGGTGAAAAGTGGCTCTTTGCCTCAATTGAAGAAGTTCAAGTATCTCAGGGTCTTGTTTACAGTGAAGGTAAAACAAACATGAGACTATCGAGTGGGTTGTTGCTGTTTTCGCAGTAATAAAGACATGCTGGACCATTGTGGTGAAGAGGGAACTGAGCTTGAAGGTCAGTTTCTCGATTCACTAGTCCGTCTACCATTCAGTCCTCACTCATGGTCATTAGCTTCAGGTTGTGAACTAAAGATTGAGATCATGGATAGAAATTGCTGCAATGAGTTTCCTCCCAGAGGTGGTTGTGCTACAACTGCTCTACTCAGTTTTTAACCTCTGATCCTCTATTCAGTCACCTTTCGATCAGTAAAGAGGGTGATGATGTGCTGGGCTATCTGTAAAGGTGGGTGATTTCTTTGCTTTAGTTTCCTGACATGGTTTTGTTGATTAAAAAATTTGCTAGCTTGAAGCAGCTCTCTAAGAGATTATTGGACACTTTTAAAACTCAATTCCAGGATTTCTGTAAATCCAAATGTAACTTTAGAGTTTGTACCTTTATAGGGTGCTTATTAATCAAACATTTATAATTTCTAATCGTTCGACTATCTACCGGAAGTAGCATGTACAAAATAAAGGAACCTAAATACAAGACAGAAAAATTTCAGAATAAAAGCATCCCAAACATTTAATAAAGGGATATTCTGGCGTAAAACCAAGTTAGGATCAAACACACCGTAACACCAAGTTAGACACCCCCTCAAGAGATAAATGTTGCCGATCGCTTGCTTCTCTAGTTATACCAACTTTAGTAACAACCACACGACAGCAATACACAGCGGTCTAAGGAGCCATATACAAACCTCAACCAAAAAGCCACTCTATAGCCACAAATAATGCTCAGAACAGCACCTAACTTCATCAACAGGACATATAAGGTCCTAGCCATAGTACTAGCCACCAAACATATTTTTAGCTTTGCCTGGTTTCTTTAGCAAAGAGACCAAACAGAACTCACCCACTGCCCCAACAAGTCGACCACCGAGTGCAGCGTATCATTTCCATGAAGTTATAATCATCATAATAATCATTTTGCACTGCAGACACCATAGTTCTTCTGCCTTAGTGGTCTGATTGCATTTGCATGAAGTAATGATCATAAATGTTCTTCCTTGAGCTGTGAAACTCCACTGCACTAATCGACTCGTCAGGGCTCCCCCAACAAACAAGCTTTAATGAGGCAGTGTCTTCTCTAAAGACCAGTGACAAGGCAGTGATGAGGAAACTGAACTAAACTGAACTAAACTGAACATAATTAGAAATAGATAACATCAGTTGTTTTTTAATAATTACAATTTAAGATGTGGATATGAACACATGGACCATGTTGCTCCATCCTTGTCTTGCCTTTTTTCGATTTGACATACTGTGTTGTTTTAAATTTCAAGTTTCATCATGATAATGTTAATGTGATATTTTACAGCCACAGCTTACCTCAAAGCTAAAGCGGCCAGAAACAAGACCATTTGTAGAATTTTTGTGGCGTAAAAGTAATAAATTTCCCTCAAAAATGATACTCAAGTAAAATAAAGATGTTCAAAAATGTACTCTGAATTATTATTCTCTAATTTACAAAAGCATATGGTAATTCAGGTTGGCAAAGTTGATTCTTTTTATCGTTGAACACTCAGAAAAACACATTTAAAAAAACCCACATTGTACCATTAACTGCTCTAAGCAAAACAACCTTAATGGTGCACAGGTGGAGGATGTTCTGCTATTAAATGTGTTTACTGTTGTTGTCACACCATAGTCTCTCATGTTGCATTTCTAAGGGGCTGTTTGTAACCTTGGTGGAGGACAAAGGGACATTCATACTAAGTTAATGCATCCTTGACTTGAGAATTTCATCTCCTGCTGCTTTGTTTGTATAATGGTTTTCACTCTGGATCCTCAGGTACCACCCACACACGCTGCATTTCTTTCTCCCCTCACTCCTTCTGTTTCTTTTTCCACGCTTCCCTCTCCCCTCCCTGACAAATACACTCACACCTACACGACAAACAAATAAACAAACAAAAAAAAACAAGTACACACAGACATCGCACACAGGCAAACACAGGTCCTTAACCAACCATCTACTGCAGAAATGCTGATCACTTTGCACTGGAATAAAAGTAATGACTTCCTACGTCAGATCTCAGTGGACCGAGTGGAGCTGCTATCATTGCTCCTCCCCGCAATATCCAGCACTAAAACCAGACAAGAGATCAATGATTTATCAGAGTGTCAGTGTGGTGTTGGGGCCTGGGGCGGATTCACAAACACGAAGCACACAGCCAGAAACAGGGAACTCCACCTCCAAGTGTGAAGTGATGGTGCAGCACGGAGAAGATCACACAGATGCAGCCTCAGCTCCTCTCCTTTAATGTCCAGAATGCAGCAAAAGAAATTTGAGCCCTACAGTATGAGCGCAAATGAGCTTTACATGAACACAGTACATGGACAAAAGTATATGGACACATCTACTGTGTAGTTCAGTCTATTTCCACTGGTTAAGCTTGTCTCATTTGTACAAGTTTATAATGTCATTTTGTCTCAAAGTTGTGTTGTCTCAACTCCATGGCAACTATTAAGTGAAGGTGATTCCATGTTTCCGCATGATAATGCTCCTGTTCACAAAGACAGCCTCTCAAATACATGCTAGTTTAAAACCTATCTGAATTACAGAGAGACTGACTTCAATCTCCAAAATCTTCAAACTTACCCAGCGTGGGAAAAGTCTTATCGTCAAACATCTTACCCTGACATAGGGCTGGGCGATATGGCCTCAAATCAATGTCACGATACACTGAGCAGTTCACCTCAACAATGATAAACGGACAAGCTGCTCACCCTCTCCCACATTAACTTTGTCTACTTCAGTCGCCGCTCCAGCTGCTACAACTTTTGAACCGTCTTCCATCTCCTCACCTGTCTTTCCCTCTTTGTTACAGACTGAATGGGGTGGAGTCACATTTCTGACGTAGGACAGCGTCTTAAAGGGACATGAGACCATAGCCTACCTACACACATCCAAAACCAACTCCAATATACAACTTGTATATTTATTTATTTTGACACCAAATATATTGACATAGGCAAAATGACATTGGTTATTGTTGTAAATTTCAGTATCTGTAAATTTTCACCTCGTGGAAAGCCATCAAAGACTGGTGGAGGCTTGTAGCATTAAATGTTTGTAACTTTACTTTATTACCATTTTACAGGCATATGCACTCACATATCTAATGAAAACTCTTCAGTATATCCGGAAAATTAAAGCCTAAATCAATCTCCATTTGTCAACTTACCAATGATTTGATGGTTGCTGTTCCAGATGGGAACACAAAGGACGGAGCGGATGTGAAAGTCCGAGAACTGGTCCGCCTGAGAAGAAAAACAGTAGAAGACATCTGCATAAAACATTTCCTTAAATAATTTAACTTCAAAGTTAAATCAACATTTTCTTCTCTAAGAAAAAGGGAAACATTTTGCCCCTCAGAAAATTAAGATGAACATTTTCATTATTTTCTTACATTTCAAGGAACAAACTACGTGTTGATCAAGAAAGAAAACCAAGAAGAAATGTAACAGGAATGAAAATGAGTCTGACCTGTACCTTGGCTTGTTCTCTAATTTGCACTTTTAATATTTAAATCTCAATTTCGATCATTTCAAACTAAGAGGTGCTGGATTCCAGAGATGAATAAAAATGTTCAAAATTGTAAAATGCTGTGTACAGTACGAACCTTCAACTTCACAGTCAGAGCCCTTTAACAGTGTTGTTTATTTCAGTAGTAACCTGCTGTCAGGTTTTTCCCACAGCTCATCTTTTACTGTAACTGCTGCTCAAGGTCCACGCTTTGAAAAGTCAGGGATTTATTTTTGATCTACGCTACCTCCCTTTTCTTTTCCTTTGGCAAAGGGCAGTTTTTAAGCTTTCAAAATCAAGCTGATGTGTAAAAGCGAAAAACTGTTTTTTCTTAAGAGTCCAAAGAGAATTCATTAATGCGCATATTAAGATGTTCTCGTAGAATAAAACATGTTTCCAAAAAGCAGTTTACACAGGGACCTTTTAAACTTATCTATAATGATTTTAAGAAGTTTTTAAAGTTACACATCATTTGATATAATTAAGGGTGTGGCTGATTTGACTGGCAAGATGGTGTATCTGTTTGTCCAGAAGCTAAAAGTCCATGTCCTCTACCTCTTTGCTTATTTCTATGTTGGCTGAAAGTACATTTTAGTCACTATTCCTAAAACAGAAACCTCCATGTTTGTACTTCATGATCCCTCTTTTGGAATCAAGTCGATGTATATGTCTACGGCTGTTGCCCGACAGAGATCGATTAATATGTAATAAATAAATAAAAATGGAAGTAGGGCTGGGTGATGTGGGGAAAAATTTGTATCAGAATTTTTTTAAAACAAAAAACTTGGTTTACGATTTTTATCCATTTTTATTTTTCTCCCAAATAAATACATTTTACAAATGACAAAGGCTTGACTCTAATACTGTGGTTTGTTCGATGTCTGATACCGCAAAAACAACAACATATGTGACTTAAGTCTTTTTTTGGGGAATAGTCTTTTCACTCTTGCTGTAGCAGACATGTTGTTGTTTTGTGCAAACAACAGGAGAAAGCTGTGATTTTCATTTTAGTAAATCTTACAAAACTACAAACGCAGAGTAATCGACTTTACTGGTTGATTGCACAGCCCTAATTGGTCGTATGTCACCTCTAAAAAAAGATTGGTTATTCAAAAAAAAAAAAAAATCAGACTACATGTGTGGGATTTTCATCTGTGTGGACTTAATCCAGTTAAAGCTGCTGTAAGAAGCCTTTGGTCTGGATTGATTTTAATGCCCCCTATGAACAAAGACGTATAGCTCATCTGTATGCAGATTTTGTCCTGTTCATGTCGGATCAACATCATTTAAAAAAAAATCTCCTCCTGCTTTCCTGCTTTCTCTTAACAGTCAAATTTATCACTCACTGTGAGACCTACACTTCAAAAAGGTTTGATTTTCAGCAACATTAAAAACTCCTCACATCAGCTGTAAGGATCAAATATCTCTAATTCTGGAGTGAATTGAATAAAAACATCGTGAATTGGATGTTAAATAGCTGTACAAACTGACAAACAGCTCAGGGACAGGGTGTTCCAGCTTGACATCGTTGTCTGCGTCAGTTTTGTTTCAAACCATCTGTCTGCTCATCAAAATACTTCCTTATTAGATATCATCCTGACATCGCTCCCCGGGCACTTTCACAACCCTTAATGAATCAGGACCTCTTTGACTTGCGTGTGACATAAACATGTGAACATCCTGCAGAGGTTTATCTGCCCACGAATCCACACGAAGCAGTTTATACATTTCATACTAGCTCTTCTGTAATGTTGTGTTTGAAAGGCAAGTTATCGTGTGTTTACCTCAGCATCAAAGCGAGGATCCTGATAGGCATCACTAATGTTCACAGGCAATCCTGTGGATGCAACCAGCTCTGCGATACTGTTGTTGATTAGCCAGTCTGAGTAGGATGATTTCTCCATACTGTCTTTGAAACTGGGGTAGGAAAATACAAAAGAAGATAAAAGCAACAGAGCAAAAGAAACAACACTGAGCCTAATTTGTCTACTTGCTTTTCTCTCGGGGAAGGTTTGGATTTTAAAGAAATCAAACACTGTTTTGATTGATAATTTTGTTATCCTAAGAATCTATCTTTTTAGAGGATGTTTCATTCTCTTTCACACCTGGCTTTCTTCTCTTCTTCTGGACCCTGATTTTACATTGACTTGAATTTAATGAACTTCTCATACAGTTTATATCAGTGAGATTTTCCTGCAGCTTATGAAACGATGAAAAGTTAATTGTGTGATTGTCTTCCCCACTGCCAAACGCCCCCACACTGTACCATAAAAACACCTGCATCCCTGCATAGACTTCCCATTCATACTTATTGCAGAGAGCTGCTGCTGACTTTTTACTTTCTAACGCAGCAAGGTAAACGCTCGCTGCGGCTCACTTTGTCTTTCAAGATCAGAACAAAGACGTAGAGATCCTGATGTCAGATCTCCTGAATCCTTTTGATCTGGTGATACAGCAGAGTACGGACGTGGTGGGGAATTAATTTCATAGGTGTGATGACTAGATGCATTACACTCTTTCTTCCTTGTGTCTTCTCTCACAGACCCAGTAGCAGCACTGCACGCTCTCTGAACATTATCCTCCCTATGGGGGCGGCTTTGGATAGTGAGGCACATAAGAAATCTAACAGTACGCTCGCCTTTTGACACATAAACTGTGCACAGCTGCCCTTGTTACGCAGATGTGAACCTTTCAGTGGACAAGTGTGATCGCATACAGTAGATTTGACTTTTTACAGGTTTATAAGGCCCTGCATGGCCTCACACCAGACTACATCTAAGAGATGCTTTTAGTTTATAAACCAGGACATCCTCTCAGATCCTCCTTTGCTTATTTAACTTTTCCTCACAGCAGAACTAAAACATTTGGTGACGCCGCTTTCAGTCATTTTCTGTTCAGTCTGGCTTTTATGTAGAGAGTTTATGAGTGTTGTTATTTGGTGTTTGATATAGATTTTAATGTTATTTGGTTGCTTTATTCTCAACTATTGTAATTTTATTCTTAAATTACTCATTTACTGCTTAGTGCTTCAATCTATATTTACCTTGTAATCTTTTTATCACTTTGAACTTTATGTATTTGAAGCCTTTTTGATGTTTCAACTTACTCCTATCTCTTTTCCCTGTTTTAAAAACATATCATTTATTACTTTTAGTGTACATTAGTCTCAACCTATCTTGTTTCTTTCTCTATAGAAGTCCCATTTTCTGTCATAATCTGTTTTATTTTTATTGTGTTTTTTTGCAGTTTTGTTTTCAGTAACTGTAAAGCATTTTGAATCACTTCTGACCTGTATGAAACTTGCTGTATAAATAAAATAAACAAATATTGATTGATTGATTGATTGATTGATAAAATGTGGATGTAGATTTGGAATAAACCATAGACTGTATATACTACGGACAACTTGGCTCCGCCTTCTGTCATTATACGAATTTGAAGTCGAATTGCTCTTGGTATTTCTGGGATTTTCTCCACTTCCTGAAACCAACATTGCGCTGTGGCGTTGTACGCGTTCGGCAGGAGAGTTGCCAAGAGTTGCCGTGATGACACTCGGCTCAAACAGCATATCCCCCAGGTGAGCGATGCAATCTTTGTATGCCGATAGACTGTATCAAGAGTCAATCATAGAAAACATGAACCCCCTAATAACTTGTAAAAACAGAGCTGTACAGAAAAAAGAGGACTTGAGCACAAACTAGTCTTACTGTAATTACATGTCAACATCGCAACCAGGGGGGAGAAAAATTTATATTCTGTGTAATAAATTTCTAAATTTTGTCCACAGCTCCATAGGGATTGCTGGAGGAGGCGGGATTTATGACCTATACTGCAGCCCGTCACCAGAGGGTGCTGTTCTCAGAGTGGCTTCACCCAGTAAGGAGGCAGATGGCATCCATTCTATATAGTCTATGGAATAAACCCATGGCACTTGTGCTTTGATAAAAGGTTAAGTACTCAGTCAAAACATCCACTTTATCACCCCTTCACACTAATATTCTTCACTGATAAGTTACTACGGTAGCCTAACACAAAGTGCCTTATGTCTGGAGACAGAAGTGTAACAAGAGCCAGGGGTTATCAAGCGGGCATCTCCCTTCATCAGTGTATAAAGGGTTAAGGTTAGACACATTAGTTATCTCTGGTATCCACTCTCTTCCACTGCCCCTCATATCTACAAGCAGAACCTCCTCATATTACGACACAACCTGCATAGCACTCGCACAGTTAATAGACCCAGCCTTCACTCATACAAGCTCCAAATAATGACAGTAGCGATACTACCTACACTACCAAAATGCCCAAACACAAAACAAAGAGAAGAGGTAGAGTCAGGGTGAAGGCTCACTTCTGCCAGGCGAGGCTGTACGCTCTACCTCCCCTTTTCCTACCATTGTCATAAGGTATGATATCACACGCTGGCTTTTTATTAACTATATTCTTCAACAACTACTTACCTCTTTGTATTTTTACTACATTTTTAAACTAATGTTGCTGTCTTTTTTTTACTGCCGCATTACAGTGACCAGATCAGTTGTGGCAAGTGGAGGATTCAGGGAATAATTTTCCTTTCTTTCAGTGTTGGTTTTCATCCACAAACATCCCACACGATATTAAGCCTCTGTTTCTCCACTCAGCCATGCCCAGCAGTGGAGAGAAGCAGCTAAACCCAATTAAGCGGGGGCTCCTACAATATGCCTCCTATTTACAATCCGCATATTACTTCCACTGCACTACAGAATATTCTTTTTTTTCTACTTTCTTTATTTTTGTCCTTGATAGAAGCTTTACAAATTCAAACAAGACGCTGTGCAGAATACAAAAGTGCTGTGGAGCTCAGGGCAAACTACGGTGCAGATGTGACTATTTGGTGAAAAGGCTGTTTGTATGAGAAGTGTTGAAAGGAAAGAAAAGCTGTTTTTTTTATTAGGGCAGATGTTATTGAGGGGCTGAGAAGATTCTTTATCACAGAAACACTTTACATACCTGCTCTCAGTGTCAGCGCTACACTTGGGGGACAGAAGCTCAAAGGACTTTGTAAATTTCACCACCTGAAATTTTTGAAAGGGAAGAAATCGGTAAAGCATTCAGAAAGAATATTGGAGATTCACGTTGATGGAAAATTGAAAACAGACAGAGGAAGATAAAGAAATTGTACCGGTGACTCAATGTCCTCCAGCAACTGAACAGAGCAGCGCTCGCACTTTAGTAATGTCTGGGCACGATGCATGATCTTCCTGACAATCTTCTCCAGGTCAGTCTGCTCCTCAAACAGGTCATTGACTACCTCCAAGAGTGCCTGAACACCAGCCACAGAGAAAAAAAAAACACTTATTCCTCCCAATCTGAGCTGAAAACTGTCAGCAGGTAATACAGGGACCCTTTCAATAAAGATGTTTTGCCTCGCTCAGCTGTTAAAGCTCGATTTTTACAATTATCCTTAACCCATAAACTACCAGGATGATATAAGATGATTAGTTTCTCCAATAAAAGTTAATTAGGCTCTTCATCTTAGGCACTGCCAATCCAATTTAATACACAAACACATAAAAATCATACGGTGTGGAGGGAGCTTTCCTCATTTCTCTCATCTATTCACTCAGCTGTGTTCTCATTATGTTCTCTTCCATCACAGATCAATGTGTGACATGAATTAGTGCCTCTCTTAACATTCCCATGGAGATTTAGATCCCAGGCCAGGCCCCACAGTCTGGAAACAGGCCCATCCCCCCCACTACAGATCCAGAGAAAGTGTCCATGCAAGGCTGCATGCTGCTCTGTGATCCCCACTGCAGTGGCAGCAAGTGGGCTGCTGCTGATCGATACACAGCCTCCATCACAGCATCGGGGGGGAGGAAGTAATGCTGATCCTAGGCATGGATGGGGGGTTATCATCCTGGTCAGCCCAGCTGCCCTTACCCGACTTCTGTCGTACTCCTTCCTTGAAGCGGCGAAGAGTTGGGCGTTGGAGATGGCAATACCACAGAAAGGCAGGTACATCTGCAGCACCTGTGGAGATTGAACACTTATGAAATCTGCACTGTTCAACTATCACAAACCTGTATCCAAGAAAAAGACTAGTGCGCTTTCAAGAGACATTTTTCTTCAGTTAAGCCCTCAGAGTGTTTAAAGCTCCTGTGAAGAGTTTTTGACATTGGTGAAACAGGCTGAAATTCATCCTGATGCCTTTTTGTGAAATATAAAAGTAAATAAGACCATTTACAATAAAACTGACAATATTTTTGTGTTGTAATTTTTGATGCCCTAAACCGGTGCAAGGGGGAGCGAAGCAGTTGAAGAAACAGGCCTTTTTTTTTTTTTTTTGCAATTTTCACATAAAATATTCTCAACCATGCATGTAACTGTCAAAGGTCAGCAAGAAGAGATTACTTGTCAGAAAATGCTACTGCAGCATGTGATGGACAAGATAAGAAAAGATTGCGCCAAAGTTGACACAAACCTCACAGGAGCTTTAAAAAGCAAGGACATCATAACAGCTCCTTCAAAGTGAAGCCAAACCTTTTCAGAGCTTCTCCTAAAGACTGGCTGTGGTTTTGAAGCCCAACTATTTTTTTTTAAAACTAACAGAACATTGGTCAACCTGGACAACAACAGTTACTGGAAAATAAGTAAAGTTACATTTGTCAAGCCGCTTTATATTCAAGTTTACAAATTTCATAAAGTAGTTAGTTCTTATTAATCAGCTGAGGGTAAAAAGTGGAGATAAAGCGTCATGATTAGCAGTTCTGATGAAAAATGCAGCTTTAACTGTGGTGTTCATAGGAAGGAACAGAGAGGGAAAAAGTTAGACAAGTTATCCAACTTTTCAAAAGCATGAGTGTTGGAATCTGTTCTGCTGTATCAACCTGTGGGATCTTTGCCAGTACGTAAGACATGTGTTTTAGATGGTAGAAAAGGTGTAGCGTCAAACCCACGGATCAGCTAGCCAGATTGCTTATGCACATGACTTGGCTACAGAATACTAGTTATTCACCAGTCCGATAAGTTACTGAGAAGAGATGGGGGTGTGCCAATCATATTAATATACAGTCAACAGCAAAAAGGTGCAAATACGGATGAAAGAAGAGTATCAGCTGGTACACAGAGCAGTTTTAGCAAAAGTTTTATCAACACATTACTAAGATATTAAGGATTTTTAAAACACTTTTTGATGGGAACACTGAACAAAAGCACAACTTCTGTCAAACAAAAGAAAAAAAAGGAGCATTTGATCATTCCAAGAAAACTTGCCTTTTGAATTAGAACAAATAAGAAATAGCCTCTCATTGGTGTCATTACTTGCTATGACAAATAAATCAATTCGACTGACATTTTACCGTTTGACTGATTAGTCTGCCATACTGTGCCTTGGGCTGATGGTATCAGTTCCTTATTTCACTCATATTTTCTTCACATTAATAATGTAATCACTTGATGTGGCCAGATGACTAGAGTTAATATGTAGCCTGAAATTGAATCAACCTCTTACTAGTTTATAATCGAACTACATTCCTTTCCTCCTCACCCCTGTTGATTCATAATGAACATCAATATGCAAGAACGTGCGAGAGGAGGGAGCAGAGAGAGGACTGCGACTGCACGCTGCTGCCTGGCCAGCTGAGATGTAAATACCGAGCTGAATTCTATAAGACTACAATCACCAGACAATGCAGCCTTATCTGAGAGACACTCAGCCCCATAACATAGAATCAATAGAATTTAGGTTCAGAGCTTCCTCACTCCCCCTCTGTGTTTAGTTATCTATCTTTAGCATCTGGCTGCTGTGTAAACAACACAATCAGTACAACAAACCCACTAATATTTACCAGCCTTCAGTGTGACCTGAGGGTTGGGACACTACAACAATACATGAATGGGAAGTTACTCAGCTGTGGACGTTGATAGAGGGATATCTGTTTCACCTTTTACAGAGGATAATGTATCAGCTACTCATCAGTAGCAAATGAGCATATCACAAACAAAATCCTCTGACACTTTGAGGCCGTTACAAAATCATTTAACGTTCCTAAACTCCACAACATCAATCAAAAATGCAGAAAACTAACACAACTGCATTAAATATTCATATCTGTTCAAAGGACATGAACCTTGTTTTTGAAATATGCTGATGTTTCAACATATAAAACTTATGGTACCAATGTGTAGTTTCTACTTTTAGACCTTCCTCTAGGCTCTAACAATTGATTCATAAATTTACTTCACTACTTGACAACTCTAATTGTGGGGCTCATGATAACCGCGACCTAAAAATGGCATCGCTGAAAGGAAACGGCAGAAAAACCCTGCCCTAATTACTACAATTTCTCTCTACCATCAAACTGGGTGACAGGGTTAGCCACACAGCTTTCATTATATTTCAAAGGTAGCATGGCTATCTGAATTCAAACAGCAGCAAACAGTTTTTCAAACAAAAGGCCGATTTCAGTGATAAAAGAGTGAAAGAATGAGGAAATAAATTTATACAACAGAGGGGTTGGAAAGTATCATGAGAAAAGACATAGCTACAAGTCCTTTAAAGTAGACTATTGTAGACCAGGTCCTAGTTAAAAGACTTGTCTAATCACTCTTCATTTGAATGTTATGTGCATGATTGGTTCAACAGCGTTTTAATGTTGATTGTTACAAGCCAGAGGATTATCAAAAACCAGACTGGTTAAAACATGAACAAAATCTCAGTCTTATGAAGCTGTCAGTTGCAGCGACAGCCATAGAAATGCTGCCTAGATCTATAAGGCTGCATTAAACATAGACATAATAACCTCTGTGACATCACCCATTGGTTCCTGAAGTAGAGCTTTAAGCATTATGATGGGGGTTGGTGAATCAGAAATGCTGACTCAACTTTACTTTTTCCAACAAAAGGCAAAGAGGTGGAGTTTAGGCAAGCCAGCAGCCCCACTAATAATGCAAAACTTGAATCTCAATATCATCAAAATGAAGGAGTTACATTTAAAAAATTCAATAGGCTATTCAGACCAGAACCTTTTGCTGTAACAGACTGTGAACACGTTACACTTTGTTCCTCCTGATCCAGCCTCAAGTTGACTCGCTGAGAGCTGCAGTTTTTAGCTCTTCCTCTGAGCTTCATTTTTCAGCATCAGAGGTTGGTGCTTGACTAAACTTACACAGAGACTAAGGGCCTGATCTAATAAGATCCAAAATTGCGTGTGCAAACTAAAAAATTACACGCGCTATTAGTGGCAATGTTGCGGGTGATCTACTATCATCGCATGCGCAATTGATAGCAGGAGCAAAAGTGGTGCGGACCGCCCTCTTTAAGTGCGTGCCCTATCAGCTGTCACCATGGACAGTTTGTGAGAGCAGAGTGTTTGAAGCCATGGAGTTGTAAATATTATTTTGGGGAACTGCATAAAAGGCAAGGCAAGAATATTTGTATAGCACAATTCATACACAAGGCAATGCAAAGTGCTTTACAGATACAAGAGGATATACTAGAAATCCAAAAAAGGGATTTAAAATCAATAAGACAAACAAAAGATTTTTTTCATCTGTTTCGGGTTTCGTCTGTTTCGGGTTTGACATTACTTATGATACTTATGATGTATGATGTACATACATTCTGCATATTCATGAAGGCAAACACGCTAAATCGATTGCGCGCACGCTGTTTTGCTCATTTGATTGACAGACGCAATCTGCGGTGCACCCAGTTAGTAGATCAGGTTTGCATGCGCTATCAAGTTTGCACATGTTTTTGCACACGCAAACCTTTAGTAGAGCAGGCCCTAAGGGTGGAGCTGAAGCAGACTTTGAGCAGCTTGGAAGACAGATAAAATGTGCCCCACCTGTCTGCTGATTTCACCCTGGTACAGTGTGTACAAATACCAAAATAAGCTACAAATAAATTTTAAAAAAATAGGGCAGTGGACATTTTTTACATGGGTCTAATGGGGCATCCTCGACTTTTGAAGCCAGCCCCAAGTGGACACTAATGGAACTGCAGTTTTCCAGACAGTGGCTTCATTGTTCAACACCAAATATTTCTTCCTGCTGCACAATAAAATATTGAATTTGCCAAATACACCATAAAGCTGAATTGTGTGGATTACACGGTAAAAGAAAAAACACTATGATACCATAAAAATTGAGTTCTTCTGCTCTGTCATCCTGCACAGAATACCTTATTGCATTACACTTAACGTATCTCTCGTGTAATATGAAATATGAATCTACTATGCTAATGAGTAAATTATCTGTATGCGTTTCATTCTCTCATTATACATAATTAAGCACCTCATGCTCTTGTTTTCACAGACTGAAAACAGATGATGCTCATACATGATGCTATTTCAGCTGTTCTCTGGAATTCTCTAATAACTGTCTCCCACAAGGACAGCAGCCATCAATAGCCCAGCAGGAGCAGATTCATTAGCGAGCAGGACTTCAGGGATCTGGCTATGGATCTGCCTGTGGAACCCAAGAAAAGCACTGCTCTCTCTAATTACATTCTGTCAGGGAGGCCGTTATATGAGGTTGCATTACAAACAAGACGTTTTTGCCTAGAGACCTGTGAACCGACCAGTAAAGAGTGGTTTAATAACGAAACTAGGTGGCCAACGCCTTGGGAACATTCCATTTACCAGATTTGATTGTCATTAGAGGCAAGCCGAGGGAAATCACCGCACACAAACCTTTCTTTCTCCCCTTGAAAATGAGCGGAAAAATGACTAGTTTATTCAAAATCTGTTTACTTGATACAAATGCTATGGTAAAGTCATTGTTGAGTCAACTAGAAATGTTTTTAGTATGACCCCAATTCCAAAAAAGTGGGGACACTGAGTGAAAATGCTGATTAAACCGACTTTGCTAGTCTGCAACTGCTAAATTGAAGACAACTCGAAGCATTTCCGGTATTCAGGGTTACAAGTTGTTAGTGCAGGCAGACCAGTTTAGCACCAGGCCTCTTCTACTACAGAGCCATGCTATTGCAATACAAACAGGGTGTGACTCAGTATTGTTTTGCTGAAATATGCAAGGTTTTACATCGAAAGGCATGATCTAGAGGACAGCATAAGAAGTTACTCCAAAAACTTGTACATATGTAAGCTTTAATAGTGCCTTTCCAGATGTTTAAGCTACTCATGCCATTATGCATCCTCATTCAATCACACATGTTGGCTTTTGGCGTGCCCAAATAACAAGTGATCCCTCTCTTCTTTAGAGAAGAGGGTGCAGCATCCATAAGTTTTCCAAATAGGAATGTCAAACTTTGATTTGTCAGACTGTAGAACAGTTTTCCACTTTGCCTTAATCCATCCCCAATGAGCTCAGGCCAAGAGAAATCACCAGCGTGTCTCTAGAATATGGTTTCCTCTTAATGTGGTGCAGTTTTAACCTTTAATTGTAGCAGTCAGTCATCAACTGTCTTCACAGATGATGGACTTTGGGAGTGATTTGAGCTCATATCTGAGGGCCAAGAGATCACTGCCATCCTTTGTTGGCTTTTAGCTTTGTCCCTTTTCAAAGGAAATTGCTCTAGATTCTTTAAGACTTGTGGTGATATTGTGTACTGCAGACAATGACATCTCCAAAAACTTTGTAAGTCAACCAAAGCTCTTTTTAAACCCAGCCATATTACCATCCTGCTGCAAGCTATTGACCAAATTACTGACCTAAAAGGGTCAAGGAAGTCTCCCCTTTAATTATATTACACAACTTTTCAGTTTTTTGTTGCCTCTGTACCAACTTTTGGAAATTTGTTGCTGGCATCGCATTTAAAGAGAGCATTTTTTCCCATAAAACAATTAAAAATGTTCAATTTCAGCACTTGATATGCAGTCTTTGCAATATTTCTAAATTAATGGGTTTTTTTGTTTTGTTTTGTTTTTTGTAATGACTTTCAAACCATAAGTTCCTGTTCTGATCAACATATTACAAAGTGTTCAAACTGATTTTGGATGTAACTTCCCAGCTTGTTTTTCATAAATACACTTAGTAATAATTTTGTCTTTCAAAAGTGGACTAACAATTTTAATCAACTGGCAGTAATTTATGAGCACTGATACAACTCGGCCAATAAACACAGTAGCACACTGGGAGAGCTGCTCAATAGCTTTTATCCATAAATAATTAAACTGTCCTACATTCACATTGCAGGTACCTGGAAAAAGTCAGGAGCAGATGGAGGTCACGACAACAAAAAAGTGCAGCAACACTGACACACATCTAACCCTAATTTACCAAACAGCCAAAGGAAAGCCTATCCTTGGAAAAGATGAACTGAAATCTGTAGTTGACAAAAAAGTTAAAATGAATCAGTGTTTTATAAGAACATTTCTAAAGAAAAGCTTTGAAAACCTGTTCAGTTTACAGCGTGTATACATGTCAGCTGCAGAGTTTTTGTCAAGGCTTGTCTTTTGTTGCAATTTAATTCACATTCAGGTTGAACTCAGTCAAGTCTGATATCCGATGAGAAAGCCTTGAATCATGGCGCTTAAAGAAGAAATTGTGTTCTCTCTTGTCAAGCGGTAGATTTACATTATTGTGAAATTGTGTGAAAGTGGTTTCTACAGAATTACTTGTTGCATAGGCCAATTTGTCTGGGGGTTTGGCAGCCAGAAGGAGCACAGTAGTAAAAAGCAAATGCTATTTGACAGTACATTCACAGAGGTGGTACACTGCATTGGCAAATGAGACCCACAAACAGGGAGTTGCATATTATTACAATAAAGACTTGTATGAATATGCCACCTGAAGAATACAGCTCATGTAAAAATGTGTTTGAATGTGTTGAAATAAAAAGTGAGAGGAAAGCAAATCAAGATCCAAAGGCAGGATGTAGAGATGAAACAATGTTCACTGTGAGTCTATACTAGCAATAGTCCTCTAAAGATGATGATGAGATAATGCAATTATACATGAGCGGATCCATTATCCGCGCACCCCAAAGGAATCTGAACATGCAGGTAGGAACACGGCACTTTTAAAACTGTGTGGGATTTAAAGAGAGCCGTATAATCTGTTTTAATATCCTGTAAGGTTTAATACGTGGAGAACGACATTTGTTTTAATAAGTCTATAATGACTACTGTTGGAGTATCACTTAATGCTTTGAAAAGTGTGATCGCTTTCCTATTACAAGGTCCTCCATAAAAGCAGAGCTGCAGCTGTGCTGTGCAGGGAGCTCACAGTGTTCTCTCTGATGCTAGCATTGCATTTCATTACTTATTCAGCTGTAGCCATCCCAGGCATAAGTGTGATGTTAATGCAATGTGAAACGTACTGAAAACATGGAAAAGGGGGGAGAAAAAAGAAAGCCCAATCGGCATCCATCATGAATGATGGCATTTGCAGATGTCATTTTGACAGCAGAGCTTAAGTGGAGAAAAATCCTACTTTGAATAAAAAAAAATAAAAAAATAAAAAACCTGCAGCTGCTTTCTGCTATTATCCAATAAAAAAACCCTCCAAAATAAAAGCCAGCTAGTTCTGCGCTTTCATGTTTCATCTCTTTTTCCTTTAGGGGTTCGTAGATGCAATAAGAGAACAAGTCTGTGTATCATCATGTCACTGCCTGATGCTCAGTCGAGTGTACCAGAGAAATGTACACGTGCTCTCCCCTTTCTATGATGGTAATAATTCAGATGAACATTCAGCTTCAAACAGAAGATCTGGGTCTGTGCGAGATGTAACACCCCCACCTACTGTTTTGATTTTTTATAGTAATATATCATATTCATTCACAGAGATTTGAGTTATTCCATTTGGCACAACTGCCAGCCTGACTGATCCACTTACAGACTGAGCAAAAGCAGAAGCAGCTGAAGCAGTCATCCAAGAGCAGGCTTTGGTCCTCTTGGATCATATGTCCGATTAATAATAGAATATCCCTGGAAAAATCATCATAGCATTTTTTTTTCCTCTCGTACCATTCACATTTTCACCCTTGGAGCTACCTACACGTTTAATGTGTTCATTTTTACAGGAATAGTAGTGGAACCCCAAACTCCACCAGGAAAAGTAGCTTCTAAGAGTATATAAAAAATATAAAAAGACACAAAAACCAGAGGCCACAGCAGATGAAAGCTTACAAATCTAGTCTTATGTTATACTAACTACAAGTGTTTCATGATATATTAGTCAAGTAATATCACAAACTTGATTTTCAGGACATTTTTTTACTCTAAAAGATAAGATATGTTGTTGTCAAAATGTAGAGAGTCATAGCGTTCTTTGATAAACGAATTAACACTGAGTACTGCTTGTATCTCTGCATCAATGTAAAAATCTAACTGTACTGCTCTGTTAGTGCCAAATATATTAAATTATAAAAGTACTCTTATTCAGACACACTGCAGGAATATGTCAGCCATTTAAATTAATTTGAATATATGCAAAAATTAATTTCCATATTACAGGTACAGTGTGAGGATATGGGAATACTAAGTGATAGTTATTCTCGATTGAAACACTCCCCTTGCTCCTCCTGCCTGCAGTGGTGGCCTTTGTGGACAAGAAGCTCCTGTAATGCTTGATAAGTATAATCCTCCATTTGTCAAGCTGTTACTACCAAATAGGTCTATTACTACAATTTCTTTGCGCACAACAATCACTCTCTTTTTCTTCATCTTTCATCTGGTGCGTTTCATGCAGCCTTTCACAGCGTTCAAAAACCTTCATGTTGCTAGTTTTTCTATTCTGTGATACGGAGGAAACATGGCAGATCTAGATAACCTAAATCTTGAATCTTACAGGAGACATTTATTGGTGTAACTCAGTGAAAGTCAAATCAGCAGTTGGATCATAAAAACATGTTCTCAAAACAAAGGAATCGTTCACTAAACAATGAACGAAATGGGCCAATTATGCAGGACATAATACAACTCATATCATCCTAAAGTGACAATTTGCTCTCTTAATAGCAAAGCAAAACGCCCTGCCTCTGTTACCCTAATACGACAGAACAATGCTGGCTTGTGTTGCAATGTTAAAGAGTCGTTACAGAGATGAAAACCACTTTGACACCTCTTTAAAGCTTTAAAAACACTGTTAGTCTTGAGTGCGAACACCAGCATTACAACAGGCCCACAGTGACGTTGCTGGCTATGAGCAGGTGATGTGGACCATGCTCATAATCTCAGATCTGTCCGTTATCATGCCAACATTTGGCACGTACACGATGGAAATTTGATGAGTTTTTAGGTGTTTTTCATAAGCCAAAATGAAAAGCTCTGACCTGATGACTGAATTTAATAAAAAGTTTTGGGTACCAGCAACTTTTTTTCATGTGATTCAGTGAAGAAACTTAATGTCTGAGCAGAATTTCATTACAGTTAATCCAACAGTCATTTTATGTATTTGTATTCCAAACAAGAGTTATCAAGCCAGAGGAACAAACAGATATTTTCCTGCATAGCTGAACACTTACTCTTCACATAAACCCCAAAATCTCAACCTAGTGGTGACTCTAGAGAAGAAGTTGCAGTATCATTTGTCATTATGATTCCTCCTCTGGTTCACCTGTCCATCAACATTTCTTTGCAACTTCCTTTTCCATTTGTACACATACACCGTTACTCTTTTTGATAAATCTGGCGAAACTACCGAATGCCTCTTTTACAAGTGTTATCAACAAGAACTGAGCGAGTCAATCAACCCAACAAAGTCAGAGAAGGAATCAGCTCAAGCTTTCCCGCACATGAAATCCTCATTTAGCATTGACTCACAATTAAAAGAGTGGAATTACCTTTTCATCGTCTTCAGTGAAGAGTTCTCTACTTGACGACTTGTTGATGGCCTGAGCAACCCCAATGATCTCCCCATCGCTGTTTCGTATGGGCATGCACAGGAGTGACTTGGTTTTGTACCCTGTGAGCTTGTCAATTTCATCACTGAAGCGGCGGTCCTGGAAGCCACAGGGACAGCAAAAAAAGAGAGGGAACAGTCAGCACTTGTTGCAGAAATGTAGTTTTCCCGTTAACTCCCATGTAAAGTAAAACTCTTATATCTTTATATGTTTACAGACAAAAAATCAATCTGCCACTGCATAGTAAGCTACACATGGTAAAATATACCTTTTACTATATGTACATAAATGTAGTGCATCTCGATATTTCCAAATGGTTGTTTCAAGGGGATTACACAGACTTCTTTCTACATTAGAGAAGAGACACTAACAACTTTAGCAAATTGCTACCCTTTCTTTCTTATTGGCTTTCACTTAACATAGTGTTGTCTAACTGTCTAAGAATTCAGGTAAACACCATCTGATTGCAAAAGCAGCAGAGAGAGTCTCCTAATGTTGGTGTGAGTGCTTCATGCTTTGTGTTGGGTGTCCATGCTCTGGGCTCTGCTCCACAGTGTGATTGATGATCAATCACCTGTGACAGATTAACTGACAGACTGAAAGAAAACGACCTGTCTCCCTGCATGTCTCAGTCTCTTTCCCTCTCTCTTTTTAGTGACTCATGCAAATGCACACAAGCATGCGTGCACAAAGAGGAGCAGGCACCTGATAAGCGTCAGGAATGTTCACTGTCTCTCCGTGTTCAGCCACATATCCAATGATGCCTTTACCCCACGGCACTTGCACTTCATCTGAATTCATGGAGGGCAAAACTGTGGTGCCCGCGTGCACATCAAAGAATTTGGACACTAGTGTCTTCTTGTTGCCGGTTCCCTCCACTAAAAATAAGGAGCACCGGTCTGCATCGACCATAATACAAACAAACACAAGGATTTTGTAGCTGAGACTTGTTAGATCCAAGTCGTTAGAAATGTCTTTTACAAGCTCCAGGAAAAAGGCTCTCTCGTTGTGTTCTTTGAGGTAATATTTAAAATCCACGGCTGTGGACGGATACTGGGGGATGTTGACTCTGGACTCCAGCAGTGCGCTCAGTATGTGCGCAGTGGTCGGGGGCAAAGAGCTCGCTTTCCTCAGCAGAGCTCTCCTCCTCATGCTGGTCAGGGGCTCCTGGGCCCTGGAGTTGACATGTTCGTCATATGTCCTGTTGACATTGATGGCCTTGGATCTTGCGAAAGTTTTGCGCAGCTCTCTCTGTGAGGCTCTCCTCTGCAGACCGTCACATTTGCTCGCCCAGCTATCCTTGCACGCTCCGCTCTTCTCCTCTCTCGGCTCGGCGGGTGCAGCAGCCGCCGGACTTTTGCACGCCTGGTGATTCTTGAGCCATTTCTCTACCATGCTATAGTTCCCTTTTCTGTTCAGGTAGTCCTCGAATAACTCGGGGTGTGAGTCCAGAAAAGTTTCCACGTCAGAGAACAGCATATTTGGCACTGCCATGTCTGTTCCTCAGATGGTCCTCAGCGAACCAAATCCATGCAGTCGCGCAGAGAAATACCATCTATGAGGCTTTACTTTGGATTAAATTGAGGAATAATTCGAAAACTTTCAGATTGCATTACACTAAAAACACCCATGGAGCTCTGGCTTTAAATTCAGTTTCCACTCTGTGAAGAGAGGGATGTAGACTCCCTTTGCGCACCGGCATATTCCTCCAGAGCCTCTGCACACAGCTCACCTCATTAAAGAACATTAAAACACATCAAAACAAAATAATCACAAAGAAAATACAGGCTACCGTACACCACCACGGGCACTGGAAATCTCATCAAGAACCAATACCGAGCATCACCGTCGTTTTGGGTCTTCTTGTGTGCAAATGACGCTGACTGTGGTTGGCTCCAGCCTTCTGACGCTCACTTCGTCATCCAGACGGGAGCTCCGGGTTGCTCAGCAGTCAGCCCTCTGGACATTTAAACCTCAAAGGGGCTCTCAGTATGACGATGATGCTGTAGGAGATCGTAATTAGGGTTTATTTATTCATCATTCATGCATGAATAATATATAGATTAAATGGCATATAACGATGTTAAAAAGGGGAGATTACAGTGGTGGTTGGTGAGCATTGATTACAGCAATGATTCTGCGCTCCCTTAGACTTATAAGGCGTTTTTCTTTCAAGGAAAAGACCCCCATGCATAAAAATTATGTCTTAGTGAAATTATGCTTTCAAAGCGTCATTGACTTGGTGATGATATGCTGGTTGACAAGTGTTATCAAAGTGAATGTAGCCTACAGAAATATGTGTCACAGCAGTGTTTGAGGTAGTTTCTGCAACTCGACAGTGCATGATTTACAAACCCTCTTAACCCTGGCTTTAGAAGTTGTTGACTTTTATCATTTCAATATAAAACAGAGACTTTTTATAAGCAGGGAGACGTCAGAAGATCAAATTCCTTCATATGATGAGCGACTATGTGCAAGTGGGTCATTTGGCCGCAAGAGGGAGACCTACTCCACAAATTGCCCTCAAACTGGTAGATAACGCAGTCCTACCCAAAACCTCCAGAGTGGAAATCCCAACTCCAGACACATGTACATACTAAAACATACACAAATAACTCACAATGTTTAAAAAGAGGGGTGTTATCCTTACAGCTGGACATCGTAGCTGGTGGCTACTACCAAAAATACAAAGCTAATGCCAGGATTGTGTTATAACAGCTTTGTCACAAGACAGTTTTTTCGAGTTCACATTTGCACCAGTCATTCTCCTCTAAACAATATAATACCAAGACAGATTTCCTCTTGAGTGTGTACCATTTATTGCAGACTTATCAGCCTATAGCTTCAACTACATCTTCTAGACCAACAAAGTCAAATTGTGTCACTTGCAGGTGAAAAACACTTCAGTTTCAGAGTTACAGGTATTTAAATCAGTGACACTCTGGAAAGTAAACATCACCAGATGCCGCTTAGTCATAACCTATAAACTACTGAAAAAACACATGATGTTTTGAGGAATAAGAATGACAAAAATATTTAGTGTCAGTTTTATTCAACTTCACAAATTCAAAAATTACATAATAAAAGGCTGTTGAGGTATCATCAAAATCGGAAGCAGATAAGGCATACTCATTATTGGAACAATTATTAAGACATATCGATAATCAGCCATGAAACAACTGAGAAAAAATATCGGATGACAGTCAATTAATAAAAATAACACACAGCTTTAAATCTCTACATTCTGGTACACAGTATATGGTTTAATAATTTATTTTAGAAAAGTAACCTGTTAAAACCAGGGGATATCATTCTCTCCACCACAATAGGAGGATCACATCAGAAACAGAGATACAGCTGTGACGAACATATCATGCCAACACCACTCAGATTGCTTTGCCGGTCTGCCTGACTTTGAAAAAAAGGACGAGTCTTGGCCTCTTGAGCAGTATTTAAGACACAAACATTGGCGAAAAAGTTCTTTATGAAGTTGCAGACTTGAGATAAGCTATAAGGTCGGTTCTTTCGTTCTTTTTCTTGATGCCAGCAAAGATCATCTTTGTTCCTGGAATGTATTTCTTGGGGTTTTCCAGATAAACCATCAGAGTGTCCTCATTCCAAACAATGCCTGGAAGTACAGAGAGCACAAACAAGGGGGTTATAGTTTTCACCTGCAACAGCAACTCTTGAACTTTTAATACACCATATGCATGCTCAATACTTACCTTTGCTTTTGTTGGCATCAGTGTAGGAGTAACCCTCTGCTTGACCAGTTTTACGCCCAAACAGACCCCAAAGGTTAGGCCCAACCTTGTGCTTTCCACCATCCTCCACAGTATGGCACTGGGCACACTTCTGGACAAATGCCTTCTTTCCTTTTGCAATGTCTCCAGGCATGGTTTCTGTGGAGAAAGGGAAAACACAGTCAGGCTATGATTTAGACTTCAGTAAATAATAGTATATCATTTGGACTGGAGTGGGAATAATATCTCCTGTTAGGGATTCATATGTAACTCTATTATTACCTCTTTCGGCCACTAGAGGCAGATTCACGTCAGCGTTGCGCAACTAATATGGCACTGCCGTTGTTAAGAAACTGACTAACGGTAACCGAACATATTACATAATTTTGTCCGCTAATAACGCATCAAATCAGAGCATAAATACGTTATATATTACCTTTTTAAGTTTATTCAACTTTAAAATAACACAACAAACGCGGTATGATAGATGGGCCTAATGCCGAATGCGGTAACACACCGACGAGGAGAAAAAAACAGCCGTGTGTCTAAGCAGAGAAATCAAGTTACATTTAAGTACTTTACAGAATTAAAAACACATAAATCAGTCTAGTCAGATCAAGAAAAAGCCAAATTAAAAGCCTATTCTCCGGAAACGGTGAAACACCCGCAGTGGACCACGTTGCACAGAGGGAACCGGCATATACATGTATTTTCAGTCGTATTACAAGATAATTCACAAAGAAACACCGGTTAAAAAGCTATTAAAATTCACAGTTCATGTCTTACCTCTTTCTGGTGGGTATTCAACCGACTTCTCGGGACCGTATTTCTCCGCTTTCGACCTCTTGCCGGCTCGGTCACATTGAAAGAGCTTCCTTCCCGTTAAGTTACTCCAGTATGGACGTCATCGGTCAGCTGACCCGTTTCATCACCTCATTACGACAGAAACTTGTCCGGTGACTTCTCCTATCAGATTGCGCAATGTAAACGCATATTCGAGCACTTTCTAAAAACATTATCCCTGAGATAATATCAGAATTTACATTTGATCCTCCGGCTATGATGAACAGAAACTAGAGAGTGTCAAACCACGTTTTTTTAAAACACAAATTAGATAAAAATTGACTTAAAATGAGATTTGATAGAAATAAAAAGATAAGATCAACAAATTCTCACATAGACTCTTACATTATATGTTTATGTTTGTGTTTCTATAAAAAGCATAATGGCAAACATCATCTTTATGTTTGCACCATACTTCCATAATAGAAGCAGTGACCTTCAAAACTTTGTCAAATTTTACAGTAATAACTCATATTTTGATTCTTTAAAACTAATTTACAAAACCCACACGGCATTCATCTGGTTCACTACTACAGTAAAGCTTTGAATCAACTCTTTTAATCATTACAAAGTCTCAAGGTCACAGGTTCACTCTGCCAATGACAAGGTAAGAGAAAGAGGAAAGTTTAAATTAGGGCATGTCAGAGATCAGGTTGGGTAACCTCGCCGTGACATGTGATATCCACTCCCTTCAGGACAAACACAGACATATGAGAGGAACTGGTGGTTATCCTCACTCTGCCTCTCAAATTACTTTGGACACATGAGGTGACAAGGTGACTTGAGTGTCAATGAAAGCATCATACACATACTGTATTTAGCTGTTGAGTTGAATTAAGGGGAATAGATGGACCAGTAACCTTACACGGTCTTGTTTCATTAAATGCTTGAATGGGCCAAGTCTTGTGTGTTTGTGCGTGTGTGTGTTGGTTTGCTCATTAGTGTGTAAGGCCTCAGTGCCATGGTATCTAAGAGACGGGTGCACTCCTGGGGTTTTCACACACAGCGGGGATCAAGGAGGGTATTTAAACTCTGTACAAAGTAGCTTGAGATGGAGACTTTGGTTTCTCAATGGCTGCCTTTGACCAACTTCATTATACACAAACATTTACCTGAACACACTCACCACCTCTCTCACCTTTATTTAAACCTTTCCCCACTGTTAGAATATTGTTGACTTCAACACCCGCTTTTTCAAACTAGGTGAAATGGCTGTTCCTTTAGCATAATGTTAATGCTAACTGCTGAAGAGAGACAGGAAATATGGGTAGCAGGGAGTGGGAGTGGACATGCTGCAATGGTGAGGCTGCAGGAGTCAAACCTGCAGGCACTAGGAGGTGAACAACAAACACTTTTGTAGATGGGGCATGCTTAAACCGCTATAGCCAACAGCACGCATAAACTGCATATCTTAACCAATGAGCAGGGTTAACCTAGGCTAAAATTCCTATCACATAGTTATGCCATTAGCCACAATTAGCTATCTATATCACCTAAATAACTAACTGTCCCTGAACTCTCTTCAATCCTGTTTCATAATCTTTATAACCAACCACTCACCCAGAGTTCAGTGAAGGTATAGCTCTGAAACATGGCTATTGGTATCTGTTATTAAAGCTCCTGTGAGGGACTTTCAGTTTGTCTCCCTTTTTTTTTTTTGTCCCCTGTGGACAAAACAGTCTTTGCTTATCTTGTTCTCTACATGCTCCAATGGTGTCTTCTGACACAAACCTCATCTTGCTGCCTTTCGAAATTCAAATGAATATTTAATGTGAATATTATATGTTGAGATTGTAAAAACAGCTCTGTTACTCCTGCTCCTGACACCTACCCTCCCACACCGGCACCAGGCATTAAAGGCTATGGTAACAAAATCATTGATCTTATTTTCGATTTTCTTTTTTGTCAATCACATCATAAGAAGGAATCAATATAAATTTGAATCTGTTTCATGAATGTCAAAAAAATCCTCTCAGGAGATTTAAAAAAAGCCATGTACAGGGTTGTTAAGCATGCCATCACATGTCAGTTCTTGTGAAATTAGTTTTTGCATACTCATATATTCCACAATTATAGATACACTGATTGATTGTATTTGTTGTTTTGTTTTATTTGTGTTGTTGCATTTGGAATTTTCTAGATGTTTACACAGTAAATCTGTTCACTATTTATCTATATTCTTAAACGTTGTTTAAACAATCCAATGCCATATGTGTAAGGATGCTGTAAAAAATTGATTAAAACAGAGTTTGATTGTTTGCAAATCATTTAAAGACTGTATTTTATTGAATATAACATAGAGGCAAAAGCTGAAATTGAAAAATAATGTTGTTGCCTGGGAAATCTGCTCATTTAAAATTTGATGCCAGCAACACTTTTCTAAAAATGTTGCATCAGCTTTTCTATGAACAACTCCCTGTAAACAAACAGGCTTCAGTGAGTGTATGTACAGTCTGAATGATTTGCAAACCATGAGACTGTGTTTTTAAAATCCACATGGTACACAGTGTCCCATTTTTTTATTTTATTTTTTTGAATGGGGACTGTGAATCTGGGTTTTGTTTGAAAATGTATCCGGATAAACCTTTAGCTTCTATACCTATGCATTAAGCCCTGATTATTATTTGGCTATTGTTTGTTCAGCTCTTTCCTTTTCACCTTTTTTTTTATTTTTTATTATTTATTTATTTTTTTGCATTTACTTTTTATCATGTAGAAACAATTGCGGTGCTTGACTTTTTTGACTGAGGAGACCAAACTGGGGCACAGAGTTTGGTTGTGGTGGGTAGTCATGGTATATGTTGGAGACTTACCCAAAACATAAGAGATATATCCCCACTCATCTTCTTTTAACTTTTTATGAATATATTAAAAAATAAGTGTAAAATGTTAACTTTAAAATTTCACTTTTGACATTAAAAGAGAACTAAATGGAGTGGAAACCTTTGAATATGCTTAACTTTGTTCTTTAAAGGACGCAATAAGTATATGTTTCTTGAATGTCATCATGAAAAGGACTACATTGAAAGAGCTACCAGCAGCCCATTAAAACCCAACCCAAATAGTTGTTTTCAATCTTAATGCCACCTCAGACAAGGCAAATAGTCAGTCATAGTTTAGGGTGGCTAACTGTATGACTATAGACTGTATATACTATGGACAACTTGGTTCTGCCTTCCACCAGTATACAGATTTGAAGCCGAAAAGCTCTCAGTACTACCACGATTTTCTTCATTTCCTGAAACCAACATTGCGCAGTAGCGTTATACACATTCGGCGGGAAAGTCGCCTAGAGTTGCTGTGATGACGCACGGCTCAAACAACGTATCCCCTGGGTGAGCTACGCAATCTTCGTACGCCCATAGGCTGTATCAAGTGTCAATAAAAGAAAACATGAACCCCCTAATAACTTTTAAAAATGGAACTGTACAGAAAAAAGAGGACTTGAGCACAAACCAGTCTTACAATAACTACATGTCAACATCGCAAGCAGGGGGGAGAAATATTTATAAACTGTGTAATAAATTTCCAAAGTTTGTCCATAACCCTTGCTGGCGGAGGCAGGATGTATGACCTATACTGCAGCCCGTCACCAGAGGGTGCTGTTCTCAGAGTGACTTCACCCAGCGAGGGGGCAGACGCTGTCCATTCTATATACAGTCTGAGGTTAAAACCCAACCCAAATAGTTGTTTTTAATCTAAATAACACTACTGATAAGGCAAATAGTCAGTCATAGTTCAGGGTCACTAACTGTGTGACCAAATAGGCTCAAGGGGTACCCATATCCCCGTCTTACTGTGTAGAAACAAAAATACAAAAATACAACATAGCCTAATTTATTCCCTCTAAACTTAATTATTCTGTTCTCTAATTACAAACAAAGTTAAAAAGCAAGAAAACATTTTTTTTCCAAGTATTTAATTTGTGTTCATGTTCTGCTCAATACAATGTGAATACTGGAAGGCTAGAGCAATCAAAAGAAATTCTATATTTTTTATTTTTTGCATGTATGAGTGATGCTTTCTGTATGATCAAATATATATTATAGTAAAAACAAAATCAAGTGAAAACATTTTAGTGCTGCTGATGTAGGCCTATGACTCTTACTGCCAATGACACTTTTACAGTAAACACAATGCTTTATCACCAGGCTGCTCTTGTTGCTGAATATGTTACATTTTGAGATTAAAAACCATATGTGGCATCCTGAACATCATTCATCAGTCATTCATTGGTATAATTTGTATGGTTGCATTGGTAATATTTATGTTATTAACTAGGCCACCTCCATAAATGTGTAAAAGACATGT